CCAACAGTATTTCCACCACAAGCCAGCATCGTGGCCGCGTCAATCTCGCAGCCATCTAAGCAAACGGTTGAAGCTGAAGGTGAACAATCATTGCAAGAAAAAGTGTCAGGTTGGAGCATGCCTTCTGTTCTTATGTCATTTCCTGTACATCACACTGCCATTGAAACTAGGCTCACTCGGTTTCGACTACATAGCTACTATAATTTAACCTGCATGGTAATGCGAGAATATGTGCAATAGTAGTACAAACACCACTGTATGATCTGTATTTGTGTGATTGCATGTGCATGTGCTTGCTTGTTTTTGTGACAGAAGCAGGCACTTTCAACAAGAATCTGGAAGCATGTGATACTCCATGCATTTGCTACTTTCAATTACCAAAATAGTAGCCATTCTATGAACAAGCTATGGAGCCACAGTAAGTAACTTGCCTTAAAGAATATTCATATGAGTACTTCTGGTATGTATGTACTGTGTATTTCTTATTCTTAGTGTCAAGCTCGTGTTCATAGTTTATATAAATATAGTGTTTAGACAAACTTAAGCTTTCTTACCTTTGACAACTCTTTTCATGTTTATGGGGATGTTTTCCTACTGCAATTTGCACAATTTCTCTGTGCAGTCTGCAAGCAGTGAAAGTGTATTGCAATTCTTTTGTCTTCTTTATGGTTGGATAAATGAAATTGCATAAGTGAAAGATGCACTATGTAGTATCTGCTTACAGTGATTAAGGTAGATGGCAGAAAAAAAAGCCAAGAACTAAGAAAACTACTTTCACTCTGAACATGAAGTGCTCAGTAGAGAGTGATTCTACTAAATGGCATCTTCCTTCCATGCTTTGAAGAAGTCTTCACATCTGCTGCAGCAAAAGCTATCAATAAAACTTACAGTCCCAGCCATAGACTTGAAGCTTCCTCTCTGCCGAAAACTCGAAGAGCTATTGGCAGAGAATGTGGGTTACTCTAATGTTATGTAATTATGGTATTTTACATGCCAAAGCCACAGTGTCATTAGAAATCATCATTCACATTGCATACACAGTTACGTTCTGACTGGTGGTGAGGCTCCTATTTGCTCTAAATGTTGTGCGACCTTAACCATCCAGCACAACTTGCCGGAGAGTCAGGAAACACAGGCTGAAAGAAAAAAAAAACTTCGTTTAGCTTGCCAACAGCATACCATTTTACAATCCCATTTCCGCAAAGCGCAGGCTTATTATTTGATAGCACTGCTTTGAATGTCTTATATGATGTTTATTCATTGCATATTATAAAGTCAAAACAATGGTAGCACAGCCTCTGGACTGAAGCTGAAGCCCTATATGCATATCTTCTATATGCATATCTCCCCTACAGTAGACTCTCACTAAACAGAAATCTTATAAATGGAACTGCTGGTTAAATAGAACAATGTCCTCTAATAAGATTGGTTTCATACTTGAATTCAGCATCCGAGGTTATCTCTCAGTGAACAGGACTTCTGTTACATGGAACATTTTTGTTAAATAGAACATTTTTTTTTGGCCCCTTCATGATCTGTTAAACTATGGTCTATTTTATTACATATCTCTTATTAATTTTACACATCGGTCAGTAGTCACTAGCAATTTTAATTCATATTATTTTTTGCAATATACAGCAAATATATTTAGGCCTCTATACAGTCATAATATATTTACTCATTGAACTCATTGCATCATTAATTACCAATAATTAATGTTCCTTGCACTGTTTGACCATGGCTTGTGCCAATAATGTGCCATCCATCACTATCAACTTTACGTCACTAAATCACTTTTTTACAAACTGTATTTCAGTCAGCAAGCACACAGAAAGAGATTTAAAAAAAAAATTATATATCCCCATGTGAGCAGTACCACTACACAAGAAAAAAAATGATTTCGTTGTCACAATCTCTCAATATGGACCAGTTTACTGAAAGGTGCATTTTTTTTACACAGTTATATGAATCCAACAGTAGCCCTAGCTCGGCTGCAGTATGTAAAATGAATGAATGAATGAATGAATGAATGAATGAATGAATGAATGAATGAATGAATGAATGAATGAATGAATGGAAAGCACGGAGGAAGTTATTGGTAGGACACTGATATAATGGAGATGGGTTTTGAGCTTAACGTCTATCAGTGGGAGAATGATTTTTTTTTTTTGTCCACCTACATATTTTTTTTTTATTAGCAGCAAGCGAGGTTGCTGTATGCCCTTTCTGTGATAAGGCAGAAATAGAGATCTGATTTTTTTTCAGAATTGTATTTTATGAAAGGACATCTATAAGCGCAACTTTCTGTAGCGTACTGCAATTAAATTCTGTTTGTGTATGTGACAGTACTGCAATTAAATTCTGTTTGTGTATGTGAAACAGGTTTTGTTTTTTTCATTGTCTGCAAAACTTGACATGTTCTTTATCACTTATTTTGCTTTTCCAATTCAAGATATTTAATCAACTGTAAGATATTAGCCACCAAATTAGACAAGAAATCCAAACAGCTGGCTGCTGCAGTTAACTAAGTTAAGCTTGCAGAATGAAGGTACGGTTAACTAACAAAAAAAGCAGGAAACCAAGAAACTAAAGGTTTACAAACTTCAAATAGTTGACAACTGTTTAAAACTTCAAAAGCCATCTTATAAACTATCGTGACCTCAGCTTCATAAGCTAGCTTCAACGCTCGTACGCTTATTACCGCAGAGCTTGCAGAATGAAGGTACGGTTAACTAACAAAAAAAGCAGGAAACCAAGAAACTAAAGGTTTACAAACTTCAAATAGTTGACAACTGTTTAAAACTTCAAAAGCCATCTTATAAACTATCGTGACCTCAGCTTCATAAGCTAGCTTCAACGCTCGTACGCTTATTACCGCGGCCGAAAGGTCAACGATCCAGGGAGCAACACCAGGGAGTGGTATACAAAGTGTCGTGTGCGGAATGTCCAGTGAGCTACATAGGCGAGAGTAAGTGCTTCTCAGAAAGAATATGCCAGCACAGAAACGACGTCAGGATGATAGAGGCGCAATGCAGTGCCCTTGCAGAGCATTGTGAGGAGCACGATCATAATATTGACTTCGACAGCGCTTCTGTCATAGAAACGGAAAAGAATCTGGAAAAGAGGCTTTTGCTCGAGTCGTGGCACATACAACACACACCGGCGAACATGAACCGGTCCCTGGGAACAATGCCTCTGAAACGTGATGGAAAGGGAAAGACTGAGCATAAGACAAGGGACGTTCACGCTTCCCTGACCATTACGGTCATACCTGAGGAAGAAACCAAGCCAGTCTCGAAACGTCACGTTTTCTACAAGATTGTGACTGGAGGTGACTCACTTCCTTAATAGTAATATATGTGTTTTTACGTCCCCAAACCACGGTATGATAGTGATCGAGAGATACTGTAGTGAGGGGCTCCAGAAGTTTCAATCATCTGGGGTTCTTTAATGTGCACCAACATCGCACAGCACATGGGCCTCTACCATTTTGCCGCCACTGAAATGCTGCAGCTGGGATTAAACTCATGACCTTCGAGTCAGCAGCCGGGTAGCATAACTACTGCGCCATCACGATGAATGAAAATGAATGTAGTGGGCGACGATGTGTCCAAATATAAGCAGAATGCTGATGAGTTGTCAAAATATAAAATCAGAAACAGAAACAGATCAGTTGTGAAAATATAAATCTCTGCATGGTATAAGAGGAGAGACAGAATCTCTCCTTTTAATGATATATACTTCGTCAATCTCATGTACTTACTGTTCACAGTATTTATGAGTTGTGCAGGCATTGTCAAAGAAAGGGAAACACTGACGCATGTTGCTGAAGTGGGCAGATGTACTGCTTGCTGTTTCTTTAGCGAATTAAAATATTTGAGCAACTTGGTATTGTGACATTTTCCAGTTTTCTCTTTCGTGAAGAGCCAGCATGTGAAATACAGTAAGCATATATCACACAAAAGAGAGGTTTTGACTATGTATGTTCTATTTCACCTCAAAAGAGGTATAGGAGGCTTGAAGTGATCAAAAATATTTAAACAAGAAATGGTTGTGGAGCCAATGCTTCGACAAGAGGACTTGTCTTTATCCGGGCCTGACAAAGATTACTCCCAAAGCATTGGCTCTAGTGGCAGTTCCTGTTTAATAATTTATCATTGTTGCTCTGCTAAAAGTTTCTATAGCCCTAAGCCAGTATTCAGTCAATATTTTCACACTTTGTCATCCATCACACTTATTTTCACTGCTACGATCTATGCATTTGTTGTTGACTTTGTGGATATCATAGTAGTTAGAATATGTTGCTTGTTATCCTTATCTCTCTCTTTTTTCTTACTGTTATTACTGAAGTTAGTTTTTGCTCTCTTGCTTTTCCAGTTGCTTAGAAGTAGCTTCATTTTGTCTGCATAGTAACTCAGCTGATGCTAGCTGCCAGGTGGTGGCAGCCCTTGTCAACTTTGATGCCTAATATATCACAGTATTAGTCATACTGTTTTGTGATGTTGGCTATAATCATATATTCTGCCTTTTTAATAATTTTGTTTCATGAATGAATAACCACTTAAAAGTTGGTACCGTATTGTCATTGTATGTTGTGTCATCCACACTGTTTATTCATAATGTAGTACTTTAAACAACTAGCTCAAATAAGCACTCTTGGGCAGTTTTTTTTTTATCTGTTCTATATATGTTAACTTCACTAAGGTAAGTATCTGTGCATCCTTGATGCACAACCTATTTATATATAACATGTAAATGAAAAGAAATGTTTCAATAGCAAGAAGGGCAATAAGTCCTTTTTGTTACTTTCAGCCTTGTTTTTGATAACAAGGCAGAGAGCTCCTAGTGGCATTGAAAGCAACTAACCTTCACCTTTACCAAAGGTATATAGGGTGTGCCACATTTTGTTGCTTAATAGGTAGATATGACATTTTCATGTGGTTAGTGAACAGTCATTCCTACATTTCTTTCTAAAAATTTATTTCCATGCGTAATTTCAGAAACGGCTGCCGAACTGGAGGAAGCACCAGATTTGACGAAGCATGCAAAACCAATTTTGGAACTAGTGCAGAGTCTCCTGGTTAAAGATATAATTGCAGAAGCCTCTACTTCTGATGCCAAGCCCACTGAATTACCAGATATGCATACTGCTGAGTTAAGGTTTCTACCACTGGCACCATTAACTGTAGAAGAAAGTGGTGTGCATATGACGACAGGTGCCATTAAGACAACTCCATTTGCTGAAGCTAAAGCTGAAGTAGGCATGACAACATCTCTAGGAATTCAAGTCCATGAAACTACACCAGGGTTAACAGGAACTGAGTTAAAAACTGAGCCACTTCACAAAGAAGTCACACCAATAAGCACATTCACGACAATTGAGGCCCTCGCCATATCAGCGGTGGAGACTGCTTTGAAAGAAGCTCATGCCGACAAATTCAAACCTCCAAAGTCAGTGAGTGCTTCTTTCACATTGCTGACTGAAGAGCCTCTCCAAGTAACTGAAATAGAAGCTATGAGCATGGAAGAGGATATTGAAGTACGTCAGGCACCAGCACAGGAACTCAGTGTATCAACTGTGGCACCAAATCGCCCTCTTATTGTATGTGAAACAGAAGCACTAACTTCAGAGGAGGCACTACCTGTCAATAGGGGCCTTCCAACAACAAAAGTAAAATCCGAACTTTTGACTGATCAGCCGCTGCTAGTTTCCGAAGTTCCTGTTCTTATGAAAGAAACGAACCTGCCAAGTGAAGCTAGACCACCTAAGTCTACCGCACCATTCAGTATTCCAACAGAACAACATGTGTGTGTCACACAAATTCCAGTGCTTATAAAGGAGACAGAACTTAAGCTTGAAGAGAAGCCATCAGGCACCAAAGCACCATGCACCATCGATGTACAGCAGCCAGTGAATGTTTCACTTATGTCAAGTTTTATAATGGAGGGAGAGTACACTCCAGAAAAAATGCCAAGACACTTAAAAGCTGAAATCACTATGCCAACAGATACACCAATAACAGTCTCAGAAACTTCAACACTGGGTAGAGAAGGTGATTTAAGAGTCGAAAAAGTACCAGAAGGCATTACATCAACAGTGAAGGTGACAACTGATGAGCCTGTGTCCATTTCTGAGCCTGTGATATTAGCAAAGGAAGAACACATTGAAGCATACTTTGAGCCTAAATGTGCTACTGCAGCGCCAATCATAACAACTAGTGAAAGCTTGTCGGTTCTTGCTCAGCATACCCTCATGAAAGAAAAAATGCTCGGGCTGCAAGAGCAGCCGTATGAGGTAACTGTTCCATACACTATCTCAACTGAACAGCATGTCCAGGTGTCTGAATACCCAGCTCTTGATAAGGAAGAAGTATTGGAGCTTGCAAAGCTTCCAAAAGAAATTAATGCTCCTTTTTCAGTTCCACTGGAAGAATCCTTAACAGTTGAACAAACAGATTTTTTCACTAAAGAGTCAGACCTGAAACTTAAAGATCTCCCATCAACAGTCACAGCACCATTTACAATTCCTGCTCAGCAGCATGTTGTTGTCTCAGCCCATGGAACCTTTGACAAAGAAAAATTATTAGAACAAGAAAAGCTTCCTGCTGAGGTAACAGCACCATGCTCACTGTTACTCGAAGAGCCTTTGACCATTGAAGATGTCAGTTTGTTTTCCAAAGAATCTGAGCTCAAGGCAAAAGAACTTCCTCCAGAAACCACAGCGCCGTACACACTTACAACACAGCAGCATGTCGTTATTCATGAACACAAAGCTCTCGATAAAGAGACTGCACTTCATGTTGACCACCATCCAGACAAGGTCACAGCACCATACTCCGTTCCTGTGGACATGCCAATAACAGTTGAAGAGACTAGCTTTCTGGTGAAAGAATCGGAGTTGCAACGAGAAAAGCCAGCCACAGAAATCACTGCACCTTTCACAATACCCACAGAACAGCACGTTGCAGTTAGTGAACAAGCAGGCCTTGATAAAGAGGAGATGTTTCACCCAGAGAAGGTGCCCAGGGAGGTGACAGCACCATTTTCAGTGCCCCTTGAGGAACCTTTAACAGTAGAAGAAACAAGTACCCTCACAAAAGAATCAGAACTGAGGCCAGACATGGTACCTGCAAAAGTTACAGCTCCTTTCTCAGTTTCTACCGAACAGCATGTTGTGGTGTCAGAGCATCCAACTTTTGAAAAAGAAGAAGTTCGAATTGAGGAACTTCCCAATGAAATTATTGCACCATTTACAGTACCACTTGAAGAATCAATTATAATACAAGAGACCAGAATTTTGGCAAAAGAGTCTGATCTAAAACAGGATGTCCAGCCAGATAAAGTCACGGCTCCTTTTTCTGTGCCTACAGAAAAGCATGTGCTAGTGTGTGACCGCCAGATTTTTGAAAAAGAAGAAGAACTTCAGCACACAATTCTTCCTAATGAAATTTCTGCACCATTTTCAGTGCCACTTCAAGAGTCAATAACTGTAGAACAAACGTGCCTCCTAACCAAAGAGAAAGAGCTAAAGAAACAAAAATGGCCTGCAGAAGTTACAGCTCCCTTTTCATTGCCCACTGACCGACACGTTATGATATCTGATCACCCCACTTTTGAAAAAGAAGAAGACTTCTTACCTGGGAAGCTTCCCACTGAAGTTACTGTGCCATACACTGTTCCATGTGAAGAGTCGGTGACAATAGAAGAGACAAGCCTTTACACAAAGGAATCGGAACTTGCCCAGGAAAACCTTCCAGCAGAAGTTACAGCTCCTTTCTCAGTTTCCAGTGAGGAGCACATTGTTGTATCACAGCTAGAAAATCTTGAGAAGGAGGAAGAACTTGAAACTGAAAAAGTTCCTCGCAAAGTTACTGCACCATTTTCTGTGTCACTTCAAGAATCCATTACAGTGGAAGAAATTAGTCTTTTAACAAAAGAGTCAGAACTAGAAAAAGACAAACTGCCACCGGACATTACAGCTCCATTTTCACTTTCAACTCAGCACCATGTTGTGATATCACAGTCTCCAGCACTTGAAAAAGAAGAGGACTTTCAGCCTGGAAAACTTCCCAGTGAAGTTACTGCACCTTTTTCAGTTCCTATGGAGGAATCAATATTGGTTCAAGAAACAAACATTCTGGCTAAAGAGTCAGATCTGAAAGAGGAAAAACTGCCTGACCAGGTTAAAGCTCCTTTTTCAGTTCCAACAGAAAAGCACGTTGTTATCAGTGACCATCCAGCTCTTGAGAAAGAAGTAGAATTTCATCCTGATAAACAGCCGAAAGAAATTACTGCACTTTTGTCAATGCCATTTGAAGAGTCTTTAACAGTAGAAGAAATAAGTCTCCTCACAAAAGAGTCAGAATTAAAAAAGGACAAGGCTCCTGCACATATTATAGCCCCGTTTTCAGTTTCAACAGCAGAGCATATTATCGTGTCTGATCACCCGACCATGGAAAGGGAAGATGAGCTTCAGTCTGGGAAACTTCCCAAGGAAGTTTCCGCGCACTACTCTTTGCCATTTGAAGAGTCGTTAACAGTGGAGGAAGCAAATTTACTGTCAAAAGAATCGGAGTTAAAAGAAGATAAGCTTCCTGCAGAGGTTACGGCTCCTTTCTCTGTTTCAACAGTGGAACACATTGCAGTGTCCCGCTCCACACCTCTTGAGAAGGAAGAAACTTTTCATCCTGGAAAGCTTCCTAAGGAAATATCTGCACCTTTCTCAATACCATATGAAGAGCCGTTATCAGTAGAAGAAACCAACCCACTGGCAAAAGAGTCTGAGCTGATTGAAGATAAACTTCCTGCAGGAGTCACTGTTCCTTTTTCTATTCTGACAGAGCAGCATGTTGTTATTTCAGAGCAACCATATCTCGAAAGAGAAGACAAATTTCAGTCCGGGAAACTTCCTGGTGAAATTACTGCACCATTCTCAATGCGTTTAGAAGAGTCCTTAGCAGTAGAAGAAACTAGCCTGCTGGCAAAAGAATCTGAATTACCAGAAGAAAAACTTCCTGCTGAGGTCATGCTTTCTTATTCTCTACCAACAGAGCAGCATATTATGATATCAGAGCACCCAACACTTGAAAAGGAAGAGGGCTTCCAGCCTGGAAAAGCATTTGGGGAAGTCGCAGCGCAACTTTCGATTCCATGTGAAGAGTCACTAACTGTAGTGGAAACAAGCCTGCTGTCAAAAGAATCTGAATTTACAGAAACAAAGCTTCCTACAGAAGTTACAGCTCCTTCCTCAATCTCTACAGAGCATCACATAGAAGTATTACAGCCCCAGAACCTTGAGAAAGAAACAGAATTTCATGCTGAAAAAATTCCCAGGGAGGTAACTGCCCCATTTTCAGTGCCACTTGCAGAATCTATGACTGTAGAAGAAACTAGTTTTCTTACTAAGGAAGCAGAATTGAAGGAAGAAAAACTTCCTTTGACAGTAACAGCTCCAATTTCTGTTCCTACTGAGCAACACATTGTAGTATCACAGCTCTCAATTTTGGAAAAGGAAGGGGAATTTCAGCCTGGAAAACTTCCTGGTGAAGTTGCTGCACCTTTTTCAATTCCACTGGAAGAGTCTTTAACGGTGCAGCAGGCAAGTATTCTTACAAGAGAGTCAGAGTTAAAAGAGGACAAATTTCCAGAAAAATTTACAGCTCCTTTTTCAGTTTCCACAGAACAGCATGTTGTAGTGTCAGAGCATCCATCCCTTGAGAAGGAAGGGGAGTGTCTGACTGTGAAAATTCCTAAAGAGGTCACTGCACCTTTCTCTGTGCCATTGGAAGAGTCACTTACTGTGGAAGAGACCAGGTTTCTTACAAAGGAGTCAGAACTAAAAGAGGACAAAACACCTGCAGAAACTACCGCTCCCTTCTCAGTTTTAACTGAGCAGCATGTTGTTATATCAGAGCATTCATCTCTTGAGAAAGAAAATGAATTTCACCCAGGACAAATTCTGGGTGAGATTACAGCACCATTCTCAATTCCATTAGAAGAATCCTTAACTGTAGCAGAAACAAACCTCTTGACAAAAGAGTCTGAACTGGAGCAAGAGAAATCTCCTACACAAATTGCTATACCATTCTCAGTTCCTACTGAACAACATATTTCAGTTTCACAGTTCTCGACTTTTGAGAAAGAGGAGGAATTCCAGCCTAGAAAACTTCCAGGAGAAGTAAGTGCCCCATTTTCAGTTCCTCTACAAGAGTCAATAACAGTTGAACAAACCAGCATTCTCACAAAAGAGTCAGAACTGAAGAAAGAAAAACAAATTTCAGAAGTTACAGCTCCTTTCTCAGTTCCTACTGAACAGCATATTTCAGTTTCACAGTTTTCAACTTTTGAGAAAGAGGAAGAATTCCAGCCTGGAAAACTTCCAGGAGAAGTCACAGCCCCATTTTCATTTCCTCTACAAGAGTCAATAACAGTAGAACAAACCAGCATTCTCACAAAAGAGACAGAACTGAAGGAGGAAAAACAAGTTTCAGAAGTTACGGCTCCTTTCTCAGTTCCTGCTGAGCAGCACATTTTGGTTTCACAGCTATCAGCTTTTGAGAAAGAGGAGGAATTCCAGCCTGGAAAACTTCCAGGAGAAGTCACAGCCCCATTTTCAGTTCCTCTGCAAGAGTCAATAACAGTTGAAGAAACCAGCATTCTTACAAAAGAGTTGGAACTGAAAGAGCAGAAACTCCCTTCAGAGCTTACTGCCCCATTCAAAATTGCCACGGAGCAGCATGTTGTCGTCTCTGAGCAACCATTTCTTCACAAAGAAGAGGGATTTGAGCCATCAGACTTTCCTAGTGAGATCACTGCACCATTCACTGTTTCTTCACAGGAATCTATAGCAATAGAGGAAACAAGTTCTTTCACGAAAGAATCTGTGCTCACAACAAAAGAGCTTCCAAAAGAGACTACCGCTGTCACATCAGTCCCCACGGTACAGCACATTATAGTTTCGGATCTTCCTGCTCTTGACAAGGAAGATGTTTTTCTGCCTGGTACACTCCCTGGCGAGGTTACTGCACCTTATACTATACCACTTGAAGAGTCTTTGACAGTACAAGAAATCAGACACGTTACAGAAGTTTCTGAGTTCACAACTAAAAATTTGCCAAAAGAAATTTCTGCGCCATATTCAATACCCACACAGGAACATGTAATAATATCTGACCAACCAACTCTGCACAAAGAGCAAGATTTGCAAGCTGGTAAAAAACCAGCACAAGTAACTGCACCTTTCTCTTTGCCTGTTGCCGAATATTTGACCATTGAGGAGACAAGCTCATTATTAAAAGAGTCCCACTTAGACACAGAAAAACAGCCATCTGAATTTAGTGCATTCATGACACTGCCTCAAGAGCATCATGTCACAGTAGTAGAGGAATGCCGACATCTAGACAAAGAAGAGTCCCTACAGCTTGAAAAAATCCCTGGGGAGATAACGGCACCTTTCTCATTAGGTATTGAAGAACCATTGACTGTAGAAGCCACAGAGTTTCTTCTAAAAGAATCTGAGCTGAAGACAGACCAACTTCCTTCTGAAATCAGTGCACCATATACTATACCAACAGACCAACATATTGTTATATCTCACTTGCAACAGTTTGATAAGGAGGAAGAACTCACACCACACACTACTCCAGAAGAGATGAGTGCACCATACTCACTGTTATTGGAAGAATCAATAACCATTGATGAAAAACAAGTCTTTAGTAAAGAATCAGAGTTTGCTGTAAAAGAATCAACCAAAGAGGTCACAGCACCTTTCGATATTCGCACTGAGCACCACCTTGTAGTTTCTGATTCTTCAGTTCTTGAAAAAGAAACTACATTTAAATCTGAAAAGATGCCGCATGAAGTGAAGGTTCCATATACTTTGCCAACAGTGATGCCACTAACAGTTCAAGAAACACCTGAATTATCTAAAGAATCAGAGTTGCCATTGAAAAAGCTCCCAGATGAATCTCTTGCATCTCTTTCTATACCTACAGAAAAACACATTACAATTGTTGAAACAGCTACATTGTCAAAAGAAGATGAATTATACACAAAAGAGACACAAGTACCAGTTGTCGCTGAGAAAAGCGTATCTGCTCAAGAAACTATCTCAATTTTAGAGATGTCAGCATTGACAAAGGAAAGTGACTTGGCTTACGAAAAAATACCAAAGCACATGAAAGCCAGTTTTATTCTAGACTCTCTAGAACCTATAACAGTGCAAGAGTTCAACTTTGGCTTAATGGCTGATGAATTTTTCATTAAAGAGAGTCCTGAAGAAATAAGTGCCAGAGACATACCTCTTATTTCAGATGAAATCAAGCATGAAGAGAACATCCAGGAAATCACGCCCAAGGATAAAGAACAAGTTACTGAAGGTCTAACAATACAAGAAGTAACGGGAGAAACTATTCAACATGAAGAGACTTCATCATGTATTGTGGTAGAGGAAGAAATATTAGACCATGTAGAAGCTGGAATAGAAGTGAAAAAGAAGACAAAGAAGAAATATGTTCGCTTTGATGACACGGCTGGCACCCAGGAGGTTACTGAAGTACTTCACACATTTACTAGAACTGCACCAGAAGGCACATCGCTTAAAATTGAAGACGTCACTGAAGAATATGAAAATGCACCAGAAAGTCAAGAAAAAAGCAGCGAAGAGCCCATAATTGAAGAAGTTGATGAGGTACAACCTGTGCAGAAAACCAAACAGAAAAAGGAGAAGCCAGACGAACAAACCCTTACTGAAATAACAATCCATCCTAAAATTCATGAAGAAACTGAGGAGGAGGAGACCACTTTGAAAGAAATCACACATCAAGAAGAGGAGAAGCAACCTAAAGAAAAGAAGAAAAAGAAGATCATTAAAAAGAAAGAAAAGGCAGAAATTACAAAGATTGAGCTTAAACCAAAAGAAGAGGCACCCGAAGAAATCCAGGAAGTGAGTGAAATCAAGCAAGTTGAAGAGACAGTGGAAGAAATCACTGAGTTTGACATTAAGATCGGGAAGCTTCACAAACCAGAAGAGATACTTGATATAACAGTTACATCAGAAGAAGTGCCTCAGCTCGATGTCACACAAGTTATCGAAAAGCCAGTTGAACTCGAGAGCATTGAGAAGCCTGAAGAAGCTCCTGAAGAAAAACTAGATGAGCAGATTGAAGAGAAGCCTAAAGAAAAGAAGAAAAAGAAAGTTGTTAAGAAAAAAGACAAGCCAGAGATCACTGAGATTGAGCTTAAACCAAGAGAAGAAGCACTCGAAGAAATTCAGGAAGTGACTGAAATAAAACAAGTTGAAGAGACAGTGGAAGAAATCACTGAGTTTGACATTAAGATCGGGAAGCTTCACAAACCAGAAGAGATACTTGATATAACAGTTACATCAGAAGAAGTGCCTCAGCTCGATGTCACACAAGTTATCGAAAAGCCAGTTGAACTCGAGAGCATTGAGAAGCCTGAAGAAGCTCCTGAAGAAAAACCAGAAGAGCAGATTGAAGAGAAGCCTAAAGAAAAGAAGAAAAAGAAAGTTGTCAAGAAAAAAGAAAAGCCAGAAATTACGGAGATTGAGCTTAAACCAAAAGAAGAAGCACCTGAAGAAATCCAGGAAGTGAGTGAAATCAAGCAAGTTGAAGAGACAGTGGAAGAAATCACTGAGTTTGACATTAAAATCGAGAAACTTCGCAAACCAGAAGAGATACTTGATATAACAGTTACATCAGAAGAAGTGCCTCAGCTCGATGTCACACAAGTTATCGAGAAGCCAGTTGAACTCGAGAGCGTCGAAAAACCGGAAGAAAAGCCTGAAGAAGTTCCTGAAAAAAAACCAGAAGAGCAGATTGAAGAGAAGCCTAAAGAAAAGAAGAAAAAGAAAGTTGTTAAGAAAAAAGAAAAGCCAGAGATCACTGAGATTGAGCTTAAACCAAGAGAAGAAGCACCCAAAGAAATTCAGGAAGTGACTGAAATAAAACAAGTTGAAGAGACAGTGGAAGAAATCACTGAGTTTGACATTAGGATCGGGAAGCTTCGCAAACCAGAAGAGATACTTGATATAACAGTTACATCAGAAGAAGTGCCTCAGCTCGATGTCACACAAGTTATCGAAAAGCCAGTTGAATTCGAGAGCATTGAAAAAGCGGAAGACAAGCCTGAAGAAGCTCCTGAAGAAAAACCAGAAGAGCAGATTGAAGAGAAGCCTAAAGAAAAGAAGAAAAAGAAAGTTGTCAAGAAAAAAGAAAAGCCAGAAATTACAGAGATTGAGCTTAAACCAAAAGAAGAAGCACCCGAAGAAATCCAGGAAGTGAGTGAAATCAAGCAAGTTGAAGAGACAGTGGAAGAAATCACTGAGTTTGACATTAAGATCGAGAAGCTTCGCAAACCAGAAGATATACTTGATATAACAGTTACATCAGAAGAAATGCCTCAGCTCGATGCAACACAAGTTATCGAAAAGCCAGTTGAATTCGAGAGCATTGAAAAAGCGGAAGACAAACCTGAAGAAGCTCCTGAAGAAAAACCAGAAGAGCAGATGGAAGAGAAGCCTAAAGAAAAGAAGAAAAAGAAAGTTGTTAAGAAAAAAGAAAAGCCAGAGATCACTGAAATTGAGCTTAAACCAAGAGAAGAAGCACCCGAAGAAATTCAGGAAGTGACTGAAATAAAACAAATTGAAGAGACAGTAGAAGAAATCACTGAGTTTGACATTAAGATCGGGCAGCTTCACAAACCAGAAGAGATACTTGATATAACAGTTACATCAGAAGAAGTGCCTCAGCTCGAGGCACACAAGTTATCGAAAAGCCATTTGAACTCGAGAGCATTGAGAAGCCTGAAGAAGCTCCTAAAGAAAAACTAGATGAGCAGATTGAAGAGAAGCCTAAAGAAAAAGAAGAAAAAGAAAGTTGTTAAGAAAAAAAGAAAAGCCAGAGATCACTGAGATTGAGCTTAAAACCAAGAGAAGAAGCACCCGAAGAAATTCAGGAAGTGACTGAACATAAAACAAGTTGAAGAGACAGTGGAACAAATCACTCAGTTTGACATTAAGATCGGGAAGCTTCACAAACCAGAAGAGATACTTGATATAACAGTTACATCAGAAGAAGTGCCTCAGCTCGATGTCACACACAAGTTAATCGAAAAGCCAGTTTGAATTCGAGAGCATTGAGAAGCCTGAAGAAGCTCCATGAAGAAAAACCAGAAGAGCAGATTGAAGAGAAGCCTAAAGAAAAGAAGAAAAAGAAAGTTGTCAAGAAAAAAGAAAAGCCAGAAATTACAGAGATTGAGCTTAAAACCAAAAGAAGAAGCACCTGAAGAAATCCAGGAAGTGAGTGAAATCAAGCAAGTTGAAGAGATAGTGGAAGAAATCACTGAGTTTGACATTAAGATCGGGAAGCTTCACAAACCAGAAGAGATACTTGATATAACACGTTACATCAGAAGAAGTGCCTCAGCTCGATGTCACACAAGTTATCGAAAAGCCAGTTGAACTCGAGAGCATTGAGAAGCCTGAAGAAGCTCCGGAAGAAAAAACCAGAAGAGCAGATTGAAGAGAAGCCTAAAGAAAAGAAGAAAAAGACAAGTTGTCAAGAAAAAAGAAAAGGCCAGAAATTACAGAGATTGAGCTTAAAACCAAAAGAAGAAGCACCCGAAAGAAATCAGGAAGTGAGTGAAATCAAGCAAGTTGAAGAGATAGTGGAAGAAATCACTGAGTTCGACATTAAGATCGAGAAGCTTCGCAAACCAGAAGAGGTACTTGATATAACACTTATATCAGAAGAAGTGCCTCAGCTCGATGTCACACAAGCTATCGAGAAGCCGCTTGAACTCGAGAGCATTGAAAAACCGGAAGAGAAACCTGAAGAAGCTCCTGAAGAAAAACCAGAAGAGCAGATTGAAGAGAAGCCTAAAGAAAAGAAGAAAAAGAAAGTTGTTAAGAAAAAAGAAAAGCCAGAAATTACAGAGATTGAGCTTAAACCAAAAGAAGAAGCACCCGAAGAAATCCAGGAAGTGAGTGAAATCAAGCAAGTTGAAGAGACAGTGGAAGAATCACTGAGTTTGACATTAAGATCGAGAAGCTTCGCAAACCAGAAGAGGTACTTGATATAACACTTACATCGGAAGAAGTGCCTCAGCTCGATGTCACACAAGTTATCGAGAAGCCAGTTGAATTCGAGAGCATTGAGAAGCCTGAAGAAGCTCCTGAAGAAAAACCAGAAGAGAAGATTGAAGAGAAGCCTAAAGAAAAGAAGAAAAAGAAAGTTGTTAAGACAAAAGAAAAGCCAGAAATTACAGAGATTGAGCTTAAACCAAAAGAAGAAGCACCCGAAGAAATCCAGGAAGTGAGTGAAATCAAGCAAGTTGAAGAGACAGTGGAAGAAATCACTGAGTTTGACATTAAGATCGAGAAGCTTCGCAAACCAGAAGAGGTACTTGATATAACACTTACATCGGAAGAAGTGCCTCAGCTCGATGTCACACAAGTTATCGAGAAGCCAGTTGAACTCGAGAGCATTGAGAAGCCTGAAGAAGCTCCGGAAGAAAAACCAGAAGAGCAGATTGAAGAGAAGCCTAAAGAAAAGAAGAAAAAGAAAGTTGTCAAGAAAAAAGAAAAGCCAGAAATTACAGAGATTGAGCTTAAACCAAAAGAAGAAGCACCCGAAAAAATCCAGGAAGTGAGTGAAATCAAGCAAGTTGAAGAGACAGTGGAAGAAATCACTGAGTTCGACATTAAGATCGAGAAGCTTCGCAAACCAGAAGAGGTACTTGATATAACACTTATATCAGAAGAAGTGCCTCAGCTCGATGTCACACAAGCTATCGAGAAGCCGCTTGAACTCGAGAGCATTGAAAAACCGGAAGAGAACCTGAAGAAGCTCCTGAAGAAAACCAGAAGAGCAGATTGAAGAGAAGCCTAAAGAAAAGAAGAAAAAGAAAGTTGTTAAGAAAAAAGAAAAGCCAGAAATTACAGAGATTGAGCTTAAACCAAAAGAAGAAGCACCCGAAGAAATCCAGGAAGTGAGTGAAATCAAGCAAGTTGAAGAGACAGTCGAAGAAATCACTGAGTTTGACATTAAGATCGAGAAGCTTCGCAAACCAGAAGAGGTACTTGATATAACACTTACATCGGAAGAAGTGCCTCAGCTCGATGTCACACAAGTTATCGAGAAGCCAGTTGAACTCGAGAGCATTGAGAAGCCTGAAAGAAGCTCCGGAAGAAAAACAGAAGAGCAGATTGAAGAGAAGCCTAAAGAAAAGAAGAAAAAAGAAGTTGTCAAGAAAAAAGAAAAGCCAGAAATTACAGAGATTGAGCTTAAACCAAAAGAAAAGCACCCCGAAAAAATCCAGGAAGTGAGTGAAATCAGCAAGTTGAAAGACAGAGGAAGGAAAATCACTGAGTTCGACATTAAGATCGAGAAGCTTCGCAAACCAGAAGAGGTACTTGATATAACACTTATATCAGAAGAACTGCCTCAGCTCGATGTCACACAAGCTATCAAGAAGCCGCTTGAACTCGAGAGCATTGAAAAACCGGAAGAGAAACCTGAAGAAGCTCCTGAAGAAGCTCCTGAAGAAAAACCAGAAGAGCAGATTGAAGAGAAGCCTAAAGAAAAGAAAAAGAAAGTTGTTAAGAAAAAAGAAAAGCCAGAGATCACTGAGATTGGGCTTAAACCAGAGAAGAAGCACCCGAAGAAATCCAGGAAGTGAGTGAACTCAAGCAAGTTGAAGAGACCAGTGGAAGAAATCACTGACTTTTGACATTAAGATCGAGAAGCTTTCGCAAACCAGAAGAGGTACTTGATATAACACTTACATCCGGAAGAAGTGCCTCAGCTCGATGTTACACAAGTTATTGAGAAGCCAGTTGAACTAGAGGTCATTGAGAAGTCAGAAGAGAAGCCTGAAGAAGCGCTTGAGGAGAAAATAGAAGAGAAGATTGAAGAAAAGCCTAAAGAAAAGAAGAAAAAGAAAGCCGTTAGGAAGAAGGAAATGCCTGAAGTTGAAGAAAGAGAACAGGTACCTAAACAAGAACTTCCAGAAGAGGTCTTGGATATTGGGAATTAAGAATTACAAGAGAAGAACCACAGGTAAAGGAATTCGATCAGTGGTAGAAAAGATGCAAAAACCTGAAGAAGCTCCTGAAGAAGCTCCTGAAGAAAAACCAGAAGAGCAGATTGAAGAGAAGCCTAAAGAAAAGAAAAAGAAAGTTGTTAAGAAAAAAGAAAAGCCAGAGATCACTGAGATTGGGCTTAAACCAAGAGAAGAAGCACCCGAAGAAATCCAGGAAGTGAGTGAAATCAAGCAAGTTGAAGAGACAGTGGAAGAAATCACTGAGTTTTGACATTAAGATCGAGCAGCTTCGCAAACCAGAAGAGGTACTTGATATAACCACTTACATCGGAAGAAGTGCCTCAGCTCGATGTCACACAAGTTATCGAAAAGCCAGTTGAACTCGAAAGCATTGAGAAGCCTGAAGAAGCTCCGGAAGAAAAAACAAGAAGAGCAGATTGAAGAGAAGCCTAAAGAAAGAAGAAAAAGAAAGTTGTCAAGAAAAAAGAAAAGCCAAAATTACAGAGATTGAGCTTAACCAAAAGAAGAAGCACCTGAAGAAATCCAGGAAGTGAGTGAAATCAAGCAAGTTGAAGAGACAGTGGAAGAAATCACCGAGTTTGACATTAAGGTCGAGGAGCTTCCCAAACCAGAAGAGTGACTTGATGTAACAGTTACATCAGAAGAAATACCTCAGCTTGATGTCACACAAGCTATTGAGAAGCCACTTGAACTGGAGAGCATTGAAAAACCGGAAGAGAAACCTGAAGAAGCTCCTAAAGAAAAACCAGAAGAGCAGATTGAAGAGAAGCCTAAAGAAAAGAAGAAAAAGAAAGTTGTTAAGAAAAAAGAAAAGCCAGAAATTACAGAGATTGAGCTTAAACCAAAAGAAGAAGCACCTGAAGAAATCCAGGAAGTGAGTGAAATCAAGCAAGTTGAAGAGACAGTGGAAGAAATCACCGAGTTTGACATTAAGGTCGAGGAGCTTCCCAAACCAGAAGAGGGACTTGATGTAACAGTTACATCAGAAGAAATACCTCAGCTTGATGTCACACAAGCTATTGAGAAGCCACTTGAACTGGAGAGCATTGAAAAACCGGATGAGAAACCTGAAGAAGCTCTTGAAGAAAAACCAGAAGAGCAGATTGAAGAGAAGCCTAAAGAAAAGAAGAAAAAGAAAGTTGTTAAGAAAAAAGAAAAGCCAGAGATCACTGAGATTGAGCTTAAACCAAAAGAAGAAGCACCTGAAGAAATCCAGGAAGTTACTGAAATCAAGCAAGTTGAAGAGGCAGTGGAAGAAATCACCGAGTTTGACATTAAGTCGAGGAGCTTCCCAAACCAGAAGAGGGACTTGATGTAACAGTTACATCAGAAGAAATACCTCAGCTTGATGTCACACAAGCTATTGAGAAGCCACTTGAACTGGAGAGCATTGAAAAACCGGATGAGAAACCTGAAGAAGCTCTTGAAGAAAACCAGAAGAGCAGATGAAGAGAAGCCTAAAGAAAAGAAAGAAAAGAAAGTTGTTTAAGAAAAAAAGAAAAGCCAGAGATCACTGAGGATTGAGCTTAAACCAAAAGAAGAAGCACCTGAAGAAATCCAGGAAGTTACTGAAATCAAGCAAGTTGAAGAGGCAGTGGAAGAAATCACCGAGTTTGACATTAAAATCGAGGAGCTTCCCAAACCAGAAGAGGGACTTGATGTAACAGTTACATCAGAAGAAATACCTAAGCTTGATGTCACACAAGCTATTGAGAAGCCACTTGAACTGGAGAGCATTGAAAAACCGGAAGAGAAACCTGAAGAAGCTCCTGAAGAAAAACCAGAAGAGCAGATTGAAGAGAAACCTAAAGAAAAGAAGAAAAAGAAAGTTGTTAAGAAAAAAGAAAAGCCAGAGATCACTGAGATTGAGCTTAGACCAAGAGAAGAAGCACCTGAAGAAATCCAGAAAGTTACTGAAATCAAACAAGTTGAAGAGACAGTGGAAGAAATCACCGAGTTTGACATTAACATCGAGAAGCAGCAAAAGCCTGAAGAAGTAATGAATATAACAACTACATCCAAAGAAGCTCCTCAGCTTGATGTTACACAAGTTATTGAGAAGCCAGTTGAACTAGAGGTCATTGAGAAGTCAGAAGAGAAGCCTGAAGAAGCGCTTGAGGAGAAAATAGAAGAGAAGATTGAAGAAAAGCCTAAAGAAAAGAAGAAAAAGAAAGCCGTTAGGAAGAAGGAAATGCCTGAAGTTGAAGAAAGAGAACAGGTACCTAAACAAGAACTTCCAGAAGAGGTCTTGGATATTGGTGAATTAAGAATTACAAGAGAAGAACCACAGGTAAAGGAATTCGATCAGCTGGTAGAAAAGATGCAAAAACCTGAGGAAGTTACAACTGACCATGCTCCTGAAACGGAGCTTTCAGAAACTACAAAAATTCCTTCTGAAATAGACGAAGTTGAAAAGAAAGCAGTAGACGAAGTTATTCCGAAGCTGCAAAAGAAGCCGAAGCAGAAACGCAAGCTCTCTATAAAAGTTTTGGATTCAGAAGACGAAACTACCTCACCCACTAGTGTTGACTTTAAGTTTATAAAGCCAGTTCCAGAAGAACAAATTAGTGATGAGCCTGTAGAACTTGTTTATGAAACACACAGAGAAGAGACAATCGATATTGAAGTTACTTTAGAAAGCTTGCCCCAACCAACTATTGAAGAAGTTGAATCCAAACCTTTGAAGGAAGGAGAAGCCTTCGAAACACCCAAAGAGCCTGTAGTCTCTCAGGAAGCTCAAATTCTTGAAGAAATGGATACTACTGAAATAAGCAAAGATGAAGTCCCTGTCAAACCCAAAACAAAGACTATTAGGCCTAAAACCTGAGCAACCAAAAGTCAGGAGAAAGCCAAAGCGTAAACCTGAAACCATTCCCGAGGAAGAAGAGTTCTTTTCGGCTGGTGAAAGTGCTGATGAATTTGAAGAAAGAGATGCAGAAATTTATGAACACGCTGACTTAGAACTGGAAGCAGTTACTGTAGATGAGGCTGAGCTTTTTGAGTCTGCAGTTGACTCAAGTGAACTGCCAGTGTTACAAGAAGCATTGGCATCATCTATGGAACTTCGTTTGGCGGAGGAAGCCACTCAAGAGGCACCAGAGGTTATCTCTCGTCCTAAAGATGAGCTTCTAATTACAGAAAGAGTGGCGAGCTTTCTTGATACTTTTGAAAGTGCAAAGCCCACTGAAGTGCATGAAGACAGTTCTTTATTAGAACAGGCTGTTACAACAACCTTAGTTCCTAGTGAGGTGCCAAGTGCAGAAAAACTTGAAGTCTCCGTGAAAGAAGGTGAGGAGCTGATTACTTTAGAAATGAAACTATTTAGTGATACAATGGAGCAAGAGCAAGAACTACAAGTGGTATTTGAAGAAACAAACGAAGCACTGGTTCCAACGAAGCCGTCCATTTCAGAGCAACTGGAACTTACACCTAAGCGAAGAAGAAAAGTCCCAGGTAAGTGTGTAAGGTTGAAAGCTGTCATTATTCTCAATATTATGTCTTTCCATATTGATGGTACTCAATTTCCTTTGGTACATGAATCTTTTTAGAATGAATAATAGTAAAGCAAGGAGAAGCCACTATGAACATATTTTCTTAACCTTAACATTGTTATTATATTATTGTAATATATGTGGTAAATTGAAGGTTTCTGAAAACAAACAAGTGATGCAACTTGCCCGAAAAAATGAATGGCAATATATTGGGTATCTTTTACCTCACAACTTTTAGTGCCGTGTGTTGGCCAAAATCCTGGAACTTGTGATGATGTGCAGCAATGCTCCACTTGCCAGTCCTGGGTTTCTATTATTTGGACACAAAAGTATTTTGTAGTCTACTACATCTAAAGGATACAGTGCAAGTGCAAGCTTATGTAGTGCTGCTACAAAGCTATGTCTTGTCTGAGTACTAGCCTGTTAGCCTGGGATCTTTTGCTACTGGTAATGCCAAACTAAATATGGTCAGTTTTTTACGTTATATGGTATTTTTAATAAAATTACATTAGTCATTACAAATCTCAACCATAATAAACTACCCAACTACTTTGGTACTTGATGAATGTGCTTGCTTATCACAAATGGGCCAGTTTTTTATACTTGCACATAGTTTCATTCAGGTCAGGAAATGACTATGACCAATCAGCATCAGATTCACTGCTGTTGTACTTTCAGTATAAATTTGCTATCCTGCCTCAGCCTTGTTTGCTGACACGAAAACTTGGAGAGCCATTGAGAAAAAAAAACTGCAAAAGAGTGATCAATCCTTACCTACAGTTAGATAAGTGACTCTCAAATAGTGGATCACTTATCCTTTTAAAATTCCGTAAGTGCTAACATCAAAATGGAATGAAAGCAAAAAAATAAAATTCAACTTCAAAATCGCAAACAGGAGAGTCGTATGTGAAACATGCACTTCAAATTCAAGCAGCATTCTATTTCATCCATACTATTTCATTGATATCTACTAGCAAAAATCTACAACAATAATTGTGAGAGTTTTATGCCCCAAAACCATGTTTTGTTGATGAGAAATGCTGTAGTGGAAGGCTCCTGATATTTTGACCATCTGGTATTCATACTGTGCTTCTAAATTTATGTAGACGGACTTGAAAGACTTTGCCACCATCGAAACGCAGTCCCCACAGCCAGGATTAAAAATCCACTAGCCACTAGCTCATTAAGAAAAAGTTTCTATTTGCAGCCAAGGCACACAGCCCAAAATTGATGACCACACTAAAGTGACTGTGCAGCCAAACCACCCTGTATACTTTCCAGTCTACACGTGCAGTGCACACAGTGAATTTGACATTCTTTATTGCCCAAATTTGAAAAAGAGAACTGTGCTCATCTATGTTGTGTTTGAAAATGCGATTCCTATTAAAGAACTTTATTCCCTAATATTCAATTTATAACTCTCACCATGATCAGTAATTTGCTTTCATTAAAGTTTTCATTTCGTTTAACCATAGGAATTAGGAATTTTACTTTGGTTTTGACCCAAAGTCTCACCCCTGTAAAGTGGAAGGGCCCCACACGTCTTTGTTTCAAGTTTCAAAGGCAAACCTCGTGTATACATAGCACCAGATATAAGACACACATACATTAACATGGTAAGGTAAGCATAATGAAATACTGTGCACCTATACATTCTTTACAAAATGTTGTACTTACCTATTTTATGGCACTAAATATGCTTAAAAAGTTTTGTAAGCTGTAAGTTCTAGCATGAAAATTTTCATTCAGTACCCAATTGGATGTAGAAACCCAACATTTTATTTTACTCAAAGCCATTGACGGTTTCATTTACCAATGTTCTATTGAGAATTCCTGCAACTTCAGCTAACAGTATTGCTGGGTTGCCATCATTGGTATTTGAGTGGCCTTTATGCGATGCTGTAGGCATGCTGCTAACAATATCACTGCTATAATTGAACTGCAAGTATGACAGGACCTAAAAGCTAATGTTTATTACAACAATGTTACTCTACTTCAACTGTTAAGGTCTACGTTCTTAAGAATGCTGCCACGATTTCTACTCGTAGAAACAATGTGCAGTACTTATGAATATAAATGCAATGCCAATTGTTTTATTATGACTGGCATACACATTTACCAGAGATAACCATGTCATCTTGTGACGAATCTAGTTTCTAAAGATAATTTTGGTTTTGATCAAAAGTTATGCCAGTATGCTCCAAACTAAAGATGGTGGAAGCAAAAGTTTGTCTTGTTTCGATCAGCAAGTACTACACATAATGTTCTCATCAGTGCACCTCATTTTAGGTGCACACACATACTACATGCATGCACACACACATATATACACAGACACACACATACACATGCACACACACACACGCACACACACACATAATAAATACTAGTTAAACCTTTGTAACTTTGTGGACATTGTAACTTTTAGCCTGCAAAATATAATACCAGCATCCTGGTGTTTTGTTTCATATTAATGGAGTAATTAAACTCTGGAATGTGACACGAAACTGACTTTAAGTCATAACTAACAAAGTTAGCTCATAGCACTTGCAATCCAAAGAACATATACCATATTTTGAGAACTGGAGCAATATTTTTCTTGTTGCACAGAACTACATTCTTTGAATTAGCACTGAATTGGTCCAGAAACTTTGATAATATTTCACTCGATAATATTGCATAACACATTTCAAGATAGCCAGTTGATCGTTATCACAAGCAAAAAATAGTTCACTTCTCAAGGACAGAGAAAGTGCCTGTGCCTCATATTCCTTTTCTTTGTCCTCCTGAGGTGTGCAGTGTGTTTGCTTGTGATGATGCTTCACAAGCCAACACCCTATCTCAAAATCTGTTACAACAAGTACGCTTTAGGTTTTTGGAACTAATACAGATGTGTTTTTGCTACAAGTGTAATGAACATGTGCTCTCCTAAATTCACATATTCTTGTGTAGAATGCACCACAAGAGATCTAAATCTTGTAGCTTTAGCAAGACAGACTTGTCATTAGCAGAAATATATATTTTGGAAGCAAGCTGAAACTTTCCTTAAAATCTAATATAAATATTCAAAGATAACTTTATTTTCTTTTGGTGAGTTTTGAGCAATATGAAAAGACTTTCACAATTAATGAATGAGTGTGCTTCTATATGCAATTGTGCATAAGTTTAGCAATGCGCTTTGTATCCTACTAAAAAAAGTGTGTGTACGAATACAGCTTCCTAATTTAATGGAAATGCAAACTAAATGTAAAGCGTTTTGTTGCAACTGACTTGTAATCACAATAAGTCATACGAAATATTGTTTAGTACATCACATACCTTAGGCCGGTACATGCTATGTGTAATAACAGTTTGAATGTATTTTTTTCTTAGCATTTTTTAACTAAGCTGTGCAGCATAAACTTTATGCTGAACGTAATAATGTGATACACCACAGCAAAATAACATGGCAATGCTGCTTTCGAATTCATCATTACTTCATCAGATAATGGTAAGTATTTAATGCATTGAGGCATGAGTGTTACTAACTGCATGACCTAGTAGCAAACACAGTTTTGCGAGTATGCATGATCGTGCATCATGATTTCAATTAATGCAATACAGCATGTGTTAAATAGTTTCATAAGCTTTCTATGTAAGCATGCCACAATACAGTAGACTTCATTAAAAAAAAATGCAGGAGAAGCGTAATAGTGCAGTTACATTACCGAAATTTTTATCTTGGGAAAGCGCTACTAACACATGTATGCCAAAAGACAAGCGAGACGGGCGCTGACCTGTAACTCAAGTTGTCAAGTTGCAAGTCAGCAGCTTTGCTGTTCATTTTCCTGTGGCCATGTGTTGTTAGCGTTGTTTGTAAGATGAAGCTTAACAAATTACCCTAATTCCACAAAGCTTTGTTGCCAAAAGTTTGCTTTAACTGTGCAGTGAATGTATGCAACTTTATTAAAGAAAGTGCATAAATTCAACAGATGGTCAGAAATTCATAGTAAAGTAAAAACTAAATGAAGTCTGCTGTAAAATACATATTATGTGTGATCATATGTGCCACTTAAACTGAACAAAAACAGCTTGACAAGCTTCTATAGACATGCACAAATCTTATTGCATTATTGTAAACTTGCAGAAAAGCCACAAGATGAAGTTATCCAAGATACCACAGTTAGCACACCAGAAAAACTAGAGGAGACACCAAAGGCTGAGGAAAAACCAGAAGTTAAAGAGGAAGAGGCCAAGCCAGAAGAGAAGACTCCTGAAGAAAAGAGGCTTAAACAAAAGAAAAAACCTAAGAAGCCTAAAATTACTGAGGTAGCACCTCAGGAAACTAATATCCTTAAGAAGCAAGATGAAATGCCAGAGGAGCTTCCTGAAAAGATTACAGAAGTAGTCTCAGTTCCCAAAGAAGAAAAGCCAGAAGAGGTGCCAAAGCCAGAAGAGGCACCAGAAAAGGTGGAAGAAGTTAAGCCAGAAGAGGTGCCAAAGCCAGAAGAGGCACCAGAAAAAGTAGAAGAAGTTAAGCCAGAAGAAAGGGCTATAGAAAAAGCAAAGATTAAAATTAAAAAGAAACCCAAAAAGCCCAAGGATGCTGAGGAAGCACCTGAGCAAGCTATTGTCCTCGAGAAGCCAGAGGAAAAACCAGAGCAGCTTCCTCAGGAGGTTACCAAAGAGGTCACAGTCCCCTTGATAGAAAAGCCAGAAGAAGTGCCAAAGCCAGAGGAGGCACCAGAAAAGGTGGAAGAAGTTAAGCCAGAAGAGAAAGCTCCAGAAGAAGCAGAGATTAAAATTAAAAAGAAACCCAAAAAGCCCAAGGATGCTGAGGAAGCACCTGAGCAAGCTATTGTCCTCGAGAAGCCAGAGGAAAAACCAGAGCAGCTTCCTCAGGAGGTTACCAAAGAGGTCACAGTCCCCTTGATAGAAAAGCCAGAAGAAGTGCCAAAGCCAGAGGAGGCACCAGAAAAGGTGGAAGAAGTTAAGCCAGAAGAGAAAGCTCCAGAAGAAGCAGAGATTAAAATTAAAAAGAAACCCAAAAAGCCCAAGGATGCTGAGGAAGCACCTGAGGAAACCGCTGTCCTCAAGAAGGCAGAGGAAAAACCAGAGGACCTTCCTAAACAGGTTACGGAGGAGGTCACAGTCCCCTTGATAGAAAAGGCAGAAAAGGTGCCGCAGCCAGAAGAAGCTCCTGCAGAACTCGTGATTGATGAGAAACCTGAAATAGTTGAGAAAAAAGAAGTTATAGAAGAGGAGTCTAAACTTACCATAAAAAAGAAACCAAAGAAACCGAAATTTATGGAAGAGACACCTGAAGAAACTGTGACACTTGAGAAGACTGAGGATAAACCAGAACAACATCCAGAGGAAGTGACGAAGGATGTCACTGTGACACTAGAAGAGAAGCCAGGGGAAACTCCTAAACCTGAGGAAGCTCCTGAAGAACTGACTGTTGAAGAGAAACCTAAACCAGTTGAGAAAAAGGAAGTTGTAGAAGAGGGGGCTAAACTTACTATTAAAAAGAAACCAAAGAAACAGAAATTCATTGAAGAGGCACCTGAAGAAACTATGACACTTAAGAAGACCGAAGAGAAACCGGAAGAACGTCCAGAGGAGGTGACAAAGGATGTCACTGTGACACTAGAAGAGAAGCCAGGGGAAACTCCTAAACCTGAGGAAGCTCCTGAAGAACTGACTGTTGAAGAGAAACCTAAACCAGTTGAGAAAAAGGAAGTTGTAGAAGAGGGGGCTAAACTTACTATTAAAAAGAAACCAAAGAAACCAAAATTTACTGAAGAGGCACCTGAAGAAACTGTGACAGTTAAGAAAACCGAGGAGAAACTGGAAGAACGTCCAGAGGAAGTGACGGAGGATGTCACTGTGACAATAGAAGAGAAGCCAGAGGAAACTCCTAAACCTGAGGAAGCTCCTGAAGAACTGTCTGTTGAAGAGAAACCCAAACCAGTTGAGAAAAAGGAAGTTGTTAGAAGAAGGGGCTAAACTTACCATGAAAAAGAAACCAAAGAAATCGAAATTCATTAAAGAGGCACCTGAAGAAACTGTGACACTTAAGAAGACCGAAGAGAAACCGGAAGAACATCCAGAGGAAGTGACGGAGGATGTCACTGTGACACTAGAAGAGAAGCCAGAGGAAACTCCTAAACCTGAGGAAGCTCCTGAAGAACTGACTGTTGAAAAGAAACCTAAACCAGTTGAGAAAAAGGAAGTTGTAGAAGAGGGGGCTAAACTTACCATTAAAAAGAAACCAAAGAAACCGAAATTCATTGAAGAGGCACCTGAAGAAACTGTGACACTTAAGAAGACCGAGGAGAAACCGGAAGAACGTCCAGAGGAAGTGACGGAGGATGTCACTGTGACATTAGAAGAGAAGCCAGAGGAAACTCCTAAACCTGAGGAAGCTCCTGAAGAACTGACTGTTGAAGAGAAACCTAAACCAGTTGAGGAAAAGGAAGTTGTAGAAGAGGAGGCCAAACTTACCATTAAAAAGAAACCAAAGAAACCGAAATTCATTGAAGAGGCACCTGAAGAAACTGTGACACTTAAGAAGACTGAAGAGAAACCGGAAGAACATCCAGAGGAAGTGACGGAGGATGTCACTGTGACACTAGAAAAGAAGCCAGAGGAAACTCCTAAACCTGAGGAAGCTCCTGAAGAACTGTCTGTTGAAGAGAAACCCAAACCAGTTGAGAAAAAGGAAGTTGTAGAAGAAGAAGCTAAACTTACCATTAAAAAGAAACCAAAGAAACCGAAATTCATTGAAGAGGAACCTGAAGAAACTGTGACACTTAAGAAGACCGAGGAGAAACCGGACGAACGTCCAGAGGAAGTGACGGAGGATGTCACTGTGACACTAGAAGAGAAGTCAGAGGAAACTCCTAAACCTGAGGAAGCTCCTGAAGAACTGACTGTTGAAGAGAAGCCCAAACCAGTTGAGAAAAAGGAAGTTGTCGAAGAGGAGGCCAAACTTACCATTAAAAAGAAACCAAAGAAACCAAAATTTATTGAAGAAGCACCTGAAGAAACTGTGACACTTAAGAAGACCGAGGAGAAACCGGACGAACGTCCAGAGGAAGTGACGGAGGATGTCACTGTGACACTAGAAGAGAAGCCAGAGGAAACTTCTAAACCTGAGGAAGCTCCTGAAGAACTGACTGTTGAAGAGAAACCCAAACCAGTTGAGAAAAAGGAAGTTGTCGAAGAGGAGGCCAAACTTACCATTAAAAAGAAACCAAAATTTATTGAAGAGGCACCTGAAGAAACTGTGACACTTAAGAAGACTGAAGAGAAACCGGAAGAACATCCAGAGGAAGTGACGGAGGATGTCACTGTGACACTAGAAGAGAAGCCAGAGGAAACTCCTAAACCTGAGGAAGCTCCTGAAGCACTGACTGTTGAAGAGAAACCCAAACCAGTTGAGAAAAAGGCAGTTGTCGAAGAGGAGGCCAAACTTATCATTAAAAAGAAACCAAAGAAACCAAAACTTATTGAAGAGGCACCTGAAGAAACTGTGACACTTAAGAAGACTGAAGAAAAACCAGAAGAACATCCAGAGGAAGTGAAGGAGGATGTCACTGTGACACTAGAAAAGAAGCCAGAGGAAACTCCTAAACCTGAGGAAGCTCCTGAAGAATTGACTGTTGAAGAGAAACCTAAACCAGTTGAGGAAAAGGAAGTTGTAGAAGAGGAGGCTAAACTTACCATTAAAAAGAAACCAAAGAAACCAAAATTTACTGAAGAGGCACCTGATGAAACTGTGACACTTAAGAAGACCAAGGAAAAACCGGAAGAACGTCCAGTGGAAGTGGCGGAGGATGTCACTGTGACACTAGAAGAGAAGCCAGAGGAAATTCCTAAACCTGAGGAAGGTCCTGAAGAACTGACTGTTGAAGAGAAACCTAGACCAGTTGAGAAAAAGGAAGTTGTCGAAGAAGAGGCCAAACTTACTATTAAAAAGAAACCAAAGAAACCGAAATTCATTGAAGAGGCACCTGAAGAAACTGTGACACTGAAGAAGCCAGAGGAACAGCCGGAAGAACATCCAGAGGAAGTCACAGAGGATGTCACTTTAACATTAGAAGAAAAGCCAAAGGAAGCTCCAAAGCCTGAAGAAGTTCCTGAAGAACTGACAATCAAAGAGATGCCTAAACCTGTTGAGAAAAAGGAGGCTGTTGAAGAGGAGGCTAAACTTACCATAAAAAAGAAACCAAAGAAACCAAAATTCATTGAGGAGGCACCTGAAGAAACTGTGACACTGAAGAAGCCAGGGGAACAACCAGAAGAACGTCTAGAGGATGCCACAGAAGACGTCACTGTAATATTAGAAGAAAAGCCAAAGGAAACTCCAAAGACTGAAGATGCTCCTGAAGAACTGACAATTGAAGAGAAACCTAAACCTGTTAAAGAAAGAGAAGTTGTAGAAGAGGAGGCCAAACTTACCATAAAAAAGAAACCAAAGAAACCAAAATTCATTGAAGGGGCACCTGAAGAAACTGTGACACTGAAGAAGCCAGAGGAACAACCGGAAGAACATCCAGAAGAAGTCACAGAGGATGTCACTGTAACATTAGAAGAAAAGCCAAAGGAAGCTCCAAAGCCTGAAGAAGCTCCTGAAGAACTGACAATCAAAGAGATACCTAAACCTGTTGAGAAAAAGGAGGTTGTTGAAGAGGAGGCTAAACTGACCATAAAAAAGAAACCGAAGAAACCAAAATTTATTGAAGAGGCACCTGATGAAAGTGTGACACTGAAGGAGCCAGGGGAACAGCCGGAAGAACGTCCAGAGGATGCCACAGAAGACGTCACTGTAATATTAGAAGAAAAGCCAAAGGAAACTCCCAAGACTGAAGATGCTCCTGAAGAACTGACAATTGAAGAGAAACCTAAACCTGTTAAAAAAAGAGAAGTTGTAGAAGAGGAGGCCAAACTTACCATAAAAAAGAAACCAAAAAAACCAAAATTCATTGAAGAGGCACCTGAAGAAACTGTGACACTGAAGAAGCCAGAGGAACAACCGGAAGAACATCCAGAGGAAGTCACAGAGGATGTCACTGTAACATTAGAAGAAAAGCCAAAGGAAGCTCCAAAGCCTGAAGAGGCTCCTGAAGAACTGACAATTGAAGAGAAACTTAAACCTGTTGAGAAAAGGGAAGCTGTAGAAGAGGAGGCTAAACTTACCATCAAAAAGAAACCAAAGAAACCGAAATTCATTGAAGAGGCTCCTGATGAAACTGTGACACTGAAGAAGCCAGAGGAACAGCCGGAAGAACGTCCAGAGGAAGTCACAGAAGATGTCACTGTAACATTAGAAGAAAAGCCAAAGGAAGCTCTAAAGCCTGAAGATGTTCCTGAAGAACTGACAATCGAAGCGAAACCTAAACCTGTTAAAAAAAGAGAAGTTGTAGAAGAGGAGGCCAAACTTACCATAAAAAAGAAACCAAAGAAACCAAAATTCCTTGAAGAGACACCTGAAGAAACTGTGACACTGAAGAAGCCAGAGGAACAGCCGGAAGAGCATCCAGAAGAAGTCACAGAGGATGTCACTGTAACATTAGAAGAAAAGCCAAAGGAAGCTCCAAAGCCTGAAGAAACTCCTGAAGAACTCACAATCGAAGAGAAACCTAAGCCAGTTGAGAAAACGGAAGTTGTAGAAGAGGCCCAGCTTACTATTAAGAAACCACGGAAGCCAGGACTTCATGATGAGTTACCTGAAGAGATTCCAACAATTACTTTAAGAAAAAGAACTTCAAAACCTCAAGCTCTTGATGATATTAGTGAAATGTTTACAGTGTCTCTCAAAGAAGAGGCTCCTGCAGCAAGACAGTATGATGAAGTTGAAGAAATGTTTGAACTGAAGATCCCCCATAAACTTAGTGCCGCAGATTCAGATGTTTCTTTAAAGATAGAAGATGAGGATCAGGCTACAACAGAGGATACTATTCACCTTGATCTTACTTCCAAAGAAGACCAGCACACAGTGACAGAAGCTTCAGGTAAGTTTTTACCAACAACTTATAAGTACTTGTAAATGCAGGTGTTCTAATACGTATTTTCATATTTCTGTAACAAACATGTCATACTATAGAAAACAGAGCACTACACTCTAAGGTACTATAGCATAAAAATGATGAATTATTGTCTCACAATAATAATCATAATATGGCTAATATGCATATTTTTAATAAAAACATTGATGGTACTAAATAGTAAAACTTGTTATTTAGTTTCAGGTCATTGACTTGAGTATATTTGTTTATATTAGAAAGTTGTAGTGCATGACAATTTATGGCATACCAATTTTTTAGAAATGACAAAAGTTGCACATAGTCCGAGTTCGTCATCATTGAATTTCAAGGGCGAAATCGAAATTGATCATGTCTGGCACGCACAAGGCACAGTGAAATAACTTGTGACAGGGAAGAGACAAAATTTGAATAAAGGCGCACAAAACCCCAGTCTGGTCAGAAAAATTGGCGAGCATTCTGAAATACACAAGTAGATAGCCTAATGTTTGCATGCGATAAGTGGTGCTCATCTGTTTTGTTTTTTTTAACTATAAAGAGGCACAAAAGACTGTTTCACCTCTCTGTAAGAAGTGCCACAGTGGCTGCCCTCAAGTTTTATACTTTGCAGACAAAGCAAAGGATGATGTAGTTTTTTTGGGGGGGGGCTCATTTCAAAAGAATCGAGTAACCATCAAAAACTACATGCAAAAGTAAGGAGATGTGCCACACGATTGAGGTGACTTCCAGCTTGTCACAAAAACATATGGACATAGAACACCTTTATTAAGATTTCCTCAGTACCTTGCCATCGGTAGTTCTGGTCAGATGTAGCAGAACCGTCGTGCTTCATGCGCGCCAGATGCGATCAGTTTCAATTTCACCTTTGGAGTTTGATGACAAATATCTCCAACGATGTTCAATGTTTGTGATTTTAAAAAAATAGGTATGCAAAAAATTGGCACACACTACACTATACATTATAAATTTAATTAACACCTAGTCTTAGTCAAAGATTGAAAATTTAATTAAGGAGTGTTTGTTTATTACGTACGATGGGGTTATTTTAACCACAGCAAAGTCTTTCCACCTCGACATGGAGCTCTTGTCACAGGAGCCCTACTGTCATAGAATTTATTAAAAATTAAGTATTGCATAAAAAAACACCACTTATCTAAGAAATTAATTGTTTTGCACTGAGTTTACATGATTATTTTTATGTTCACCTGGTTCCTGTTGGGACACTTTGTTTTTTTAAGTTGCACGCTTTAGGAAGCAAGATATTTTGCTCTTTTTTTTTCTGTATAAATGTGAGCTGCCCCTGTTATTCTAATTGTCTGAATTGCCAAACACGCGCATTGTGCTTAGGTGGATCAGCATATTACGTACATGTTGACTCTGAATTAGTTTTATTGAATTGTATCTGCCTGTATTTTATTTTCAGACGAAGTAAAGATTGTCCTTCAAGAGCCTCAAGGTAAAGATGCACTATTACTTTAGCACCTGTGATCTCCATTTTTAATCAAGCCTTACAGCATAAAAGCTGGGGTATTTGGATTTCTCACATGTGATGCACTAATAGTGCTTTGCAAAAAAAGAAGAAAGATAAATAAATAAATAAAATGCTTTGATAGTAAAATAACAGCTAAAATAAAGAGGATCCTGGTCTCCATCCAACTTTTACTCATGTAAAATAAATTGCATAGGTGGTAGCAAGAAAGTTACCTCAAAACGTGGAGCATACAGCAAGACATGCCACAGATAGGTGTCATGCATTTTATGCAGATACTTGCCCCTTTCATCATTGTCAGTAAGGTAGAAGCAATGCTAATCTATTTATCTGCCTGGTTATTATTATTATTATTATTATTATTATTATTATTATTATTATTATTATTGTTGTTGTTGTTGTTGTTGTTGTTGTTGTTGTTGTTGTTGTTGTTGTTGTTGTTGTTGTTGTTGTTGTTGTGTTGTTGTTGTGTTGTTGTTGTTGTTGTTGTTGTTGTTGTTGTTGTTGTTGTGTTGTTGTTGTTGTTGTATAGGTGCTACAGGACTGGCCTTTTTCTTCTTTGTAATATGCTACGAAATAAAGGAGTGCACTGACATAATTTATGGCAGTCTGCTAAGTAGTCATATTGCTCATGCTGCGCACATATAAAACAGTGCATCACATATAGAAATGTCTATTATGATTACTATGCCTGTTAAAGCACTTTTTCTTTTTTTTTTCTCCGCAGGTGATGAAGAGGATACTGTAAGTTTGCTTTTGGTGTCCTCAGTAGACAGAATAGCTGCAGTTTTGTGGTTTATGCACTTCCACTTTTCAAGAGAGTGAAAACTCGATTTAGAAAGATGATGACTATGCAAGAATTATTTCGGTAAATCTCGAAGTTGGTACAATAAAGAAAGAAATTGATCTGTTGGTAAAAATCTAAAATTCTAACATAGCAACACGCAAAAACCACCATAACATTTATGTGCTGGTAACCAACGCTGTGCGTGTGGAAAGTCCGCTAGGGTGGTTCTGACATGGGAAGCTTCCTGCTTGGGCGGCGGCGTCTAGGATGATAGTCGTTTGAAGCTATAACAGGATGCTGATACACAGAGATGCAGAGAACGAGTGCAGTGATTGTATGAGCAGGCCGAGCAAGAAAGTTGAGAGATGTTCAGTGCCATCTGACTCATAAACCATGCATTAATGAAAGCAAACACAAACCACTTTTAGCTCCACCTGGTATGTAAGAGTTGCTACAGACTGCCAAGCTCATTGTCTCCTGCATGGGGCACAGCATATGCAGCCTCATCAAAATATAGCTAGAATCGTGACAGTTTTAACATAATAGCATTAGAGTGAATACTAAAAAAAAAACCTGTCCATGTCAAAATTGGAAAAAAAAAAACTCCCATTCTTGCTCAATTCTTTCCAAGAAAAACTTCATTGAATCAGGTTTGGCAGTGGCCAAGTTGCTTTCATCAGCACAAGTTCACGGCAACATGAAACCCTATGGGTACCTGCTGGAGAATAGAAATTGCTTATTTGATTAGAAACTTTGTAAAATCTGGTTTTATCAGATGAAGTTTTAACTGTAGTGCACTGAACAGGTTTCTCGTGAATAGTTTTTTCGTACACTAGAGGTGTAGCCAAAAATTTTTTCAAGGTGTTAAACCAACACCCAAGAAAAAATTTTCCAGGGGGTTATTTGTTTGTGCATGTTTTGTTATGTACACAGGATGTCCCACATAACTTGAGCCAAGAATTTGAAAATGAAAAACACTTCAGTGGCGAATTGAACCAAACGCGTACTATTTGCAATAGCCTGTAGGTACTCGGGCTATTTTTTATTTCTCCCCATACTAATTAATTAATAATTTTTACCTATTTTTTAATTATGGGCTGGAAACCCAAAATGTGAACACTGATATGTATAGCACTTTCAGAAACCACCGACTAAATTGTTTCCTGTATGATACGTCTAGTGCTGTTATTTTTTCAGCATTGTAAAGAAAGCCTATAGCAGCACTATGGCAGTGCACTCGCGGTCCGTCACATGGCTTCTTTTCACATTTTGCGGGCTTTCTTTACAACTTTGAAAAAATAACAGCGCGAGACGTATCGTACAGAAAACAATTTAGTCGGTGGTTTCTGCAAGTGCTCTACATCTCAGTGTTCATATTTGGAGTTTCCAGCCCATAATTTAAAAAACGGATAATTACGAATTATTAATTAATTAGTATGGGGAGAAATACAAAATAGCCTGAGTAACTACAGGCTAGTGTGAGTAGTATGAGTTTGGTTCAATTCACCTCCTAAGTGTCTTTCACTCTCAAATTCTTGGCTCAAGTTATGTGGGACACCCTGTATACGTACGCAAAATTGAAAATTGGGGATAGGGAAGTTGAAGCTCCCCCGCCCCCCACTTCTCCCAATCTGGTTACAACATTGACATATGCTCCGTATTATTACAAAAAGTATCTTTAAAGATGCACATGGGATGAACTGACTTGATGTAAGCAAAATGCAAAATGTTTAGCAAACTATCTAAAAGGTGTTGGTGCGAGCTGTTTCGACATATTACTTCACTATGACAGCATAATGGCATTAAGCTGAGACAAGGACCAATAAGGCAAGGTGCACTATTCATGTGTATATTGCTTGTTTGGCTGGCCTCTTTTGTGTCTGCCAAATTTTTATGCTGCTACCCTTTTATTAAAAGGTGCTTTTGTAATTATGATACAAACATCCATATAATTCCCACATGAAACTAGAATTGAGAGCTTCTTTTGTGGCCACTTCTAAATGACATATGTATATTTTGTCAGCTGTCATATCTGATGAAAAAAAAAATGGATGTTTAACGTAGCGGCATATTATAGATAGTGCTGCACAGCTTGAGAGATCAGATTACCCCTCCTCCAGGTTATGAACAATTTCAAACATTACTGCTCACTTTCTGAAATATGCTATGCTACCATAGAGCCATTTTCACTAATAATGAAAACTTCTTATGAGCCATACCAGTGATCATGGTTAAGTCACAGAATGTGTTTTTTCTTATTTTGGCCACATTGGCTTTAGAAAACTTCATAAAACTTGCTATTCCAAGCATCAAGCTCCCTTACAATGCACCATAACTTTTGCCAATAAAAATTGTGTGGGCTCTATAACGCGCAGTAAAAATGACATCACAGCAAGGAGCCTCAACGTGTTGCATTAGCTGTATTTTCCTTTTGCCTATTTTCTTGCTTACCAAGCGTCTTGTGCCCAGAGTGGTGCCTTTGTTTCATGAAAGGACTGCTTTCTAATAATACGAGATAGATCATTTTTTTCTTTACTGTCCATTTAATCACAAGTTTAGAAGTTCCTTTTTTTATGCTAACCATACCTAAGGCTAGCATTAGTTTTATGCACTTATTATATAATATTAGCATACCAGTTAGTCTATTTGAAGATTATATATGCCATACAGTGAGTCACTTGAGAAAAAAGGACTTAAATAATTACATAATGAATAATGAGCACATAGCTGTTCTCACTTTGTTTGAAAAGCTTCCCATTGAGTAAAAAGCAAAATTGTAGTTTCAAAAGCATAGGAGTTTCTTTCTTTGCCAATTGCTTAAATCAACACACACAGTGCTAGCACTTTATACAAGTCATGAATGCAGTTTGGTCCTTCTTTCACAAAAACAAGCTATAAGATACTTATAAGAAAAAAAGAGTGAATTGTCATAATTTAATTAGGACAGTTGACAAAAAGATCAAAATGTCGATTCGTAAGGTTAAATGCATATGCTTTACACTTGAGGACTTGTTTTAACAATAGTAACAAAGAAATGTATATCTTCTTGCTTATTTGTTTAGGAAACACATGTACAGTTTTTCACCAGTAAAGCTTTCATCAGCATGTAACACTGTTGTCCAGTGGCTGAGTATAAAAATAAAATTGTTAACCACTGTTACAGTACAATACTCTGCTTCAGTAATTAATAACAACAAACTTTTGATCCTATATTAAATCATTTTTAATAATTGGTCTACAAAAATATTACAAGAAGTTGTTTTGTCATGCTCTGGGAAAAGTGGAGGAATACAAATTTATACTTGTTTATTTCTCATGGCTCAATCAAGCAGAACAATAAACACGTTGGACGACATACCAAGCAGGTGTCCCACTCTGTCTGCTGACCTATGTATTTTTTTGGGCTGTTTCAGTAAAAAGCATAGGCAAACTTAAAGATTAGGTACATTAAAGGTATGCCGCCTGTGCTGACAAAATCTCGTAAGTGTGAAATTTCCAGACACTTTACGCATTTGAGACAAGCAATGTGTGAACCCATGAGAATCTCTGTCTGAGACCTTCTTCATTATGGACATGTAGGGTTGAAATTCTCCAGTGGCTTGAGTATGAGCTCAGCCACCTTATGTTGAATTCCAATGGCGGAGTCGGTGCAGCCGACCGACTTCGCGAGCGAGCACTCGACTCTAGCGTAGAGCAAATCCTCCAAATCCGCCATCGGAACACAACCCGCCCTGCTGGAGCAAGGCGGAAGCTGCCGCGTTACCCAGGATACCTTGCGCGTGGTCTTTTCCGCTGTCTGTTTCCCACGTGGTTTACCAGCATCACCGCATCGTTCGTTTGCTTGTTCAGCGCTATTCACCTGTGTGGAATGGATATCACGCCAAGCGTGCAACAGTTATTGTCCACGATGTCTGCTGTCGCTATCAAGTAGCAGAAGCATTGCCGCACGCTTTGCCGAGGTAGCCGAGCCGTCCGTGCCGTCCGCCATTATCAACACAACTCGCGCCGCGCCAGCCGCGCCCCCAAGCAGGCAAACGTGTTAAAGGAAATGCGCCACGCTGAGTTCCGGTCCACTCCACCGATTTCGGCGGAGCAGTTTTTCCTGCTCCACAGAGGGACTCCCGCTCTGAATCCCCTCCGGCTCTCTCATTGGAACTTTTGACTCTCGCTCTCACTCTGTCATTGGAACACACTTGCTCTGAAAGGAGCAGAAAAACTTGCTCTTACTCCGCCATTGGAATTCAACATTAGTTACACTGACTGAGGTGTGTGAAGAAGCCCGCATGTAGGACTTGATGTAAATATTCAAAAAACAAAACATACTTTGTACGATGATTGCTGTTGGTTCTTTATTTATTCTGACTCTTTGTCATTATTCGTTTCAGCCTCTAACATTCGTTACGCTTATCTCTGAGTATTAATTATAATGTACTTGTTCCTATGCAAAATATAGCCGATTTTCAGGCTTAGTTGCATGCTGTGCATGTATAGCTCTCATGTGGTGAAATGCACTTTTCAAGGCTAAGTAATGCACATACTTTTGTTTCCACCATCATCATTTCATATCATATCGGCGTAATTCTGACTGGAACATGAAAATCGAAGCAAACTTTATTTTCAACAGCCACATTCGTTGTGACACAATGCACTGACCCTGAGTAATTGTGCATACAAATCATTATAGTAAAAGCCTTGATATCTCATTTCACACCTTAAGGAGTAAATATACAAAATCTATGGTGTTAGTATATATCAAGCTGTGTAACTACAGAGAAAGTATAAAAAAAAAGTGAGAATAGACACTTCAATCTCAATTTTTATGCAGGAAATAATTGAATATGTGGCAATCACTACCTACATCACAGAAGAGGAAGATGGCTTAGACCTTGAGGAAGGTAAACATTTTTTTAATACTTCTAAAAAGTAATCACAGCAATCTATATGCTCCTTATACCAAGCCAAAAATCAGATGTGGAAATACATTAAAGGACAATGATATCAGTTAAATAAATAAATATGTTATTGAATTTCATTAAAGAAAAATAAAAATGCATCTATAATACATTGGCATTAGCACAATAAATGTCACTAAATGAAACATTCATTATTCTACTCACTGCTGGTCAATTTTAGAAGTTAAATTTAAACAGCTCAGGCAAAGGAAGGCTTGGGCATTCTTTGAACAAGCAACAACTGTAGCTTAAGGGGAGATGCTATTTGGAAAAAAAAAGTTTTTATTTTATAGCCTAAAGCAATGACATTTTTGCTGATTTTATATATTTTCATGCTGCTTTTAAATACGTAATCAGTTTTATATATAGTTTTCATTTTGTACCACGACAATGTGTGAAATATAGCTCTGTTTGGGCACACTTTTTCTGCCTCTAAACATTTATGGTTATGAATTGTTAATAACTCATATTGACCCACAGTAACTGTAGAATGCAAATAAGTAACGAGAAAGTGTGTATAACATGAACAAGCAAAAATATAATGTGAGAAGTCTTAAAAAGCTAAGCTCATACTAATTGCTTACTAAAGATTCATATTGATTATATAAGAGATAACAGGTTCTAAAGAAGATGCCTGCACTCTCCACATGTTAATATATGTGTGGAAAAAATATCATTCTGGTCTGGCCATCAGAAGTACCAAAAATAGGATGTCCAATCTCAAAAAGTTGCCCTCAACTGCGTCTCAAGGAAAATGCATTTTAAATGTAGAAATTAAATCCCATCTATGTGGCAGAAATATGGTTTTTGAAATGATTTCTTTTATCATGAGACCTTGTAAATTATGGTTACTTTAATCATGTGCCTTTCGTGAACTCTTCATGCAAAATGCAATTGCAAGCAGCCAGGTGACAATTTCTAGGGGACTCCAGATAATGAGCTGCATTTAGATTTGAATGGCCACTTTAAACGTGATTTTAGCGAACTTTCAGTTAAACTACACTTTTAATTTTTTTCATCAAGAAAGCAGAAAAACTAAACTTGAGACAGCAAGTAAAAATAAAAAGAAAACATGTATATAAAAATTACATTTTTCAATCAGAATCACCTTTAAAATTTATGACAGAAAGTTTTATAATTACATAATTTTATTACAAAAATTTTATTACAGAAAGTTACAGAAAGTCATTGTGATATGTTTCACAAATGTTTCTAAACACTATTACACTTAAGGAGTTAAGAGAAAACAGCATAAAATCATTCATATGTTACTTTTCTTTTAGGTGAGCATGTTATTTTAGTGGAACAAAAAACTGAGGAACGATGGCTTGTACGAAAGACTATCACGAAAGAAAAAGGAATAGTTCCAAAGTCCATCTTAGAAGATGTTGCTTCTTACAATCGCCTTCTGGATCAAGTTTTGGAAGAAAAAATAGGCAAACTACCTGTATTTGGGAGTGAGTATTTTTTACGTGTTCATTTATTTTTTTTCCTTTTATGACACATTCATCTCAGCATTGAGGGCAAGAAAGCTAACTTGAAATGCCTGAAATACTGCAGTCAAAATTATAATTGAGTGTGGTCTGACTGTCCCAATACACATACATTGAGATTGAGCTCTCCCACTCACATGCTTCAGAACTGCTTGATGGGCGAGCTGGCATTTCCTGAGATGTACACCCTTGCCCCGATGGTGTGTACAATCGTACTCATACACATAGACACAGTGCATTTTCCTTCAATGGCTCGAATGGAAGAAGGCACATTTGTGCAGGCATTCTGAGTGCACAACTAATGCTCATTGAACTTAAGTGCACTGCATATTGCTACAGAGGATCACTTTGCTGGAGACACTACCATGTTCAACAATCATTCAACATGCCGTGCTCCAGGGCCAATGTCAAGAATTTTTTTTTCTTTTTTCGAAATGAGTACACCCAAAAAACACACTTTGCATGTGTTTTAGGCCTAATAATCGATTCGTTTTATGCAAAAATATTAGCTGACAAAGTATAAGATAATTAGATATTTAATTGCATGCCAGTTAACATTAATTACTTAAACTCACACAAAACACATTCTTTCATTTCCTTTCCTGGAGTGTATTACATAGTGCCTTGAAACCATTCCATGCGAATTTCACGAACTTGCAGACAGTGCATCATATTTCGTGCCTGAAGGGGGTATTTGCCAGTAAAACACACATGTACAAGCAGAAACAGTGACATTTTTTTTTACATTTTCTAGGCAGCAAATATATCTTTTACTTTCTTTGCAGAAGTTGTTAACCTTAACATTAAAAACAGTTGAAAATAAAGCTTGACATAAGAAATATGGGCACCAGCTCATGCTACCTATACTATGAAAGATAATGGTATACTTTTATTGTTGTGTGCTAAGATATAAAGCACATAATGACAAGAGTTGGTGGAGAGATGCTGTTCTGCAGATTTATGTTTTTCTTGTTGAAATCCATTTGAGAGGATTGAAATTAAAATATTTAATTCCAAATAAAAACTAATGGCATGAAATTCTGAATGTATAGTAGAGCCAATAATATATAAACTCCCGATAATTCAAACTCTGATAATTCTAACTTTTGATTAATTCAAACAAAATTCAATTTTTTGGTTGGCCTTCTATTCTTTCTATTCTTTCAGTGTATTTAAAAGCTTCTTAATTCAGACTCCATCATTCGGTTAATTCATACTTTTTGCAGGTCTATAACAGAAAATATCAGTTGCTTTCCCACTAACATTTAAAAATTTGTGTGCTTATATAATCCTAACAGTCTAAAAATGAAAAATAAGCACCTGAGGCCTTCAAGGAAAAAGGCTTTGCAAGTAAACGAATGTTTGAAACAAAGCACACACATGGTAAACCGTGATGCTTCTCAACTGGTATAGAGAGCTTTGTGCTGAAAGCACATACTTATAGGAAAAAAAGCATTTGGCTATGCACGATTTCTTTAGAAGGTCTTATCAGCAGTAAATGGCCAATAAACTTGCCAACTTTATATCCCTACTTTCTGTTCAGTGTGTGCAGTTAGGGCTTAAAAAGGTATTAAAAATTTTGAAATGTGATTAAATAAATGCTTAATCATAATATGTGGTGTCACCCCACCCAGAGTCATTTGTCTAAAAACTTCTGATAATTCAAGCATCTTGATAATTCAAACAAAATTAAGAGGTCCCTTCTAGAGTCGACTGTATGAACAATGAGAGTCGACTTAATGAGTTGACAAATTAATGATAGTTGACTGTATGAACAGTGCTTTTTATTACCTTCTTTTAGCAATCCCATTGTGGACTTGGGGTAACTGTGCTCATGTTGGTGACCAAGTCTTTACTTTAGTGTATTTTAGTCGAAAAAACCACTTACATCAACCTGTGCACTGCAATTCCTACTGAACGTGTCTTACATTTCCATGATTTAAAAGATTAGTACACTGTTCAACATGTCAGATGGTAAAATTATCAAGTGTGTTCTATAAAGAATTCACCACATGAGTAGAATTTATTGAGCATCTAAAAAACAAGGATATTGTCATGTACCTTTATTTATTTATTTTTATGTGGGTTTCACCATTAAAAAATTAATAAAGAAAGAAAGAAATAAAGGCACATGGCAAGATTCCTTCTTGCAAAACAATAACTCATTGATATTCCAGAATGCCTTGGACATGATACATAGCCACTTGATGCTGTGTTTAAAAATCATTCAGATTTATATTTACCAAAGATTAAAATTATACCCTAGACAACTGTCATCAAACTTATGTGATTCTTTCTTTGAAGAACTATCTCCGGGTGAAAAAATGACCGCACCAAAATTCGTTGAAAGGCCCAAGCCAACAGAAGTTGAAAAGGGACAGCCGGCAACATTTCAGTGCAAAGTACAGGGTAACCCACGGCCATATGTCACTTGGTTTAAGCAGACGAAAATCATAAAGTCAACAACAGAATTTGAGGTGAGTGGTGCATACCTTTCATTATTGAACTCAAGTGTACAACTGTTTAATAAATTGGTAAGAACTGTGACTGAACCAGCATTGCTCATAGAATGAATTGAATTGAATGATGTTTTATCAACACCTCACTGATAAGATAGTGAGTGCAACTTTCCTGACAGAAATAAAGAATCATAACCTCTTTCACATAAGGACATCACTTCGTCTCAAACAAGTTTCCAACAAAAAACAATATAAAAAGTAATGAAACACAAATTTAAAAAATGGAAATTAAGTGCATCTACAAGGACTAAATTTTTCGTTGATCTTCTCTACTCATAAGGAATGCTTTAAAATTATGCTCCTGATTTTTGAAAACAAATATAGTCTTGACCTTCTTGTGAAACCTTATTAAAAATAATCAATGGTTTAATAAGAATAATAATATATAAACTTGCTTCTCAGTTGTAACATAAATGCCTCTATAGAAAAGCCAGAGTGGATAACAGTCCTGTATTTTGGGAACATAACTACTGCGTGTCCACAAAGCACCATCTTAAGATACAGAAATTTCTGTCATCAGACTTGCTTTTTAATCCTTTAATGTAACCCAAAGAAGTTATAAGATAACCTTTCTTTAAAGCCCATGCCTAATTAAATTTACCTAGTAAACACTAATGATTCTTGAATCCGCACTGAAAATGGTGGTGCTAATATACTGAGCAACTACTTCTCTTCAATAATTATGGCAAACTACCCAACTTCAGCTGAACAGCTGTCAGACACTTTATCCCAACTACTGGTAAAAATTGAAGTTACTGCTGATGGTATAGTTAACCTCATTCACTCACTCACATGCTCATCCTCACCAAACTAATAGAGAACTGCTCAAAAATATTGTTTCATCAGCAAGTTTTCCAAACTTTCCCTAATACTTATGTAATTTGACACAGTCAGTATTCTGGATAGTCTGAATGAAACTTAGTTGTTTGAGCCTAGAAATGACTCTGACCCTGCTAATTATCATCTTGAATTTTTACCCAACTCATCATGCACACTAGGCTACGTTATATTACTTAAAATTTCTCACTAAAGATTTAAAAAACTTGCTTATCTAACATTCAACAGATAAAAACTTGAATATGCTCAACTTTGCATTCATTTAAATGATTTCATCTGATATCCTGCATATGTGTACTCCAGTGTTTTTACTACCACCTGCACTGAAGATTCGCGCTATTAAAACAACTGGTAAGAAGTTCTTCTTGCATTGATCACAGCCATTCCTTAATGAGATTTCCTGCTGCACTTTTGCAATCAGCAATTCCTTAGTGCCTCGTGCAATAGCCTCATGGAACCTCCTCCCAGAACCCATTGTCACTTATACAGACTGCCAGAAATTTCCCAAATTACATAGCATTTTGCAGAATGAAGCATATAACATTTTGAGGAATATCAAAGTTTACTGCTTAAATGTGTGAAGTACCATGTAAACTGATGTATGTACTACTTTTATATTGATATAATAAGAATTGAATCATTACTATGACCCTAGGACTATGATTATTGCCACTATACAACAGCTCTATTTGATTTGTATAATTTAAATATTGCATTGTACTGTTTCTTATTCTTCAAATTTCTGCTATTTTTTCTTACTTTCAATTTTTTGAGCAATTAAATAGCATCTTAATGCCTCCCCTTATGTAATAGCTTCAGTTCCTTATGTCGTAAGTAATGAAAGAAGTGAAAAACAAAATGAGCATAGCTTTTACAAACTGAACTGGAAGCATATTATCCTCAAAACACACTGCAAGATACGACACTGCAAAAACTGACCACTGCATGATATTACTTCAAGGTATGATTACTGAAAAGTTATTAACATAACCTATTCTTTCAAGCTACTATAGTAAAAACTGTCTAAAAACTAATATAGTAAAATAGTAAAATCTTTGTATTTCAGATTTATTATGATGAAGAAAATGTCAGCACCCTTGTCATTAATGAAGTCTTCCCAGAAGATGCAGGGACATACACTGTGGTTGCCAAGAACCCAGCAGGCTTTGCATCATGCTCAGCTGACTTAACAGTTCAAGGTAAGAAAATCGAAGCCCTGTTAGCAATAGTTTTCAATGCACTTGCACCTTATGCATTATGGCATTAAACTAAGGCTTTCAATGCTGCCGTTGCAGCACACACCTCTCACACAGGTAAATAAGTAAACATGTTTTCAAGAGCCTATTAGAATGAATACACGAGTGGGTTTCCATTTCCTATTGTTTCCTTTTTTTGTATGTTTTTCATCATATCACTGATGGGGAGATTATATTTCCCTCTGTAATTATATTTATTATCAGAAAGGGTTATACTTCATAGCATAAGCATATTACTCTCAGTATCCCACAAAATAATGCAATAAAAAAGCCTGTTTGGCTGGCCCTCATGGTGGCACATGGTAGGCGAACAGTGTCAGAGGCACTACTATCCTTGTTAGGTACCTTGATGAGACTGCTATTATTAAGCACAGTTCTATAAGAAGTAGTATGTGCCATCTGGTGCGGCCACCTATGTTTTTCTTTCTCTTTCATTTTTTTATTTTTATGCAGAACATAAGAGCAGGATATTTGACAACAGGCATCACTACAGATTTGATGCATAACAGTTCTCATGTTTGTTTTTTGTACACATTTGTGTAGATAGTACACATTTGTGTACGTGACTAATTTTCACTAATTGTGTTGGCTGGTAGCTAAGAAAGAGCAAGATATATTAAGGTTTGCATTAGTTGAACCTCCTGTGTAATAACTGCTTTTTTCCTTAACTTCATTTTGCTGAGTATTGCTGCATATGATTACTTTCCTGAAGGCACTAGCATGTTTGATGAGTCATTTGATGCACTGCTTTCCACAAGCCACATCAGAAGTATAATTTTTGTTTCCTAGAAATGAATATAACCTAGAAAGAAATTGCACTATACTTCTAGCCAAAGGTATTGTCATACTTATGCAAAAGCAGAACAGGAATGGCTTTAAGATGCGTAGATGTTAAATAGCAGTCTAATTAAAATCAATTCCTGTAAAACCCACAAATCAATATATTATAAAATCAATTTTGTTGCAATAGAGCATTCAGTGAATTGGATTAATCTCGTGTGAATGTGATGCATTTACAGACAGTTCTTTATAAATCACACCTGACAGGTTAATGTTATTAGTTTCAGCTTATTAAAAAAAACACTTACTTATGCCTGTGACAAGTAGCTTTTACACTTGAATTTGAACAAACACACTGGAATCAATGTAGATATCACTGGAGCTCTGGGAACCGAGCAGAGTACCCACAATATCTGTACATGAAATGTAGTGTCCAACAGTGCAAAAAAGGACAAGGACCAGAAAGAAACACAGACAAGCACTGCTTACTAGTGAAATTTATTTCTGAAAAGAAAACGAATGTAAATAAAAAGATACATGAACAAAAAGATTGCAAAGCACTATTCGCAAAAAGATGCATAATAACATGTAGAATCGGCCTACATAACTTGCGGCAACCATGCACATAGAACGTATAGTAAACTTATTTCTTCCTCAAGGCAAGGAACAGGATGCTCGCGCAGTTATCACCAAGTCTCGTGATTTCTGCTGTCCCAATTATCTCACGCATCAACTGAGAACCACATCTTGTCTGTGTTTCTTTTTTATCCTTGTCCTTTTTTGGGCTGTTCAACACTATTCACAAAAAAATATATAATAAAATGTGCAGGCAGTCTACATCACTTGAAAAGGTCGTACGCACAGGACATATACCAAAGTTCTTTCTCTGTCAAGGCAATGAATGGTGCACTGACTTCTTTCTCGGCCTTGTCCTTTTTTTTTGCACTGTTTGACAAAGTTGCCCAAAGATTTGTATTTTTGCATGAAATGTGGCTTTTATTGAAATTTCAAGTAATATCAAAGGAGTTTCCATAGCAAATCATATGAAAATTGTAATTGCATCAACCGCTGAGTACGTTTTAATGTACCTAATCCAGAACAAATCTAGATCAAGGCCTCAGCCTCTTGCCTAGTAGAAAGTTCCATCGAGATAAACTTGTACCTTCTTGCCAATTAACTCATACAGGGAGAAGAAAAAATGGTTGGAAACATCATGTGCTTACAAGGGAAGATGAGAAATCGTTGTGTTAGTTTGATGTTCGTTTGGTTTCTTGGTCTTTCAGAATTCATCAGTGAGCAGACAATTTCCAGACGCACAGTATCGAGGTCATCATCATTGCTGGATATACTGGCGGAAGGAATTCCCCCAATTTTTTCATCACCTTTACGGCCTCACTTGAGGGTTGATGAAGGAAGCACACTAACTCTTGTCATAAAGGTTACTGGAACTCCTGAGCCAGAGGTATGCATCTGCTGTCTGCCTATTTCAATACAATACATCTTTTACAGTGGAAGTTGTTTTGAGATGACAACTCAAGTCTCGCGCAGTGTCGTAGTTGTCCGCCACCACTGGTGTTCATAACCACATCGCGCGAAACCAGAAAAAAAACCTAGTACCAATGACACAGTGGAGCTCGTTCCCGGGTTTGCTGGGTGCTATTTCAGTATTCTACCACTAAGCCAAGCCAGTGCTTGTGACTTGTTGTCAAACTTGCCATAGGCAGGCTTGATGTCGGGAAAGCAATAGCGTTAATACGACTGATAAATTGTTTTAAAACAGTGAAAAAACAAGCAGTCGTCGCAAAATGTAAATAGCGTAACGAGTGGGTCGTCCAATGCTCCAACCCATTACAAAACCCTGTTTTTGTTCACCTATTAACTTCAGGCACAATTCCTCATCGTTATCAGCCACTGCATAAACAATTGGCACAAAATTGCTCACAATAGTATAGCGGATACCATGCTTCTCGTAAGAATTATGGAAAATAGTATAGCGAATGCCGGCCTACTACCCTAAAATTTTTATTATTAATGCCGTAGTGGGAATCAATCAAGCAAGTGTGCTTGCAGCAGTTACCCAATGAGTGTTTATAAAAGGCTCTGAAAGGCAGATTTTCTAGCTTTCGCTGCTTTTCTAGCTTTCTAGCCTGCAGTCTAGAACCATGTTTCTTATGAAGTGTTAGGATTGCTTTCATTGGTAAAGCTTATTAGCATTCCCATAAATTTTGACAGAGCTCCTTCTCTGGGTCTAACCTACAAAGTATCTATCAAATGATACAAATAAAAAAACAGTCAATAATGTACAACCATAATCTAATTTCACAGATGTGACTCTACTTCAGAATTTAAAAAAACATTGTAAGTGCAACTGAATTTATTTTGTGTTTTGAATTACAGTAGACGTTCATTAAGTGAAACTCCAAAGGACCAGAAAAATCTGTTACATTTAATAGGAGTTCCATATACGGTGAGATAGAGGAGATTTTCCTAATCCACAAGTGCGCTTCTCTGCTATGCACTTTGTCCTACGAATGGAAGCTAGGCTCTTACTAAAAGCAATGTATTCGAGCACAGTTTGTGCCATGACATGGTAAATGTTGACTTCGCTGTCTTGATATAGCCACGTATAATAGATAAGCCAAGTGGGATCTTGTTTCGACTTGAAGCACTATCGGTGCCGCCATTAGTAGAGGAATATTTATCGCAGAAAAGCGCACTTGCAGATTAGGAAAATCTCCCATTCAAGCAGAAAACTGATCACATTAGATGCGCTTGTTTAATTCAAGGGGAGATGTGGGTCTTGAAAAATTTTTCTTTATTAGTCAGGTTAACTAGTAAATGGAATTTAATACATTTATTCAGTTTTTTCTGCAGGTTCTAAATTTTCATGTAGAATTTTATTATCTGCATAAAAACAAAAGACCCCGCAGGGGCACCTGTGAAAGCAGGCGTTTGGTGTGTAGCGACACCACGGACCCGAGCTAACGGGGGAGTTTCTACTCCCTCCCACGCCTAGCCGTGCGTGGCTTTGCCGTGTTTGGGGAAAAGGGGATCCTGGGGGTTGAGCCGACACTGGGTGATTGGACCGTTAAGGCCCCCCGGCAGAGGCAACACACCCCTTTGGCCCCGGCTTCACGTAGACGGCACCCCTGGCCTGACCCACTCAGGGGAAATCAGCAGTCGCCTTTTCCTATCTCTCTCTCCCTACATCTTCGTCTTTTGTTCTCACTTTACATCTTTCCTGTCTTCTCTTCACTTCATTTTACTTCCAATTTTTCCTGGCAGCAAGGGTTAACCTGGTGTAAATATCCAAACTTGGATAGATATATTAGGTTATGGCAGTGGCGTACTACTGGCATTGTGCAGACATGTTTACATGTTCTGCCACGTCCCCTTGTTGGGCTCCGTAGTGGGTGGTAGGCGCCATTACTGAAGGAACTGCACTTTTCTATGGGATCACGAAACCCCTTACCCATTGATCGTCCCTTCAAAAGGTGGCGCACCGAAGCGAATGTAATGCCGATTTCGGAAAAACAAGAGCATTTCCCTAAGTACCACGTTATTCATTGCGAAAACTCGGACAAAAAAGCTCGCAACATCTCCCCATTCCTTGTGTCCAGGTGCCTAACCGAGACTATCGGAACTGGCTATAAGGCTACAAAGATGGCAAGCGGAGACTTGCTGGTAGAAGTTAAAGACAAGACACAGTTTCAGAAACCAGAAAAATTAGTAGCATTTGGGGACAAGCCCGTTACCGTCTCTGCACACCGAAGGATGAACACTGTCAAAGGCGTTGTGTCAGACGATGACCTAAAAGACCTAACAAATGATGAGCTTCTGGCTGGCTGGAAGGACGAAAATGTCATTCACGTACAGCGTATCGTAGTGAGAAGAGAAAACAAAAAAACTCCAACCAAGCACATAATTGTGACCTTCGGGTGCTCCACACTACCGCAAGAATTAGTTACCGGCTACCTAAAACTGTCTGTGAGACCCTACATTCTGAATCCGCGGCGCTGCTTCAAGTGCCAAAGATTCGGACATGCTTCTCAGAGTTGCCGTGGGCAGCTCACCTGTGCACGGTGTGGTACCACAGGCCACTCTGCAGATGATGACTGCAAGGCCGAACCCCACTGTGCGAACTGCGATGGAGAACACGCGGCGTATTCTAGATCCTGCACAGCATGGAAAAAAGAAAAAGAAATTATTACCATGAAAGTCACCCACAACATCAGTTTCCGCGAAGCAAGGCATCGGGTCTCCCCTTTCTATGCAACAAAATCATTTGCTGAAGTGGTGCAACAGGGGGCAGCACCACGACAGCATCAGGTGGCCGCCTAAGCTACGCACAGCATGCTCGGCAGAGCGACGGTCCAACGCTTCTCATGAAGCTATGGACACAACCGCCAGTCAAACGGCACCTGCAGCGCCGAAGGAGCGGCAAGTTTCTCTCGACCGCTCCAAAAAAGACAAAAGACAAATTACAGGGCCTCCAAAAAGCCCTGTAAAATAAGTTTCGTTTTCGGTTATGGTACCATTCAGTTTTGTCCATGAGCTTACTTTCCATCCTTGAGCACACAACACAAAACACATTTAAAATGGACACACAAATACTACAGTGGAATGCTGGAGGCCTATTTAATAACCTAGATGATATCAAAGACTTGCTTAATGACTATCAGCCAAAAGTGTTCTGTGTTCAAGAAACTCATTTGAAGTCGACTCATGTGAATTTCTTAAATCAATATGTGGTTTTTCGTAATGATCGAAATGTTGGCAATTTCTCTTCTGGAGGTGTGGCCATCATTGCACAAAGAAGCGTAGCATGCCAGCACATTGTGCTACAAAGCTCTCTTGAGGTTGTGGCTGTTCGCGCTATTCTATTCAACCATCTTATATCTATCTGCTCGATCTACATAGCCCCTGACGAACCATTCAATAAAACAGAGTTCGAAAAGCTTATTGATCAGCTTCCAGAACCATATGTGTTAATTGGAGATTTTAATGCTCACAGTTTGCTATGGGGTGATACCAAATGTGATGCGAGAGGTCGTGCAATAGAAAACTTTCTTCTCGCATCTGGAGCCTGTCTGCTCAATAAGGCAGAGACAACATACTTCAGTACCACACACAATACATATTCATGCATAGATTTAGCCATTGGGTCACCGTCACTCTTACCTTACTTAGATTGGAAAGTTATTAATAATCCATATGGAAGTGACCATTTTCCAACTCTTTTAGTAACAAAACAACGGGTTGACCGGCCGTCTTATCCTAAAAAGTGGAACTTTCATGTTGCAAACTGGGTGAAATTCAGAGAGCTATGTACACTACACCTCGAGGAGGTAGACCATCTGGAAGTAGAAGAGATGGCCAACTATATTTCTGAATATGTTCTTACTTGTGCAAAAAAGTGCATACCGCAGTCCAGGAATGATAAGGTTAACACAAAGCCATGGTGGAATCGGGAGTGTGAAATTGCTAAAAAACGGCAAAACAAAGCATGGAGGACTTTTTCTCGCTACCCAACAGCAGAAAACTTGATAACCTTTAAAAGTTGCAAAGCGAATGGCAGGCGTGTTCGCCGTCTAGCCAAACGGGAAAGCTGGACACGCTATAAATTCTCAATAAACTCCTACACAGACGTCAGCAAGGTTTATAATAGGGTGCATAAACTTAAAGGACAAGGCCCAAATCCCTTCCCTTTGGTGAATGACTGCGGTGATACAATAGAAGAACAGGCAAACGCTCTTGGCGAACACTTCGAGAAAATGTCAAGCTCAGAAAACTATACCACTAAGTTCTTACGCCACAAAAGCATAGCTGAAAGTGTACCTCTGTGCCAAAACAAGCCTGGATCAGCAATACAATAAACCACTAACAGTATATGAACTGAAGCTCGCCCTTGGTTCCTGTGGAAGTTCTGCTCCTGGTTATGATACAATTACTTATGAAATGATCAGAAATCTCCTTGATGAAACCCTGAACTGCCTTTTAGCACTTTACAACAAGATTTTCAATACCGGCAAAATACCCTCTGCGTGGAAAGAGGCAATAGTACTACCAATCCTTAAACAAGGCAAAGATCCCTCTTCGGTAAATAGTTACAGGCCTATCGCCCTCACAAGCTGCCTACTCAAAGTGTTTGAAAAAATGATTAACTGCCGCTTGGTCTATTATTTGGAATACAACGGCATATTGGACCCGTACCAGTCTGGTTTCCGTACAGCTAGATCCAAAACCGACAATCTTGTCCTCCTCGAGTCGTATATACGTGACGCATTTGTACACAATCAATACTGTCTGTCTGTTTTCTTTGATCTTGAGAAGGCATATGATACTGCCTGGCGATACGGAATCCTGCAAGATCTACTGTCTTTCGGAATATGTGGCAGGTTGATTACCATCTCAAAAGATTACCTGTCTGAAAGGAAGTTCCGTGTAAGAATAGGTAATGTGTTATCGCGCACATTTCTTCAAGAAAATGGAGTGCCGCAGGGAGGAGTATTAAGCTGCACACTATTTATAGTTAGAATGAACTCTCTCCGCTCTGTTATTCCACCCGCGATATCATACTCTGTATACGTGGATGACATTCAAATTAGTTTCAAATCGTGTAACTTGACTGTATGCGAACGCCAGATACAGTTAGGTGTTAACCGACTTGCAAAATGGGCTGACGAGAATGGTTTTAAGTTTAACACTGACAAGACTACTAGTGTGCTGTTTTCGAGACGACGAGATGTGCATCCTGACCCCTGCATACTAATGAATGGACAAAACATAGTCATTGCGAAAGAACAAAAATTCCTCGGTGTAATTTTTTATTCCAAACTCACCTTCATCCAGCACATAAAACAGCTGAAGTTAAAATGTCTCAAGACCATGAACCTTTTTAAGATTTTATCGCATCAGTCGTGGGGGACAGACAGGCACTGTCTCATATCTCTGTTTCGAAGCCTGGTTCTGTCACGCATAGACTATGGATGCATAGTATATTAGTCAGCTTCAAGGACAGCACTGAAAATGTTGGACCCTATATACCACCTAGGTATCCGGCTGGCACTTGGTGCCTTTCGTACCAGCCCTATTCACAGCCTTTATGCAGAGTCAGATCAGTGGCCACTAGACTATCAGCGCACGTATCTAGGAGTCAACTATGCAGTTAAAATCATGTCTCTGAAACAGTACCCATGCAAAACACTTATGAACGATGTGTCTACTACCCAGTTATACCTAAACCGTCCTTCTATCGCCCCACCGTTTCCTTTGGCAATAAGACCTGCAGTAGAAAAACTTGCAATCTTTTTCAATGACTTGGAGAAAAGTGACCATGTCGAACACATCCCTCCCTGGCAGCAATGTCCAGTCACTTGTGACTGGTCTTTCAAAGACATCATAAAGGAAAATTGTCCAAGTGCACTCATTGAGCAATATTTCTTGGCCCTTGAACACAAATATCGTTCAACCGCGTTCTTCTCTGATGGCTCAAAGTCTCAAACATCTGTATCTTGTGCAGCCTATGGACAAAAGTTCTCGGACACCAGAACCATGCATACACATACCAGCATTTTCACAGCGGAAGCCTATGGTATCCTGTTTATTATACAACACATTAAACAACACAAGGTACAAAAGTCTATAGTGTACACAGATTCTTTAAGTGTTGTCAGGGCCCTGTCTTGTGGCAAGTACAGCAAGAACCCTACTTTCAACAAGCTCCTTAACGAAATCTATGCAGCCTACAACCTAAAACTTTCTATTGTTCTTTGCTGGGTTCCAGGTCATTCTGGAATTGCAGGCAATGAAATAGTGGACAAGAATGCACGAGAAGCCGCTGGTCGGCAAACCATAGATATAAACTCTGTTCCGGGTGTAGATCTAAAACCTGTTGTACGTAGAGGTCTACGTAACCACTGGCAAGCTGAATGGGACAGAGAAGTCGACAACAAACTCCACCTTGTAAAACCCCAGCTGAGAAAAGTTATCCCACAAAAACTCAACAGGTTTGCCGAAGTCACTCTAACACGGCTCAGAATAGGCCACACTTATGCTACACATAAACACCTTTTGACAGGTACTGATCCACCTACATGTATACACTGTGGAGAGAGTTTAACCGTTGTGCATGTCCTTATACAATGTCCTGTGCTTCACCAAGCACAACTGACCCATTTCAGGGAGCTCTATCGATATCATATCCCACTTCATCCAGCGCTGTTTTTATCACTTGATGCAGTGGTTGACCTTAAGAGACTTCTTCATTATCTTGGGAAAGTCAAATTTTTAACAATGATATCATTCCATCCTAGCCACCAGGCTGCGCCTCAAGTGTGAGGTACCGCCTGGTGCATAAAAAGTATGTCTGAGCCTTCGCAGTTCTTGCCCAGGCAAGGACTTCAGCTGCGAGGGTCTTGGGCCTTGCAGACTAATTTATCATCACAGACTTCAGCCAGCGAAATGAAGGTTTTAGCAAAGTGACATTCCTTTTAAATGCACCGTGTTTTAAATGGTCATAGATATTTGCTACTCATCATTTGTCTTAATTTTTAAACTAATAACCGAAATGAAACAACACTTGTACTGGCGCTCTTTGGCCTTAGATGCCCTTGCGCCAATAAAGCTTAATAATGATAAAAACAAAAGATATGCCATTTCTGAGAGCATATTTTGTACAGTGCTTTTTGGTAACTTAGCTTTGTCAAACAAAAAAGGAAAATATGTGGCAAGACTGCCAGAGAGCTGGTCTAGCTGATTATGCTAATTTGATTGTTATCATCAAAATTCGTATACAAAATAATTTGCAAATTTGAGTGTAAAAGTTTTGCTCTTGCTCCAAAGTCTTTATGAATATCGAGAATTATAATTTGGTAAACAACATTAAAAAAAACAAATCGCATCATCGGCTAGACCAGCTGGCAATCTTGCTGCATACCTTGTTTTTGTGTTGGGCGAAGAGAAGTTACCTAACGTCCCCATGAGGATTATGCCAGAAAACAGTGTTGAAACTGCATATCTTTTGTTATAATGCAGCTAATAAAAATCTACTCAGAGATTTGGAAATCTACAATAAAAGCTGAGTAAGTGCATTAAATTTCATTCTGTTCACCCAACTATTATAAAGACACTTTTTAAGAGCCACGCCTGTTTAAGAAACTTCTATTTACTGAGAGTGCTGTAGTAGACAAACAAATATGTCAGATGCCAGCTGCAATGGTAGCAGTGGCATCTTTTTAGAGCAAGTGAAATCTGCATAGGTGTGTGATCCACCAGCGAGTCATGGTGCATTTGGAAGATATGCAGAATGACCCACTGGTGGGTCATTCCCCATGTAAAATGAGAACTCAAAAAAGCGTGCCGCTTCAAACGTGTTAACACAAGCTGACCTTTTTTTTTTTATTCCAGGTAACTCTCAAAGTGAATGATAAAACCCTCAAAGAGAAAGACGATAAGCGATTCTCAGTCACAAAAACGAAAGAGGATCATAATTTTATAAATGTGACATTTGTCTTAAAAGATGTGAAACCAGGTGATGCAGGTACATACGAAGTCACAGCTGAAAACTGTGAAGGGACTGTAACAAACCACATTGATGTGGAAGTTATAGGTAAGTTTTCATTCAAGTTGATGAAGTCTCTTGCCTTTTTTTTTCTTTATGGCCATGTGCCTTTACATTCGTAATATCAAGCTGAGTCCCAAAGTACATGTACCAGACTCTGAAAAGCAATGATTTGTTGGCACTTGCAGAAAAGCCTAAGGAAGAGCAAGAACCGCCCAAATTTACTCAGACTTTCAGTGATACTGTAAGTATGATATCATGCACATAAGTGGTTTAGGTGTAACTGTATGAAAGTAAAACAAAAGTAGAAAATGAAAGTATATAAAATTTTAAAGATTTCTTTTTAAAATTATTTCAGGTGGTTACAGAAGAAGAAACTGTAAAATTAATTGTGAAGTACACTGGAAAACCAAAACCCACTGTGACCTGGTACAGGTACGCCTTTTCTCTTATCTGCTTGACTTCACTTTGTTAATTATTATTTAATGATGTATTCATTTCAGAGATGACAAACCCATTCGTGAAGACAGCACAAAAATTATAATTCAGGAGGATGAGTCGACATCGACGCTTGAGATACCCAAGTCTGATGTCACTGATACTGCAAAGTACACATGCACTGCATCTAACCCTGCAGGCGAAGTCACGCACACTGCAAAGGTGACTGTACAAGGTAAAAAAATTACATGGAACTTTGGACAGTGGGATGGCTGGCAAAAAAAAAAATTAAATATTGGGTTGAATCTGAAAAACTGCAGCAAGGAAAGTCAAACAAAGTAACAAAATAGACTAAAAATTTAAATATTGTGATGAATCTGAAAAACTGAAATGGGGAAAGTTGACCAAGGTAGCTAGATAGCCGACTAAAAAATGAAACAGTGCAGTAGCAATTGAGCACTTACATTGTATTCCATTTATGTATATCAGCTACCATGAAAGCGATACTATTCGTCAAGTGTTCCAACCACTAGTAAATATTATTTATTTGAAATACCATCACACGATGCTGCAGTATGGTAAAATAATTTTGTTAACTTTGCCACGACTGTGCCCAACCACTTAAAGATGCCAAGTGGCAGCTTTATTAAGAGATGCTTAATTTATTAAATTCACATGCAAGTTGCTGCAAATTGTGTCAACTAGAAAAACTTCCTCTTTGTGTTAAAAAGAAATTTATTAATCAGTGTCGTGAATAAGATGCACATTTTTTCCCGTAGCTGGAATGTTATATTGTGAACAATAGTGCTATTACAGTCACTGAAAAAATATGTTTGTATTATCTTATTCAACAAATAGGCTATATATCTTCACGAACATCCTTGGCAAAAAAAAATTAAGATGCAAAAATATCTATGCACAATTTTTGCTAACATAAGTGAATAGCATTTCCCTGTAAATATTGTGCATACTTTAATTTTCGGACTCTAACCAAAGGTCCTTTGGCTGGCCAATGCTATACTCTCATATGTTTGCTTCCCAGAACCAAACCTCACATTTGTGGAGAAGCTTCAAGATATAGAAGTGAAAGAAAACCACGTGGCCATGTTTGTGACAAAAACAAACCGTCCAGTTGATCACGTCACTTGGTGCAAAGATGGAGAGCCAATCAAACTCGATGAGCCACAGGACAAATACCAAGCAATATCCGAAGGCCCTTACCAGAAGCTTGTGATCAAGAATGCCAGTATCAGAGATGAAGGTGAATACACATGCGTACTGGGAGACGAGGAGACATCAGCAGACTTGGTTGTCATTGGTGAGTACCAACTTTAGATTAACATCTAGGCGCAATTTATTTTTATGCCTACTTCACAACCTTCTTCCCTTATTCTATTCATGCTTCCTTTAGTTCATTATGTACAAGCTTGAAATGTGTACTACTAAATGTTTGCTTTGCATTAAATATAGGCAGTGCAAAGACAGGGCTTCATGACTGTGTTTGTGCACCTTATCTCTACAAAAGAACTGAATTTTACTATTTCTAAAACACAGTCTTCGTAAGTCACCATTACATCAGTTAGCATGGCACCCAGGCAGGCCATAGCCAATTTTCTGTAGTAAATTTTTTTCTTTCTCCTAGCCTTGAATCAAATGTCTGACAACTTGAATATCAGATTGGTCCTGCCTGACTGTTGAACACCTGACGTTTCAGAACTGCCTCCTGAGATAACCACATTTTTGACGGACCAAACTGTCGCAAAGGATGACACTGCTCAATTTTTCATTGAACTGACCAAAGGTGATGCATTGGTTCGTTGGTTCAAGGATGGTAAGTGTTACTTTAAAAGTGTGAGAAAGAGTGTTCTAACCACTACATGATGTTTCTAGGGAAAGAGCTGCAGTTCAGTGATCGTGTGAGACTAAAAATTGATGGGAAGCGGCAAGTTTTAGTAATTAAAAATTCTGTTCTCCAAGATGCTGGTCGCTATACTTGCAAAGTTGGTGATCAGTCATGCAGTGCTCGTCTCACTGTTGAACGTAAGTATTTGGCATTCGCATGAAAAGTAACAGTATATTTTGGTAGTGGTAGTTAATGACATATTCATCGTTTGTCAATAATTTTTCTTTCAGCCCCCTCTGTTGAGTTTACCGCAAGGCTGCCAGAAAAAACAACTGTGCCTCAAGATACGGATGCTGTATTTGAGGTGGCTTTGTCACAAGCAGATGTTGATGTTGTCTGGATGAAGAATGGAAAGCCCATTCCAATGGACCAACGGTATTTGGTTTATTATTTGTGAGAAGAATAAAGCAAAATCAGAGAAGATTAGGTGTTTCTACAGACATTAATTGTTACAGTGCTAATGCTATGTGAAAGAATTGTGGCAGACTTTAAGAAGCTGTGTTGCAGGTTGCATTTTATAGTTATTAAAGTGAACTTAGGAGCCCAAAGTGGCATTTCCTAAAGCATCTACATTTCCTTTTTCCTTCATAGGTCAAAAGGCAACAAGCAAAATTCAGGTCTTTCTTAAGGGGGGACGTGGCAATGGGAATTGTAAATTTGGTCAAGATGTTCAGTTTTTCAATTAATTTTTTTTTCTGTAATCCTGAGACCATGTTTTACATCATAGTGTGATTTTATATCAAAATAAGTAGTAGAAGTTGAAAAACAGGCATTTTAATGGTGGGTTGTTGTCAAAAGCTATGTGAAAATTGGGCATAGCAAAATAGAAATTTGCAGCTTTTCATTGGCAAAGTGCCACCATATTGGCATCATCATAAAGAGCACAGACTGGAGCTCAAGATAGCCACAAATATGCCTTTCTCCAATGAAAAATAAAGCCAGCTTCCTTCCGAGTTCCGTTTTATCAGCTTTTAGCTTCAATTTCTTTGAGCTTCATTTTCTCAGGTTTCATTTTTTGAGCAGTTGCTGTCAGTCATCCCTGTGTCATTTCACAACAAATTAAGCTATAGCCATTCCGTTTACTTCACTTGGATTCTGAGACATTGGTGAGCACCGCAAAGCTGTTCATATTTGTGTGCACATTATACAGACTTTTGTAATTGGCTTTTTGTAAAAGTTGTTGGTAAGACAATATGTCTAGGACGTTTCAGAAAAAAATTTTGTGTGCTTACCTAAATATTCAAAATAAACCAACAGCATTACGGCACAAAATAGACCCTTGTAAATATCCTTATGCAAAATTTTTGACGAGCTTTTGTCTAATTAGTTAATCAATTTAGAGGTGGCAATGAGAGTTTATCAAGTGCTGTAACTCAAAAGTTACATTAGATAGCTCAAAACCGCTTTCAGTTATGATATAAGCACAACAAATGACATCTGCATGCCAAATTTTATCCCTTCAGCTTCATATATAACAAAGATGATTTTCATTGCCACTTCCCCCCTTAAAACTGCATCTGTGCACGCTGTGCAAATGTTAGGTTAGATTGCAGAAATGAATTTGAGAAATTCCCTCCAGAGGTTTAAGCAAGGCTCTTATTGTCTCATTAATTAAATGCAGATAAATAGTATGTAGGTTAGATTGCAGAAATGAATTTGAGAAATTCCCTCCAGAGGTTTAAGCAAGGCTCTTATTGTCTCATTAATTAAATGCAGGTAAATAGTATGTCAATTCAGTCACATGCGCTGGTACTTTGTAAATCTTGACAAAAGCCACGTGAAAACAACTAGACACAGAGCACATCATGCAAGGTCATAAGTTTAAACATAATACAAAAAAACACATGCTGTAGGGCTACACAAATATTTTATGCTAAGCAAAGAGCAGATATTTTTTCAGCAGCTCAGCTTTATAAAAGCTGGGGCTCTAATAGGTTTTCATCTGGTTTGTAAGTAAACTTTCTTTTCTTTCCATTCACATAAGCTGGTGCCTTTCTTGACTCTGTTTTTTGTTAGACTGACAAATGTTCTCCAATTAAGCACATAATTAAAGAAGTCATAAACCACCCCTCAGGCTTTGTGAGAAAACACATCCTGTGAATAGCAAACACTGCTATGAACAGCTCAGCGAAATCTTGTAATCATGCTCTGCGAGGAGAGTTTAGAAGTGGGGCACGAAATTAGCCTATCGTCAGACACCCTTTTTTCATGCAGAGGCCTGTGCTTGCTCTCTTCTTCAAAGCTTCCAGTACCTGCTGTTTTACATCGAACAGAGCATGCTATGGGCCAATAGCTGACATAAATCAAGAGTGCCATTTAGACCAGATACCTAGCTTCTTACCACAGGGTTTCACCGCTTGCCAGCACTGTGCTACATGGTTGGCTAACATTACATAGTGAGCCACACTTGTGCACAGGGATCACAATGGAAAGGAGCAATAACATTTCTCCATACGCATTCCAAGATTGGGACGCACGCTGACATTACTTCTTTCTCTTGTGCCATACCTCCCAGTGTAGCTGCCAGCCCACTCATCAAGATGAGAGAAGAAAGCGCTTGAAGCATGTGACAAATACCTGTAACTCTACTTGTTCCTGATGAATTTCAGAAATGTTAGTGGCAATTGGTTCGTGAGGCAATGAACTCCTATACGTAGAATATTCAGTGATAACTTGAAAAGTGGTTCATGACCCCTTTAAAATAATCTGTTCCTCCTTCATTGTTCATGCTTGCATGTACTCTATTGTTCTGCAATGAGTTGAACTGTTTATTCTATCTTTAAGTTGTTGTTTTGTTATTTCATCTTCCAACAGTTTCAAATTTATTAAAGAGGAAAAGGTCAGGCGACTTGTGGTACCATGTGTTGACAAAGATGACACTGCTGAATACACATGCGTGGCAGGAAATGTCAAGACCTCTACAATACTTCACGTTGAAGGTGAGCAAGCTGTCAACAATTGCTGTAACAGTGAAACATCACTTCACAAAATAAATTACCAGTAACTTCACTTGGTTGAAAAAGAATGTGGCTACTGCTGCATAAGGATGAGAAGAAAAGAAAGTAGAAGAAGAGAGATGCGATAATAAATCACTAAGTTAGCTGTGACAAGCAATGTATAGAAAGCTAGGATGTGATAACTTTCAAGGCATTTATCAAAAGAAAACATTCATGAGAAAAATTCGTAAACTTGTGCAATAGCTGCTCAACGGTTTCTGTATTGATTCACGGGAACCATCTATTTTGGTTTTTGGGCCAAGCGAGGTCAGTATTAATCTACTCTTCCACATAGTTTTTTATCATTGAATGAAAACTAAAGAATGTCATGACTAAATGCATTTAAAGGAAGGAAGGAAGGAAGTATGTTTATTTACAGAAAGGCAGAGAGGTCGGCCTGAGCGATAGTTTGCTCTAGCCTGCTACTCTACACTGGGGGAAGGGAAAAGGGGAAAAGAAAGATTAATGGATGACAATGGTGAGATAGAGAGGTGAGTATGTAGTGTTCTTTCTAGCTGAGACACATTTTATAGCCGCGCACATAGTCCAGTTGTTTCTAAAAAGGTAATAACTGCTCTTGTGACCGCAGTTGCACTGTTGGTGTCTAGCCAAGGGCCCAACATGGTCTCATCAGTTAATGACCTACTGCGATATTGTTCAGTAGAAGAAATCAGTGTTTGTCGTTCACGTGCGTATGCTGGGCAGACACAAAATATGTGCTCAAGTGTTTCTGGCACATCACAGTGTTCACAATTAGGACCGGTGTCACTGCGACCGATGATATGTGCATAACGTCTAGTGTACGCTACACCAAGACGAATGCGGTGGATCATACTTGTGAGTTGCCGTTTCAATTTAGGAGGCATGCGGAACCTCATTTCCGGGTCCCATTTAAACATATGGCACACCAGTCTATGTAAAATGTCAATTCACTGGCCGGTTTATCGACTGTGGAAACTACAGTCAAAGCTCATTAATTTGGATTTCATGTGACCGGAAAAAATGTCCCACTTAACTGAATTCCTAATTATCAAAAGTATCAAGAAAACAATAAACAAATTTCTATTAAGTCAATACATTTTCATTTTCTTGATGAATATGTAAACCCTATGCTTCGCAGAAAAGCGGCGTAAAAGCCGCAATTTTCGCCATTGATGACTTTGTTCACAATGTGTCCGCGGCTTAAGACTTTCCTTTCTTAACTAACCCAAGACATGCTGAGCCGAAAAATTGTTACTGTCATTACTATAAGCTTCCCACTGATGACTCTGTTGATGCAGACTGCACTGACTTGGTTTGGTTTTCCATGGCGCCATTTTTGCTCCTCTATGTCCCACATTTGCGGCACCTCGCACGTGGCCTGCTCTGATGATTGTCTGACTTATTGGGGTTGTGGCCAAGTATGATTGAATTGATGAGAGTTAGATGCCACTGAACAGTGTATATGCTGGCCAGGATCTGAGAACGCACCTGAATTACCGAATTTCTGATTTAAAGAGTTCTCACTCTATTATTGATCAGGTGGAGGCCATCTTGTCTAAAGTATGTCTTTCAATCACTCTAAATTTAACCATGCTATACATTTATATTATTCAAAAACATATACCTCAGTTCAAAAAAGGTTGAAAAATCCTTGAACGGGGTGTTACCAATATATTGTCAGGTGGTCAAATCTTCTTCAAGGCAGCAGTTTGTTAGAGCTAACTTGAGTGACGAGTTGCTGCCTTGAACATGACCAAAGAAACTTTGTTCACTCCTTCTCATTTATTCAAGCCTCCATTTTCTCCCACACATCTACCTCTATGTAAAAAATTACACATAAGATGAAAAATTATTATATTTTACATTGGGCGTGATGTTTTTGTTTACAATTATGTCATTTGATTAAATTGATTATTTGTTCTTTGCAGATGCTGATGCGGAATTCACTCTACGACTGCATGACGTGATTGTCCGTGAAAGTGATACTGTGACATTACTTGTTGAGGTGTCACGAGAAACACTTGAAGTCAGATGGATGAAGGACGGTGACTTAATCCAACCATCTGAAAAGGTACAGTTAAACCAACAAACAAAAAACAGCATACCATTACCACAACTGCCAAATATCGTAAGAGTTATCTCTAAACTGCAAGTAATATCATAACTGGCTATTGGGAAATTAAACACCATATAACATCAATCTAATATTAATGAGAACTAACAGGCAGCGATGCCAAGGAAAGTATAGGGGTGTTATTCATTGTAATTGTAATGTAAAGTGAAGAAAGAAAAGTAAATGAAAAGATAACTTGTCGCCAGCTGAGCCAAACCTGCAACCTTCGAATAACACGTCTGACTGCTGGCAGCACTGACTGACACTTTTATGTTTAAGTGCACATGTATACCCGATGAATTCAACGGGGGGATGACCACCGCTGTAGCTCGGTGAGCAGAGCATTGGATGCATTATTTGAAGGTCGTAGGTTTGGTTTCTGCTGGTGGCAAGTTATTTCTTCATCCATTTTTCTTTCTTCACATTTACATTACAATGAATCCAGTATATTGATCTCTGCATCCTTGCAGAGGCATATCCACTTTCCTTAATCCAATGTTCAGTTATTGCCCTAGTTGTAAATTTCAGCATTAAACAATTGCTGTCACTGATTATTACTAGCAACTACTGGCAATGTCTTTCACAATTGCTGCAACTGTTGGCACTGATTAACACTAAACGTTTCTTCAACACCAGTGCTCCGTTTCATAAATTCTCAACAATACTTAGATATGACATGTAAAATTATCTTGAATAATGAATTTACAGCACTAACATTTTTTATACTATGCAACAGATGATTCATACGCTGAATCAAGCATGTCCACAAATCAACCGAACTGCAATTTTCTTGCATTACAAAAGCCCCTTTCTGCTAGCAGGCATTATTGAGATGCAGGGGTGTAGGTTCTCGAACTGCACACATCTATAAATGTATGAAAAAATTCCATCATTGTTGTGGTCAAAATTTTGACATGTATTCGTGCATGGTTCATTTCAGCAGTGTACTTACATGTCTAGAACAAAATGCAGCTTGTAATTGGCACAGGCATGAGCAGAGGGACGAAGTGGAGTGCAAACATACCCTCTGTCTTCCCCCCCCCCCCCCCCCCCCCATAACTGATGATGCCTCTTTTGAAGGGACACTAAAAAGCAACATTTTTTTTTGCGTATTAATAAAGCACAATTTCACAATCCTTAAAAAACGCCACTCTTACTGCGACATGACGCTTAGTAAGCGAGGAAACGCGTGAAAAGAAAATGCCACTGGTGACACCATTTTGAGTTTTCAGCGCCAAACACTGTGATGTAAAAAACTTGGAAGGCGTCTACTAAGTTCTACGTAACTTCCAATAAATAAAAATGAAGTACTTTGTTATCTGTGGGTGCCATAGACTTAGCATGTATAGTTTCAGAAAATTTCATTGTGGCAATGCCACGAAAATACCAAAAATGCATTTTGAAATTTCTGACGTCATGTGAGGAGATTTTGACACAAGATTTAAAAATGAATCTTCAACCATGATTTTCTCCGCTAATAGTGAACTTATGATAATGAAACATATGGCATTAGAATTCTCAGAGTATAGTTTCTCAATCTGAACCAAGTCATTGTTCCTCTTTAGTGTCCCTTTGAGGTTTCATTTTGGTCACAGCAGTTTACACCTGTTGTAGAGAAATATAGCCAAGGATTGCACAAGTTTTCATTATTGGTTTATCTCACACATGTAACCGATCCACCAGGAGGTTGTGCTTGTGGACATTTTTTTGTAAATTTATGCAGATGAACATATAGGTATAATGCTGGCTTTCTAAGTGCCTCTGTTCAAGTTTGAAATACTATTTAGACATTTGCCCATTTGCAAAACAAAGAGAATGGCGTGCACAGATATTTCGTCTAAATTGAATATTTCATTTCAGGTCGTTGTTACAACAGAAGGAAAAAGTAGGAAGTTAATAATACGTGAGAGCTCAATAGATGATCAGGGTGTCTACTCTTGTGTTCTAAAGGACAAGAAGTGTTCATCATCTGTTCTTGTTCACGGTCAGTAACTCATGCATTTGTTCTCTAGCATGCTAGCTCTTTTCCGAGATGTACGACGATGAGTAGTTTCGTGCAGAAACCATAAAAAATCAGCTTTGCAGAGATATGCATAGGCATTCCACTGGGTGTGTAACACAACTTGAACAGAACCTTTAAAAAGTGCTATCTCACTGGTAAATGTTGCCAACACCATTTTGTTTGCAGATGTTTTGAGTTATTCGGAATTTATTTTGTAATGCATTTTTTAAATGTGAATTAAAGTATGAAAAACTGTCTCTACAAACTTGCACATCAGATTGCAGCATTCCAAATTACATTTCCATATCTTGAGGCTGGCACAGCTCAGCTGCTTTAAGAAAGTGATCGGCCTGGCATTCATGAGCAGCCAATTTAATGTTTTTGTTAAAAAGATGAAAATCCGCTGCAGTCACAACGACAAGCGACAGGCCGACACTCAAAGCTAATTGGAGCACACTGGTGAGATTTGCTTCCTTTCTTTTTTTCTTTTTTTAGTCAACATGCAGGTATCATCTGTTGAAAACGTTTCAGCGCTCGGCATTTCAAACACACAAAAAAGAAATCACCTTGTATTTCACAAAGCTTCTTTCAGAGTCTAGAAAAAGTACCACACGAGAGAGAGATTTTCTGATAAAGCAACATTAGGACAGTAAACTATCACATGTTCACATCATAGCCATCTCCACGAATGTTACACTGTCCTGTTATTAAATGTGCACATACCACTCGCACACATTGGCCACCGGCATAAATCTGAGGGATGTGCAGGTCAGTTGGCTGCAAAAACAGTGCAGCCTGCATTATTCTCTCGATGACATGAGCATGGCGCGCACACACGCTAGGGTTCTGGCGTACAAGTTAGTGGAATGGACACTAAAACATTAAGCTGAAACCATGGGATCCTTTCATAGGGCACTGACATGCATTGGCATTTTTCCTTCATCACATATACACCTTGTCAATGAAGGCTCTCTGGGCACTGCCATACACCCCTCTGGGCTACTGTTAACATGCTTGACCGCCCAATAAGGCTAGGCCGAAACTGTGACGCCAGCTTTTGTGCTCCCGTGTAACAGCCCAGACAGGAGGAGATCCTCCTCTCTGTTAAAAAGGTCTATACCATCAAGCTGTCAGTGCTGCCGGTGGTATTATCTGTAATGCTACTGGCACTACTCCTCATCATGCCAGTATTATGAAACCGACGTCACTGTGTCTAAAAACTAAAAACCAGGCTTGTGGAAAAAACCAGGCTTGTGGAAAAAAACCAGGATTTACTAAAAACCAGGCTTGTGGAAATAAACAAATTTAGGCTAAAAGCCAATTGAAAGGGAACAGTGATTTTGGTCAAATAATTTTGAATAAACTTCGTATAGTGTATATCACATACTCTAAAAAAAAGGGTACATATTTTTCGTGACCTGAATAACCAGCCCAATATTTTTTTTTTAAGTGAAACAAGGCCTGTTCAAATGCCATTTTTTTTTGTTCAAAGAAAGCACAAATGCAAGGAATAACTTGTAATATATGTTATGTCTTATTAATCCCTGTACTTAGAGCATATAATCTGGTATAACAAGCTTTTAAACTTAACAAACGATGACTATATGTGAGGTTAATAAGTTCATTTAACTTTGAAATGAGGCTTTGCGGCAGTGCGGATTTTTTCTGAGTAAATGTTTCCACAACTTAGCATTTTTTTACTGCAGTGAAACCACCTTTACAAGTTAAGTGAAGCTTTGTGTTAGTTGTTTTTGCATTCTGAAGTAGAAACAGCATGGTATTCTAAAGTGAGACCCACACAAAACAGCGTTGGTCTGTGTCACTTCTTTTGTGTGTCCCCATGTAGAATATCGCACTGTTCCTACTTCAAAAGACCTTTACAGGGGTTACATGCAGACTAATATACACTTGGCTACCTTCAGTGCTAGAATGCTATCTAGTAAGGCTAGTCTAGCTGAGCTATTTGAAGAATTAGAAGGTGTTAAATGGGATGTAATAGGGCTCAGCAAAGTCAGGAGGACACGTAAGGCTTACACAGTGCTGAATAACAAGCACGTCCTATGCTATTGTGAATTAGTTGACAGAAAAGAACTAGGGGTGGGGTTTCTTATACACAACACTATCGCTGGCAACATACAAAAATACTATAGCATCAGTGAGAGTGTGGCAAGTATCATAATTAAGTTTAACAAAAGGTACAAAATGAAGGTGGTAGAGGCCTACATTGAGTCATGATTATATGGTCGAATGCTTCGATGAAACTGGAGAGTCAGCCATTAATAAAGTAAAGTCACAGTACACTATTCTAATGGGCGACTTTAATGCCAAAGTACGCAAGAAACAGGCCAGAGACCATGCAGTGGGGGAATACTATGGCATCAGCTCTAGGAATGCCAAAATGGAGTTATTAGTAGAGTTCACAGAACCTAATATTTACGGATCTTCAATACCTTCTTCTGAAAACGGGCTAACCGTAAGTGGATGTTGCGAAGTCCTAATGGCGAAACTAAGTATGAAATAGACTTCATTCTGTGTGCACACCCAGGCATTGTACAGGATGTAGACGTAGTTGGCAAGATCCGATGCAGTGTCCATAGATTGGTAAGAGCTCGTATTCAGTTAAATTTTAAAAAAGCAAAAACATAATGAAATAGCGGTGAAAACGAAAGTACAGGAATTCATAGCTTCGCTTCAGAATAGATTCGAGGCCCTAAGTGAGGTAACTGATGTTAGCATTGACACAATGAATGATAATCTTACTACTATCATCAAACAGTGTGCACTGGAAGTCAGAGGTAGAGTCACTAGACAGGACACTGGCAAACTATCTCAGGAGATGAAATATCTTATTAAGAGACGACGAGTCATGAAAGCATCAAATGCAACCGACAAAATAGAGCTATAGTGCAGCTTTCAAAGTTAATCAATAGACGTAAGGTAGCCAACGTCAAAAGGTATAACATGAAGAGAATTGAGCAGGCTATAAAAAGTGGCAGAAGCCTAAAAGCTGTAAAAGCAAACTGGTGCATGAGCGAAAATTGAATGTATGCATTGAGGAACAAGGAAGGCAATGTCATAAAGAATATGGATAGGATAGTCGAGGTGGCGGAGGAGTTCTACGAAGAGCTGTGCAGAAGCCAGAACAACCAGATGTTATCGTGAGAAACAATATTAGTCCAGAGGAGTTCAACATCCTACCAGTAATTACAGGAGAAGTAAGCAAAGCCCTAAATGGAATGCAAAGAGGTGAAGCTGCTGGTGAGGGTAAGGTAACAACGGACTTCCTGAAAGATGGCGGACAGATTGTGTTAGGAAAACTGGCCACCTTATTACGAAGTGCCTCTTGATAGGAAGGGTACCAGAATTTTGAAAGAATGCCAACATCATTTTAATTCATAAGAAAGGAGGCACCAAGGACTTGAAAAATTACAGGCTGATCAGCTTACTGTTCGTTCTCTACAAACTATTTACCAAAATAATAGCCAATATAATGAAGGCGACATTAGAGTTCAATCAACCAAAGGACCAAGCAGGACTTTGTACAGGCTACTCCAGAACAGACCATATTCATACTATCAATAAGGTAATAAAAAAAATGCACAGAATACAACCAATCACTATATATAGCCTTCATAGATTATGAGAAGGCATTTTACTTAGTCGAGACATCAGAAGTATTGCAGGTACTATGGAATCAGGGCATCGAAGTACCCTAAATAAATATACTGGAAGAAAGCCACCATAGCTCTCCATAAAGAATGCGACTGAATCCCAATAAAAAAGGGTGTAAGGCAAGGAGACACAATCTCTCCAATGCTATTCACCGCGTGTTTACAAAAGGTTTTCAAGAGCCTAGATTGGGAAGAGTTAGGGATTAGAGTTAATGGGGAGTATCTTAGTAACTTGCAATTTGTTGATGACATTGCCTTGACGAGTAACTCAGGATATGAATTACAACTCATGATTACTGAACTGGACACAGAAAGCAGAAAAGTAGGTCAGAAAATTAATATGCACAAAGATAAAGTAATGTGCAATAGTCTCAGCAGAAAACACCACTTTGCGATAAGTGGAGGGACGCTGGAAGTTGTAAAATAATATATCTACTTAGGACAGGTAGTAACCACGGAGCCGAACCATGAGAGTGAAATAACTAGAAGAATAAGGATAGGGTGGATCACATTCAGCAGGCTTTCTCAAATAATGATTGGTAATCTGCCACTAAACCTCAAGAGGAAGGTGTATAACAGCTGCATCTTGCCAGTACTCACCTACTGGGCCGAAACCTCGAGGCTTACAAAGAGAGTTCAGATTAAATTGAGGACGATGCAGCAAGCGATGGAAAGGAAAATGGTAGGTGTAGCCTTAAGAGACAAGAAGAGAGCATAGTGAGTCAGGTAACGAACCGGGCTTAAGGATATCATAGTTGAAATCAAGAAGAAATAGACATGGGCCAGGCACGTAGCACATAGGCAGAATAACCGCTGGTCACTAAGGATAACTGACTGGATTCATGGAGAAGGCAAACGCATGAAGAGGAGATAGAAAGTTAGGTGGGCCAATGAGATTAAAATGTTCGCAGGTATAACGTGGCATCGGAAAGCACAGGATCGGGTTGATTGGCAGATCATGGGAGGGCTTTTGCCCTGCAGTGGGTGTAGCCAGGCTGATAATAATGATGATGATGAATACACGCTTAAATAGGTGCTTTCATGGCTTAGCACTCTGCCATTGCCGTGAAATCACCTTTACGAGGGGTTACATACAGATTAATATACAGTTATTTGTTCAATTCGAATGCTTCGAAATTTTCAATAACTTAAGTCCAAATCAAAGCAAATTCGAATACTGTAAGATTCGTTTGAATATTTGAAGCATTCGAATATTCACATAGGCCTACTTAAAACAAGTAAACAATCACTGAAGCCTGGGAAAGCGTAAGGAAATTGTTCTATGTTGACATTTTTACACTTTTCTTATCTGTCCATTATATTCATATTCCATCACTTACTGTGGGCAGCTGTTTACGTAGGACCCACATTGTCATCGCCTAAGAAGCAAAACCAAGTGTGCAGCTTTTTTTACAAGCACAGTTGATATGTCGTATTGCATTGTCATAATTCTTAAACTAAAATAGTTAACATCAAGATGTTGTCTGTCCTTCATGTGCAGCACCTCCAAAGATTACCACAGACAAGCAAACCTTCTCAAGCAGAAAAGGAACAACGTTGAAACTTCCCATACCCTACAGTGGCATTCCCCAACCGGCAGCAACATGGAAATTGAATGGACAACCACTAGAGCCAGTCAAGAACAAGATCATCCAAGAAATTTCACCTCAAGAGGTATTCCTGCATCTTCTTGCTACTCTGCTTAGCTTTTTTTTTTTTTATTGAAGCGTCTTCTACAGTGAACCCTCCTGAACTTTTATTGACTATGCTGCTGGGTTCTTCAAATGGCTCTCCCACAAGATAGCACTCGGGTAATGAATTAGCTTATATCCTCCTCCTGATGCTTACTTCGGAAAACAGGCGTGCTGAAAGGGTGGTGCTATCTAAGAATTAAAAAAGAAAAGGACAGTACTTTTGCAAAATGAAGAATAACTGCATATTACATATGATTTCTCACATTTTGAGTCTCATAATAAATGAAGCAGTATTTGTTTCAGTGGGGCAAATAAAAAAATTATCAGTAAACTCAAGTACTATTTTTTTGGCACTGTGACAGGCATGCATTTTGGTTTTATAGCTTCCACACTACTGCCACCAAAAGTTGTCAGGAAACTGCCAAGAAACTGTGGCTTGGGTCACTTACTGTCTAACATGTCCCGAGTGCTCAGTAAAGTATCAAACTATAAATTCAATTGTCTATTGATTGATTGATTTGTGGGGTTTAACGTCCCAAAACCACGCTATGATTATGAGAGACGCCGTAGTGGAGGGCTCCGGAAATTTCGACCACCTGGGGTTCTTTAACGTGCATCCAAATCTGAGCACACGGGCCTACAACATTTCCGCCTCCAATTCAATTGTCTAAGTAAGTAATCTACGTCTTTCATTATTTTTTGCATTAATCTGTATAATACCATACATGTCTACTGAAATGATGTGCATCTACAATTTAGGCAATTTTTGCATATAAGCTACTTGAGAAACAGTGATTAAGGACCTGTTCTTTTCATGATCACTTAAAACATGCAGTTTCTTACATATACTCATACGTGGGGATGGCTAACTGTAAGGATGGTAAACTGTAAGAGGTGTAGAAAAAAAAAGTCAACTAAAAAATAAAGACCAGACATAATATGGTGCTTTTAATGAAAACTTCTTGAGCGGCTTGTTGCTGTGAACTGCAAATGTTTTTTTTGGAGTGCTGGGTCAAGGTCGAAATAAGAAAGGAGATGAGCAGGAAGTGTCAACTACTAACCGATTTGTTGAAGTACAAGAATGGGTGTGATGCAATTCATACGAGACCCAGCACTTAAGATTTGACATTAAGGTTTATTACTTCTTTTACAGCTTTGCACTGTACAAGTGCATCTCAGTGTAATATAGTGTGATTGGAGCTTCATACAATGGAGCTTTATTTTTGCTAAAGTGCGCCTTCAGGAGCTTTTAGGCAGTTATACAGCCGAATCTCATTAATTAAAACACGCTTAATTCGAACTTCCGGTTAATTCGAACTCATGATAAGGTCCTGTCAAAACTATGTGTATTCCAATGGGCAAAAACTCCCGGTAACTCGAACGTGCAAGCACTTGCGACGGTTAATTCGAACATACCGTGCTCCGAAAATGCTCTCAGCACCCCGCGCAATCCCGTGGGCGGCACCTGCGACACCTAAATGCTGCGCGCGAAGGAAATGAAAAGGAAAGAAAAGGCTGCGGTGAAAGTTTGCTCTTTCTCAAATGCCGATCTGCGACGCGCCCGTGTAAGGTTTCTCCCTTTTCCGTCCCTGCCACGTAAAGACCCTTCTCCTTCCAACGTCCGAAGAGAGGCAGGAAAAAAAAGCTGTCGCTAGGTTGAATGAATGTGTGGTTGAAGGAAAGGAAAAAGGCACTATGTTCTGCAGCCTTTGCCCCTTGCGGCAGCACGGCTATGCGCTTTGAGGGGAGGGGGGGGGGGGGTCTCTCACGTGCCCAGGCCCGTAACTAGGGGGGGTTGAGGGGGTTCTGACCCCCCCCCCGAAATTTTTTTTGATGCTTTGACTTTTTGGGTGATACTAAAATATTTACACGCCTTCACAGCAACCACCAGCTGCCAAAGTTACACTGCAACTTTCCTGCCATTGCTTCCTTCTTCTTCCTTTCTTCAAACCTACCCTTTTACCAGAACACCTCAGCGCTCCCTCCCCCGCACGCGCACCTGCCCTATTTGTACAGCTTTGCACTTCGCCCTCGCGTTCCTTCGAGTCTTTTTTTTTTTTTTCGTCTTTCACACCGTAGCAGCTCCTTTATTGATTCCAGATGCTTTACTTGTGCATTGCCGCTGGAGAAGTTATCCGTCTGTGCGGACCACACGTGTCGGCTTTGGGTTCTTACGAAAAGCGCGTCTACTTCTGTGAAGGTAAACAGTTCGACAGCAACGGCAACACCAACCCGACGTGCGCAAAGTTGCCAGGGAACGAAACCCCTAAGCGGAAAAACTCAGCGGCGCATTCCGAGGACGCAGGCTGCAGGGCAAACATTTCTCAAACTGTAGTCCTCGCCACCGAAATGAATCATCGAAGATGACATCTACTGAAAGACTGGCATATCCGAGCAACTTCGAACAACCTTAACCACACGCAAGGAAATCTACCTCTTCTGTACACAGAAGGTATATGCGCCTCCCTACAAAGCGCACAAAGCGAGGATACAGCCGGCACACAATCCGGCACCAGCGGTCAACTTTCACAAGAGAAAAAAAACGCCGCCAAGCTGGGCTGCGCGCGGGAGTACAGAGGCTGATGTCACAGCCTACAAAGTGCATTTTTGGGGGGTCACGGCTATTTAATTAGGGCAGCCTAGAGAGAATTATGCAGGTGCCCAGGGAGCCATCTGTGAAAAGGGGACTTTTTCACAGGAACGGAGCAACACCTCCTTTCTGGACTGTACCACGGGAGTGCAAATGTCTCGGCAGTGCATTCTTGGGGGTTCACGTATATTAAATTTAAGTAGCGTTAATCCAGTTTTCTGCAGCTGGAGTACAATAATGGGCCTGCATGCACACCAGCTGTAGCGGCGTTCAGAAAACACATGCGCCACGCGGGAGCCGGCGCGTTCATCACACTTCTACATTCTAGCCACTGTAAAGTGGATAAGAGAAGAAGAAAACATCGCCCGCCGTTCACGCCAGGCAGTCGAAGCAGTCAGACGTCTTTTTGGAGCCACTGGCCACTTCTGTGTGCGTGCACAGGATTGCGGCAGCAAAATGAAAAGACACTCTGCAACAATGAAGCAAAGGAGTCTTGCTTCTTACTTCAAGAAAGTTCGAACCGATGAAGCGGACGGAGAAGAACCGCCTCCTTCGAAGGATAAAACTTCGCCCTCCTCAGCACTGGTGGAAAGCCAAGCGCGTCTGAACTTCTGTAGCGACTCAGGAGAATGCACCAGTTTATATGAATCACCTGAGAACGAACACAAGCAGGACACCCATGCACCGCCGGGAAATGATGGTGGCCGCAGTGCAACTCCAAGTGATCTTTGTTCTACAGTCAACGCTGGGCAAAGTGACGCCTTTACCACTGGGCAATGCCCAAGGAAGGTGAGTGGCATGGCACCTACACATTCTGGTTCACCTCCCCTCTGTGCGACGAGTGCGAATATTTTTTACTTGGGACTGTTTGTCTCGAAAAGCAATAATGTAAATGATCCAGAGACGATGGAGAAGCTGCTGCTCAATCCCTGGACCCCTCCGGCTAACTATGATTATCCAGCCACAGGGAAAAGGAATCTGAAGTTCCAACCTCACTGGGTTGATTGTTACCCATGGCTTGTTTATTCAGAGAAGCTTCAAGGAGCATTATGCAAATATTGTGTAGTCTTCGCAAGTGAGTGTGCAGGAAAAGGGGAGCACCAGCACTTGGGCTGTTTTGTAACTAAGGAGTTCACCAATTACAAGAAAGCCATAGACGCCTTTAAGAGCCACGCATCCAGCAGTTATCACGCCATGTCAACAACGCTATCGGAGAACTTTTTAGCAGTCCGGTCCCGCTCACAGCATGACATCTTAACACAACCTGACCACGGCCTTAAAAAGCAGGCGGAAGAAAACCGCAAGAACTTGCTGCCAATAATAGAAACAATCCTTTTCTGTGGCAGGCAAGATGTACCGCTTCGTGGCACAGATGACTCTGGTCTGATAAATATGTCTGAAGTGCTTCCATTCAAAAATGATGGAAATTTCCACGCACTGCTTAGGATGAGAGCAAAATGTGGAGATGCTGCCTTGAGAGCTCACATGGAAACATCTCCGGCGAATGCGCTGTACACGAGCCCAAAAATTCAAAATGAGTTGATCACCCTCTGTGGTAAAATCATACAAAGAAAGATAGTGAAAAAGTCAACTCAGGTTCGTGTTTTTCAGTTCTAGCTGACGAGGCCACTGATATATCTCGCACCGCCCACATTTCTCTATGTGTAAGGTACGTTGGACACGACACGTCGGGAGTGCCCATTCTTAAAGAAGATTTTGTAGATTTCGTTCCCGTGTACGATCTCCCTGGCAAGGCGCTGACGAGCACAATCCTGAACGGCCTTAGAGGTCATGGCTTTGACCTGAACCTACTTTGCGGGCAAGGATACGACGACGCGGCATCAATGAGCGGCCACGTTAACGGTGTTCAAGCCTTCATTCGTCAAACAGCGCCCAAAGCGTTGTATGTGCATTCTAGCGCCCACTCGTTGAACCTTGCTCTGCTTCACGCATGCAAACTCCCCAGCATCCGCAACTGTTTGGGAACTGTATCCTCAACCTGTACGTTTGTGAGAGCGTCGCCACAGAGGACGAACCAACTGCGAGACAAAGTAGAAGATTTAACACAAGAATAAAGAAAATCAGTTCTCTCCTTTTGCCAAACAAAGTGGGTAGAGAGTCACGATGCACTTCAGCGTTTCCTTGAACTGTACGTGCCTATTGTACAATTCCTCGAATATTTAGAAGAGGAGGCAGCGTCATCTGATACTTCATCAAAAGCTTCTCAACTGCTCAATGTCATTACGAAGCTCGAGTTTGTCGTTTCGCTTCAGATCTGTAGCGACCTCTTCTCTTTGACACTGCCACTTTGCAAGTTTCTTCAAAAAATTGACTGTGACTTGGCTCAAGTGTGCGATCACGTAAAGAATGTTATAGACGTTCTTTCCACAAAAAGGGCTAGTGCGGAAACGGAATTTAATAAGATTTTTCTGAAGTCGCTCTCTTTGCTGAAGATCACAAATGTTGAGATGGCCCTACCACGCATCACTGGAAGGCAGATGCAAAGAAGCAACGTACCTTCTGCTGCTCCCGAAGAGTACTACCAGAGGAATGTGTATTTGCCTTTGCTGGCTGACTTCGAAAATCAATTAAGAGACCGGTTCGATGCCCATAAGAAGGTCGTGGTTGGCCTTAACATGCTGCTGCCGAAATTCTGCGCATCGGCTAGCCTTTCTGGTATTGATGATGCAGTGCAGTTTTACCTTGGCGACATTCCTTCGGCTAATGTCATCGAAGCAGAGTTCACACTGTGGGTGAACAAATGCTGCCACATCGAAGAAAAGAATCGCCCAGCTTGTGCTTTACAGGCCTTAGAGATGTGCAACCGCGAATTTTTTCCGAACATCCACAGCCTACTTTCTATCCTGGCGACTTTACCCGTGTCCACGTCGACCCCGGAACGGACTTTTTCCACACTGAGAAGGCTGAAGAGATACCTTCCAAATCATATGAACGACAGATTGACTGGACTAGCACTGTTCAGCATCCATCGAGAACTTCAAGTGACCCCAGAACAAGTCCTCACAGAATTTCGCAAATTGCCGAGAAGGAAAAACTTCCTCGTTTAAACTTCCCTCTATGTTTCAAGAGTCGATTAAAAGCTAAACCCAGCTAGCCCAAGCTTCAACCCTTCTATCCTTTCGCAATTACGAGGAAACTATCCAGCAAGCAGAATGTGCGAACGGTAACAAGATCGGAATGTCGGGCGACTTGTTTGTTTGCTTGCATACATGCTGTCACGGACTGCCATTTTTGCGACCCGGCGAAACGGCAAATTAACGGGCGCCGCACTCCCCCGCTGACCGGTGGAACCGTTCGCTCATGAAAAGACTGGCCTTTAGTGCAGGGAAGTACTGAATGGGGTGTTCTTCTTCAAACGTTAGTCGCCGATGTTTGATCCTTTGTACCTACGGCGGCGTCGGCAGGGTCGTCAATGGCCGCGATGCACCCCGAACTAGCTGTAGACTACAAGACGCACCGGCTGAAACCAAGGAAACTGATCATTCCCACGGGCAAAACTGCTTGTGGACAAGCCGTATGAGAGAACCCCAACAGGTTGTCACTCTCGCTCAGTTGAGGAGCCTTTCCTAATTAAAAAGGGGCGTGGTCAATATATTTTTATGGTGGAGTTTCTAACAATGAAACGCGCATGATTGGACCCATGTAGAGGTCTCTTTTCCCCCAGGATGAGAATCAGGGGACACGGAGGTCAATTTAAGAGCAGGATTTCGCCTAGCTAAACAGTCTAGTTGCTGACCAACATGGTGTAGAAGGAGATCAAGAAGTATCCCTTAAGTGGTTGTGGCTCCATGTCGGCTGGCCACCTAAACTTAGCCATTCATCTAGTTGTGACGTGAAATTAACGTCTGTAACGTAGGCATCGGTACTTGAATCTCGAGTAAGCTCAACCTGCCCGAGATCGGCTTCAAGCACTAGCCTCCTGGAAACACCAGCGCTGCAACACCGCCGACATCGCAGTTGTGCCAGAACTCTCTCTGACTTCTCGCATCCGATCGTCGTGGACTCAATGCTGCCGGTCATCACAAGTATCCCTTCACCTGTTTATACCTTCGGACTTTCTCATCTGTAGTTTTATTGTTGGTTAGTTTTGTGTAGTTTGTAATACTTCTCTCTTGTAAGATGATTTATTGATTTTATATGTATTTTGTTAGTTGGTATTAAGTGTTGTACTAGATTCCTCTGCAATATTCCTAGATTCCTCTGCAGTGCTGCAATATCACTAGAGTTTTGTTTTTCCCCACATACGTCTCTGATCTCTTCACTGTCTCTGCTTACGTATGGAATGACCTAACCTGCTGCCATTCCCGTCGCCGACTTCGCGCTGGCGACGCTAGAGTGGCAGCTTGTAACACATACATACCGTTTTTGTACCGCGGTTACATTGTGTTACTTCATCAGGAGCCGTTGGTCGCAGTGTCCCCGGCTTTGGTGGTGCTATTGTCCAAACTTATTTCTTGCTTTAACCAGAATTTGAGGTTGACATACCAATTTCTTTATTTGGGTGCAAATAATTGAAAAGTACCATCGAATTATTACAAGTAAGCGATGTACTTGTTTTATTCACAAAAGTAAGCCAGTATAAATCTTAAAAAATAGCAGCCGTTTTACACGCAACCCCCCCCCCCCCCCCCGAAAAAAATTCCTGGGTACGGCCCTGCACGTGCCCGTGCTGCGCTTCATCTCTCACACGCCCGTGCCATGCTTCTTCCTTCTTTCCCGTCCCTGCCACATAACCCTTCTCCTTCCAACGACGCGCGCGAAGCGAGCAAAAAAAAAAAAAAAAGCTGCCGTGGAATGTTGGTTTTTTCTCAAATGCCGATCTGCTACTCTCTGCGTGGAGACGCTCCTCGTTTCTTGTCACGTGCTGGCCATTCTGCGGCTGCGTAGCGGAGAGACTACGCAGTCGTTGTTGTCGTCGTCTTTAGAAAGTATCGGTGCTGGATATTTCCGCGCGCAACTTCTCTTGCCAGGAGATTTCTGAAGCCAAAGTAGAAATGCTTTGCAAGATGCGTGTGGAATTAATTGACTTGCTGTAAGACAAACGTGTGCAGACACGCATCACCGAATACTTCAATTAATAACAGATGTCCTGTGAATTGTGAATAAATGTAAGTCTTCTGAAACTTCCCCCTCGTGTGTTAGCTCAATGCACATGCGCCACTGCATGGAGAGCCTTCGGTTTATGTAGCTTTCATTATTTCGAACTTCTTTTAATTCGAACAAATTTTTGGGCCCCTTCGAGTTCGAATTATCGAGATTCGACTGTATTACTGTTTTGGCCCAGTGTACTTACACATGAAGATATAACATATTAAGGCATTGCATTACTAATACGTGCATTATCCAGTCACTTATTAAAACATCTTCCTGCTTGGCCTATATACGAGTTTCCACATTCGAGATGAATCTCGTAGACTACCCCGCTTTATGTGTCCTGCCTTCGGTATCTCAACCAGAACCCAACATTAATAATTGTTTAATAATTTTACACACTATTTCGACACATGCAATAATTGAACTACTTTCATATTTCTGGTCCCTCTGAACTGAATTGAATGTCTTTCCACTTCTTATAGGCAACTCTGACGATAAAAGACTTACGGCCCACAGACACAGGAATTGTGACACTCACTCTCAGGAATTCTTGTGGTGAATGCAGCAAACCGTTTAATGTCACATGTATTGGTGAGTATTGTTGCAGTCACAACTTCTATATAGTAGACACAATTTACAATCAGCAACATAACCAATAGTTTCAAACAAAAGAAATTACAATTAGCTGGTATAGTAATACATCCAAATTAGTTCAGACTCATGATGGCAATTTCTTCCCTCACATTAAAAATGGGAAGCTGAAGTTATAAATTGCCTTCTCAGGCTGGTACAGCTCTTTCGAATAAAACACACTGATACCCCAATATTGTTTTAGTAGTGTCTTCAAAACAAAAAATCGACTCCAACGAATTGTGATAAATGCATGTTACCATAGTCAGATTTGCCTCCTATGTATATATTATAAATACCAGCAGAGTGGGGTGATAAGAGCTGGTAGCAGATTTGTTGATAAATTTACATATAAATTCCTAAAGAAAGGCAATAAAACTCTGACAATTCAAAAACAAAATGAAACTGCGGAGTTACGTTTAATTACTTGTACCAGTGCATCGACAACAGAGTCATCTAGTCAACATGATACTATAAATGGCTGTTTGTAACATGCATGTAGTTTTAAGGCAGTAGGAGACTAAGACTGAAATCTACAACTGGCACACTTTTCCCAGAACTCATTTAGATGATTTTGTTAAAGTAGAATTGATTGTGAAAATACTCAAACAAGGACAAAGAAACATAGACGCATGCAATTCACAATTGTGGACTATCGACAGTGGATTGGATGACTGTAGGCAGTACACCTTGCTTGTTCAAGATTATGTTTGTGGCCAAAATATTAACCAGAAAGAGTGGTGCTGCTCATGCACTGTTGCAAAGGAATGTACTTCTTTCTAGAGCGAAAGGAATGTACTCAGCTTCAGTGCACAGTACTGTGCTGTATCATACAGTGACTTTAAGCCTTTGCATTGTTTCAACCTTATCAGGATTGTGAAAGAGCGTTGCACTTTAAATGCCCTATTTCCACTGCTTTCGTGGATACACAGCCTGACAAAAATGGCCTATTTTTGCAGAAAAGCCCGGCCCACCTGGGGTGCCTGAGCCTTCAGATATATCGAGCACTGGCTCGCTTATGTTGTCCTGGAAGCCACCACAATCTGATGGAGGTTCTAAGATCACAAATTACATTGTAGAGTATCATGATCGAAATACGCTTCGTTGGATACTCTATTCTGACACCGTTCAGGACACCTTCACAAAAGGTAAGCTTTTGTATCTGACGATTGGCATGAGCATTCTTAGTACAGTATCAACTGACTTAAAATGTTGCATGGCTTATTCCAGTGGAGGGCCTATCACCTGATGAAGAGTACATGTTCCGTGTCACAGCTGAAAATGAAGCTGGGAAAGGTGATCCTTCTCAAGGCACTAAGTATATTCGTATTCAGCCGAAAGGTGAGTAACATGTAAATCGTAAAACACAGCAGTCACTCTGTTGTTTGCCTCTTAAACCATTTACTCAAAGTGGATGTCAGTGAATGAGCAGCAGCCATTATGTGCCAGTCAGTACACATGATAAATAGATAAGAGTGTAAAAGAGCCGTAATATCTTGCATTTGGAGTGCCCGAAACTAAACTGCAAAAAAAGTGGGATTGTGTTATGCCAGACCACTAGCCTCCGGAAGACTCGCCCGTGTCGGCACTGAATTGCCTGGTGCTTACTTATCATACACGTGACCTGCATATCCAATGAATGTATTAGAAAGACTATACATGTGCACTAGTGGAAAGAAAGATCATTGACAATTGAATAGCCAAGCAAAGGGCTCAAAATTTGTCTGCAGTTTTTATTTACAGCATAATTAATAAATTATTAAATTAATTGAGCCACCAACTCACAAGAGATCATGAAAAGTTCAAAGAAAAGGAAAAAAAAGCACTCACACTCATATACACTAGTATGCAAGTTTCTATATGTATGCAACAAAGGAACACCATGAATGACACATGAGAAAACCAGACAATGCAGTTAATTGCAAATTAATTCAGTGTGAAATGTCATTAACTAGAGTATTGCTGTACAGCTTTTGTTGCACTGTAGCAATTGTAAATGCATGGTAAAATTTAATGAATGCGCTGTTTTATACAGACACCAGAATGAGGCAATCTATCTGTCTGAAACTTGGCATATCAAAAGTAATGGAAGTGCATGTGTTAGCGAGCCTTTGGTTAACAAGCAAATAAAAAAATGAAATGCCCGATCAGTTAGCTCTCATGTTGACCCACAAGTCTGCCCGATTGATGGCTGGTGCTGCCATTCATTAGCATGTGCAGATTAACTTTGTGTCTACCTCCTTTTCTGCCACAGTGAACCCCATCAGTTGATGCCATTTGTGTTGTGTGTTTCTCTTCTATTTGATTCATGTGTTTACACACCTCACCTTCTTTCATGATGAATTCTAACCAGCCAGCTCAATTTTCTTCCATTCTAACCACCCTGAAATGAACACAGTGCAAAGCAGAGCTGTATAGGCAACAGCAAAAACAGCAAAATGTTATTCATTTGTGTCCCTATGACAGAAGCAGTGTACATTTTGCTTGGAAATATTAAAAAACGTCAATAGGTGTAGTTGAAAACCCAGAATGAATTTCTCACCAAAAACTGCATGTACATACAGCTTTTGTTCATTAACCTGTCTGTGTGTGTATAAATTGACTGTTAGTAAATACTGCTCCTCTTGTACATGCTGTTTTGCTAATAATGATACTTTAGAAGTTCTGAAAGATTAAAAACAATTTTCAAGTGTTCACTGTACACATTTTTCAGCACTGTTAAAGTAATGCAAGAAAAACAATGATAAAATTATAATAAGCCGTAAGCAAAAACGCTTCATCTTAGTCATGCCAAAGCAGAAATTATTCGTATTAGCTACAAATATCACCTTAAAATTGAACCCAGTAGATGTTCTACATTTGCCTGTTTTTCACTTAGTGCAGAATGCACATTAATTTTATTTACATGCATTTTTATTTGTCTTTCATTTATAGCTGGGGAGCCACCAGTAATTTTAGAACATCTGATGGACAAGACTGTTGGAGTGAAAAAACCAGCCGAATTAACTTGCAGAATAGCTGGGAACCCTACACCCGCAGTCAAATGGTAATGATTTTGATAATTAGATTTCCTATGTTTAATGATTCTATTTCTGCATAACAGCTTAAAGAGAAGGCTTGCACTAGATTCAGCAACAAAAGTGCAAGCTCCCTATTTCTACCTTTGCAGGCTTAAAAATGGCAAAGACCTGGTCATGATTAGCAACTTTAGCGCTGAATTCAAGGATCAGAAAGCTACACTTCGAATCAAGGAAGCATCTACAAAATCAGGAGGAAAGTACACATGTAAAGCAACAAACCCGCACGGCTCCACGGAAACAACATGCACGCTATCTGTTCAAGGTATACAGAGCCTGTTCTACTCATCCTCCACTTTCAAAATAAATAAACTAGTAAGACTTTGAAGAAGAAAGCTAAGTTCCATAATATCTTCCAGATCCACCACGGGCAGAATTCGATGAAAAACTTCGAACTGTCCGTATCAATAAGCAAGAGGAATTCAAGGTTCCCTGCAGAATTTATGGATTTCCAAAGCCTACTGTCACATGGTTACGTGATGGAGCACCTATTCAATCAACCAAGCATACACTCATTACAGACAAGGATGATACTTCTACCATTACCATTCATAGTACAGAGGGTCCAGATTCTGGTGTTTATACACTTGAACTAAAGAATCCAGCTGGAAGCGTCAGCTATGACTTCAGGCTCAGGGTGCTTGGTGAGTTCTTTATTTTTGTTCGACAGAATTCTGTACGTACAGTAAAAAACATACATTTCGCTTTTTTTCTTGATAATCTAAATAAGCATGAAAACTGCAGTAACAGCAGCTTAATTTGAGCGATTCCATTCTAGACATGGTCGGAACAGTGCTAAAATGATTGAGAAGAAAAAGGACAGGCAGTCAAAGATTGCTGCATGCCACTTGTTTTTTATGTTCGAATCATTTTCTTGCTGCACCCACAACTTTGTGAAAATTGATGTTGGGTGTACAACTTTTGTGTGCTAATATGACTTGCTGCTAAAATAAAGTACTATGTTGGCTTCAGACAAGCCAGGTCCACCCGAACCACCAATTGAATTCCTGGAAACTGCTGGAGACCACATCACACTGTCATGGCAACCACCGCTGGATGATGGAGGGTCGCCCCTTACAACGTACATAGTAGAACACTGCGAGACTACAAGAACAGTGTTTATTGAGGTAAACAAAAACATCAAAGCTGAGTGTTGTTCCTCATAGGTATTCTCTTATTTCGTTTCAGTAGACCAAAGTAGTGTGCCCTCATGATGTTCTAGCATAATATTCTTTCATGTTCTCGCAATCCCAGAATACAGTGCAGCAAATCCTATGTCCCACAATATTACTGCATCCATTTAATAGCAACATTAGCACTAAGAACTTTTGTGTAGGCCTGGTACAATGCCACGAAGACAATGATCTTCATAAAAACATGAGTCATTGTACACAGGATTCTGAAGTATGCATTGTAGTTCATAGCACTTTTTTGAGCTGTTGCAGTGTTTGTTTCATATGTCAAAATGGACAGAGTGCTGGACTGATATCCAGAGAGTTTACTGGACTGATTAATACAGTGCCAAGCCTGAACTTCATAACCTAGAGTGTACATTCCCAGTTGTAAGAAATCAGCACAACTGACTGGTGGCTGCAGTGGTCAAATGAAATGCAGCATTGTTATTCTTGAGCATGCTAATTGTGATTGCTAGGCACATTACCTTATCCAAAAAAGAGTACCTGGCAGCTGCTTGCAACACCAGCACAAAAAAGAACCAAAAAAAATAAAGTGGGTTCATGTACACAGTCGCAGTATTGTATAATTCTGCCATGCATAAGATTTCATCTAATTGGTGGACTTAAATATGAGTCACTTTCTGACGGCCACCACTGCTTAGGAAAATGGAATGTGGCTGGCACTCTCGCTATCAGCACACTCAAAAACAACAGCGTCATATGTCACAATTTTCTCTTTCGGACTCCAGTCGCATTTACTAATCTTTTGCCGCTGGGGCCATAAAACAAGCAACAATAACATCTATGTCAGTTTCACATGTATATGTAACTTAAAGATCATCTACTTAGTATAATATTAGTATTACTTTATTTGTTCTCAAAGAATGTGTGGCCATGCGTATAGGGCTGCCGAAGGCAGAACTGCCCATACTGGAGTGGTTCACATGTGCAACCTGGGTTCCATTGTAGCACTAAAATGTGAAGATAAAGTGAGGTGAATCACTTGAAGCTACAGCAAGCACTGTGTGGCCATCATCATTGGCCCATCGTTTCTGGTTTTGGAAGGGAATGCCCTGGTATGAGTCTGTGAAAGCTGCCGCCACAACGCAAGAGTATGGGGCAGCCACGAGGAACTACACCTGTCTGTTTGAGATGAAAGGGGTTCAAGGCGATTTGTGAGCCCACTAGCATCTGGTGGCCAAGAGCAAAAAGTTTGTTGAGGAAACGAATGGTGGCAGGCTGAACTATATATGCAAAAGATTGAGAGGATGCAAATTGGTGTAGTATAGGTCATAATTTGTATCTCGGAGAGGTACTTGCTCTCTGATGTGCTACTGCTATAGAAAATATAAGATGTTGAACACTACCAAGAATGTGTCACATACTGGGGTAGCTAGATGGAGGAGAAGTATTGTGTACAGCATCCACAAAGCATATGCACTAATCATCCCCGCAGGGGCGCCTGCGCAAGTAGGCGTTTGGTGTGTAGCGACACCACGGACCCGAGCTAACGGGGGAGTTTTGACCCCCTCCCATGCCTAGCCGTGCGTGGCTTTGCCGTGTCCGGGGAAAAGGGGATCCTGGGGGTTGAGCCAATGCTGGGTGATTGGACCTTTAAGGCCCCCCGGCAGAGGCAACACACCCCTTTGGCCCCGGCTTCACGTAGACGGCACCCCTGGGCTGACCCACCCAGGGGAAATCGGCAGTCGCCTTTTCCTATCTCTCTCTTCCTACATCTTAGTCTTTTCTCATCTTTAAATCGGTCCTGTCTTCTTCTCTCTTCCATTTACTTCCGATTTTTCCTGGCGGCAAGGGTTAACCTTGTGTAATTACTCAACCTTGAGTAGTTATATTTGGTTATAGTGGCAATGTACGGCTGGCGTCTGCAGCCTTATGCTATTAAGTGCTTCAGCGTCCCCTGGTTGGACTCCATGGTGGGTGGTCGCCATTGCTGCCGAAAAAAAAGTACACTACTATGGGAACACCTGCATTTCCCCATCTCCTAGATCGTCTTCCGCTTAAGAGGGGACGCACCGATGAAATATTAGATTTCAATCAACCCAGACAATGTTTTCCGAAATTTCATGTAGTGCACAGCGAAAAGCCAACAAAACAAGCCAGAGCCATATCTCCATTTCTCGTTGCTAAATCTCTGACTGAGCTCTTTGGCCCAGGATACAAGGTTACAAAGATGGCTAGCGGAGACCTTCTCCTTGAGCTGCCAGAAAAACACCACTATGAAAAACTTGGCAGTCTCAAAGCATTTGGTAATATCCCAGTATCTGTTTCACCTCATAGATCAATGAACACCTCACGCGGAGTTGTTTCAGAAGCAGACCTTCTTGAAATGTCTGAACAGGAACTGCTTGAAGGGTGGAAAGAGCAAAATGTCACGGATGTGAAACGAATCGTCATCAGACGTGACAACAAAGAAATACCTACCAAACATATAATACTCACTTTTGCATCTAGCACACTGCCTTCATCTATAGACACAGGCTACATCAAACTCTCTGTCCGTCCCTACATTCCCAATCCAAGACGGTGTTATAAATGTCAACGATTTGGTCATGGCTCGCAGAACTGCCGGGGTCAGGAAACTTGTGCAAGATGTGGTAGCCACGGCCACCCATCTGATAACTGTGTTACTACGCCTCACTGCGTGAATTGTGACGGGGAACACGCCGCGTATTCGCGTTCGTGTCCTAACTGGAAGAAAGAAAAAGAAATAATCACTCTTAAAGTCAAAGAAAACATCACATTCAAAGAAGCAAGACGAAGAGTGTCGCCATTTTACGGCGCAACATATGCTGATGCGGCGCGTCAGGGGGCAACGCCGCACCAGCCCTCGCCACCCCTTCGGCCCGCGCAGAGCGAGCCGTCGGCTGTGGCACCTGCCCCCAAGGCGGCTGTAGCCCAGGCTACACCGCCTACTCCCAAGCAGAGACCGGAGACTCCAGAGTCTTCGGGTCTCAAGGCCTCCCCTCACCAGGCGAGGCCCAAAATCCAAACTAACAGCTCGCACGTGCGGGCATCCAGTGCCTCCGAGGAGGCAATGGATACGACGGCACCCTTGGTGCCGAAACAGCGGCGTGGCTCCTTGGAGCGCGCCAAGAAAACAAAAAAGCAAATAACAGGGCCTGGTGACGGCCCTGTTAAGTGAACTTAAACTCCCCGTCTAAACAGCCACTCGCTTTTCGTACACACAGCATTATTTTACATTCACCATGAACACTCAAATTATACAATGGAACGTCAGGGGCCTTCTCAGAAACCTTGACGACATCCAAGAACTCCAACACGAACACTCACCAAAAGTGCTGTGTGTACAAGAAACACACCTTAATTCAAAACACACAAATTTTCTTCGCAAATACGTTATTTTTCGAAAGGACCGTGATGATGCCATGACATCATCCGGAGGTGTTGCCATCATAGTGAATCAAGGAATTGCATGCACACACTTACAACTCCAAACATCCCTTGAGGCAGTGGCTGTTCGAGCGGTTCTTTTTGATAAACTGATCACAATCTGCACTATTTACATTCCTCCTAGCTATCAGCTGCAAAAACGTGATTTACACTCTTTAATTGATGAACTTCCGGAACCTTATGTTCTCCTTGGAGACTTTAATGCGCATAGCAGGCTATAGGGTGACTCTCGGTATGGCGCGCGAGGTCGACTGATCGAACAGTTCCTTGTCTCGTCGAGCGCGTGTCTCCTAAACCGAAAAGAACCAACCTATTATAATCTCGCCAATAACACCTACTCCTCCATAGACCTAAGCATACCTAGTGTCTCCATCTCTTGTGCCTCTACTCCAGTGGAAAGTCGTCACTAATCTGTACGGAAGTGACCACTTTCCCGTAGTTTTGAGCACAACTACAGCAACTGAGTGTACACCCCGTGTTCCCAAATGGCTCATAAACAGAGCCGACTGGGAACGGTTTCATACCATCGCTCGTATAGATTGGAGTGACATATGTACTTTAAGCATTGATGTTGCTGTCGACTACTTCACAGCTTTTCTGATTGATGCTGCAACAAAATGCATCCCACAAACAAATGGGCACCCAGGAAAACGGCGTGTGCCATGGTGGAACTCCGAATGCCGAAACGCGCGCAAACAGCAAAACAGAGCTTGGAGGCTGCTTCGGAACTCACCGACAGCCGAAAATCTTGACACCTTCAAGAAAATAAAGTCTCAAGGCAGGAGAACACGTCGGCAGGCCAGAAGAGAAAGCTGGCAGAAGTTTTTGTCAGGGATCAATTCATACACACAGGAGGCTAAAGTCTGGAACATGGTCGGTAGGATAGCAGGAAAACAAGTACACACACTTCCACTCGTGGACACTCGGGGTGATACCTTGGAAGATCAGGCAAACTTCCTCGGTGCACACTTCGAACAGGTGTCCAGCTCATCCCACTATACTGACACTTTCCAAAAATACAGAACAAGAATAGAAAAGCAGAAACTTGAACACAAATGCGCTAGATCCGAGGCATATAACCAAGCTTTCAGTCTAGCTGAGCTGCAAATGTCTCTAAACTCCTGCAGTACTTCTGCCCCAGGTTCTGACCGTGTGGTGTATAAAATGTTAAAAAACCTACCAATCGAAACATGAAAAACCTTACTTTGTTTGTACAATGCTATCTGGTTTTCTGGCACTATCCCTACCTCCTGGAAAGAGGCTATTATTATTCCCATTTTGAAAGAGGGCAAAGACCCTTCTTTACCCTCGAGTTATAGGCCTATAGCACTTACAAGCTGCTTGTGCAAAGTCTTCGAAAAAATGATAAACTGCCAACTTGTACATTTCCTTGAAACAAATAATTTGCTTGACCCATTTCAGTGCGGGTTTCGAGAAGGTAGATCCACCACAGACCACCTTGTTCGTATCGAGGCACAGATCAGAGATGCCTTCGTCCATAAACAATATTTTCTCTCTGTGTTCCTCGATATCGAAAAGGCTTATGATACAACATGGCGTTTCGGAATTCTAAGAGACCTTTCCCACCTTGGCGTGCGCGGAAGAATGTTTCACATAATCAAAAGTTACCTGTCAAACCGGACATTCCGTGTCCGAGTGGGCACGGTTCTTTCCCGAACATTTGTTCAGGAAACAGGCGTGCCACAAGGTGGTGTACTTAGCTGCACACTTTTTCTCATAAAAATGAATTCCTTGCGCTTGACCATCCCTCGCAATATGTTTTATTGCACATATGTCGATGACGTCCAGCTTGGCTTTAGGTCTTGCAATCTGGCATTGTGTGAGCGGCAGGTTCAGTTAGGTTTAAACAAGCTCTCCAAATGGGCAGAGGAAAACGGATTCCGACTGAACCCACAAAAAAGCACGTGTGTTTTGTTCTCTCGAAAGAGAGGCATGCACTCGGAACCTGACATTCGACTGAACGGGCAACGTCTGTCCGTCAAAGCCGAGCATAAATTCTTAGGCCTAATCTTGGACAACAAGTTGTCCTTCGTGCCGTACATCAAGTATCTAAAAACAAAATGTTTAAAAGCCATGAATGTTTTGAAAGTGTTGTCACGTACTACTTGGGGTAGTGATAGGCAATGCCTCATGAACCTCTATAGAAGCCTCATTCGCACCCGCTTAGATTATGGGGCCGTTGTCTATCAGTCTGCTACTCAAAGTGCCTTGAAGATGCTGGACCCCGTGCACCATTTGGGCATCCACCTTTCTACGGGTGCTTTTCGCACCAGCCCCGTAGAAAGCCTTTACGTTGAGTCAAATGAGTGGTCGCTTCATCTGCAAAGAACCTACATGTCCTTTGTTTACTTCCTTAAGGTGAAAGCAGACAAGGAGCACCCCTCATACTCTACAATTAATGATTTGTCGAGCTCAACTCTGTTTCAAAACAGGCCTTCGATGAGGCAGCCCTTCTCAGTTCGCCTGAAGTGTCTAGCTCAAGAAACTGCAGTGTCACTTGAACAGAGTTTAATGGCTCCTGTAGCATACCCGCCACCGTGGCAGTGGCAGACTATAGACTGCGATGTGTCTTTCCTAGAAGTTACAAAACATGCACCTATTGCCCATATCCGAACATACTTTTTGGAACTTCAACACAAATACACACGTCCTGAGTTCTTCACAGATGCCTCCAAGACTAACTCCTCTGTGTCCTACGCTGCTGTCGGCCCATCCTTTTCGGATGCTGGCCCTCTACATCCACGCACAAGTATCTTCACAGCGGAAGCTTACGCGATACTTGTGGCAGCTGAACACATAAAACAATTACAAATACAAAAAGCAGTAATTTATACAGACTCCCTCAGTGTAGTAACGGCTCTGCACAATCTTAAAAAACACAAAAACCCAGTCCCTGTCTCACTTTACTCCATTTTATGCACACTACACACACACAAACAACATGTTGTAGTGTGCTGGGTGCCAGGGCACCGTGAGATTCAAGGCAACGTGAGGGCGGATCAGCTCGCTGCATCCGTCCATGAGAGCACTGCCATTACATCCATATCAATCCCGGCCCTTGATCTTAAGCCGTCTCTCAAACGAAACCTCCGGGACTACTGGCAGAGCAAGTGGGATACACACACACAAAACAAACTACACGTTACTAAGCCACACCTTGGTCATTGGCTGCCTGTATCGAAATCGCGTCATACAGAGGTAATACTAACGAGACTCAGGATAGGACACACATACACGACACACACATATCTTTTGTCTGGTGGCGATCCACCATTGTGTGACAGATGTGGTGAACCATTAACCGTTCTTCACATGTTAATCCAGTGTAAACACTTAGAAACTATAAGAAAACAACATTTTACATTACCCTACCGACAACATATACCTTTACACCCTGCAATGTTCGTTGGTAGGGAACCACTTTTTAGTCATAAATCATTGTTAGCGTTTTTAAAAGAAATTAATAATTTTCATATCATACACCCGGGCATTCCGTAGCACGACCTCTCTAGAGAGGTTTTTGCTGCGGCGGTTGCACAAGAAAGCACTTGCCTCACGGCCCTTGGACGCAAGGGTATGAACGAGTGAGGCACTTGTGCTAATGCCATTCATATCCACCATCGTTTTTTATAATCACCAACTCTTGTCATCTATCCTCACCACACACACCTTTCACGGCATGGTCATGATTTTATTACTTGTATGTTTTTACCCACCTTACCGCGAGGAATTTTATGGACTTTATACAGCCGCTTATCACAATCATTGTCCATATTCTTAGTAACATGAACTGGCGCTCTTTGGCCGTGAAATGGCCCTTGCGCCACAAAACTTCAAACATCATCATCATATGCACTAATCATTAAAGTAAGCCAGTTTCTTAGAAGGTAACTTTCATCTCATTGAGGCACTTTGTACACATTTATGGACACAATTTGTTTTTACTAGTTGTGTCGCCTGGAAGCTAAGAAAGAGCAAGCTTGTATATTGAGGTTTTGATTAGCTAAACCTCCAGCATAATAAATGTCTCTCATTTAACTTCTTTTTGCATTGTACTATTGTATACGATCACTTTGATGAAGGCACTATCATGTTCTACAAGTTGTTCGAAGTGCTGCTTTCTGCATGCATATCGAAAGCATCATTTTCCATAGCTCAAAATGAATGCGCTCAAACCTCATTATAACAAAGTAGCATCTTACACTAAAATAAGTTTGTTATATCCGAAAATTCGTTATAAAGGTTTATCTTTAACACTACATATACATTGCAAGACTTTTTATTTACTTCGTTATAATCAACACTTCGTTATATCTGGGTTCATTATATTGAGGATTGAGTGCATAACCGAACTGAAACTGTGCTATATTTCTGTGCATTGTGACACTGTTTTTATTGCAATGAAATATTGAGTGCCTTGAAATAATTTTGTATGAATTTGGTGCACTTATAGACAGTTTTCTATAGGTGGTGCCTTAAAGCTTAATGTGTATTGCATTCATAAGTATCTAAGTTCTACATCCTCTTCTTTTTTTACCCAGGTTGGTAGAACACAGCCAGACACCACCACATTCAGAGATCCTGATGTGACTGAAGCAAGCGAGTACCTCTACAGGATCTCAGCTGCCAATGAATATGGCATCAGCACGCCTCTCACTTCAGAACCTGTAGTGGCTCGATGTCCATACGGTAACTAGAACATTTTTTCAAGAAAGGCACTGAAATCAGTGCTGATGTGTGTCTCCTTCAGTTTTGTGTATCCATGCTGTTGTCTTGTTTCTTTACAATACTGTGAATTCTCCTTTCATCAGTGGTGTGGTAGTATATGTCAATAATATCAACTTTGTTGATATTATTTGTGTGTGAGTTTGTGTGATAACTGTTCCATACAGCTTTAGTGTAGGTAGCTGTATGTTTAGGGATATGAGACTATTTTAGTACGTATGTATAATACGTATAAGTACTAGCAAACCCATGTCACAGTGGCAAATAACAGAAAGAGTGCATGTACAGTATTCACAGATTGAAACAAAACAACTTGGGACTAAGTAATGCTCATACATTCATTTCCAGAGTCTCCAGCTCAGGTCATAGTATCAGCATAATATCGACTTGAATGTGTAGATCAAAGTACACATCATTTTTAGGAGCCAAATTCACTGTGGCATGATGTGGTTATCTCAAGGCATGGTACATAATGGTCATTACACAGTAAACATTGATGTAACGTATAAATCTGTGAGCACTGTACGTATGTGTACTGGCCTTTTTTTACACAGTAATTATGACAGCTCACTCCCCATATAAGGAAGAGATAAGAATAAAAATGGGATGAAGCACATTCAGCAACCATTCTCAAATTCTGAATCTACGACTATCCCTCAAGAGGAAGGCATATAACAGCTACATCTTTCCAGAACTTAACTTCGGAGCAGAAACATCAAGGCTAACAAGGAGAGTTAAGCTTAAATTCAGGACAACGCAGCGAGTAATGGAAAGGAAAATGATAGGTGTAACCTTGAGAGACAAGAGAGCAGAGTGGGTCAGGGAACAAACCTAGGTTAAGGATATCATAGTTTAAGTCAAGAAGAAGAAATGAACATGGGCCGGGCTCGTAGCATGTAGGCAGGATGCTTGTCACTAAGGGTAACTGACTGGATTCCCAGAGAAGGCAAGTGCACGAAGGGGAGACAGAAGTTTAGGTGGGCTGATGAGATTAAAAAGTTCGCAGGTTTATTGTGGCAACAGAAAGCACAAGACTGGGTTTAGGAAGGTATATAACAGCTGCATCTTGCCAGTACTTACCTACAGAGCAGAAACATGGAGGCTTACAAAGAGGCTTCAGCTTAAATTGAGGACGACACAGCGAGTGATGGAAAGGAAAATTATAGGTGTACCCTTAAAAGACAAGAAGAGAGCAGAGTGTATCAGGGAACAAATGGGGGTTAAAGATATCATGTTTGAAATCAAGAATAATGAATGGACATGGGCCAAGCATGTAGCGGGTGAGCTGGATAGCAGTTGGTCATTAATGATAACTGGCTGCATTCCAAGAGATGGTAAACGCGTGAGAAGGAGACAGAAAAGTACGAGGGCAGAGGAAATTAAGAAGTTTGCACTCATAGCGTGGCAACAAAAATCACTGGACCGGCGGCAGACATGGGAGAGGCCTTAGCCCTGCAGTGGGCATAGCCAGGCTGATTATGATGAAGCTCTATATTGTATAATATGTGCTAGTCTGCATTAATATCCTATTGTACATGCTGTTATGCATTGCTTTCAAATAAGGGTACACTCCAGCACTTTATCTCATTTTTAATCAGTGTCATGCGTAGTGCTTTGTAGTAGCTACCTCTGCTTGAATATGCTTTTATTGCTAATACTCCTAATGATCTTCTTTAATTTTAAAGATAAACCATCCGCACCAGAAGGTCCACTGAAGACTGCAAAGATGACGGACACTTCATTGGTATTGGCATGGCAGAAGCCATTGTCTGATGGTGGACGCCCAATAATCGACTACACAATTGAAAAACGTGAGGCCACTAAGAAGGCCTGGATTAAAGTTGGGACAACAGAGAGCTTGTCCATGGAAGTTTCAAACCTCAAATCAGACAATGCGTGAGTATCTAATCTAACACACTGGGCTATCACATGTCTTTTAAGTGCCTGACTTCTTGAGCCTAAATGCGCCCCTACTAAGTAAACTTTCCAATATATCGCACTATGACAAAGATTATTCTTTTTCAGATACTTGAAATATTTTTGTGTTACAATGTAGTAAAATAAATTTGTAATATACCATATTTACATGATTGTAGGTCGACCCATCTTGTTTTAATCTTAAATCCAAAGTTTGAAGTAAACCTAAAAACAAAAATTAATTTTGGTAGTAAAGTCTTTCTGAAAATGATCCCCGTGTATTACCACAAAGCTAGCCTTTCTGCACATCTTTTAAGCACTGCCGTGAATCCAGCTTGGCACACCGAGTGGTTTTTTTTTTTTTTTTTTTTTGAGACATCGTAAATAATTTTTCTAATAAAATGTGCTTCCGCTCTCCCCCCCCCTCTTTTTTTTTTTTTTTTTTTTTGCTGTGCGATTTTGAGGGTTCGGCCTACATTCAAGTCTGCTTACAATCTTGTAAATACGGTACTTGCATTATTTTGATGAGAGCATTTTGTATATTTTTTTTTCTGGTTTGAAGCACCAGAAAAGTGACTACAAAAGAAATAAGCAAAATGAAAACTTCTATAACTTTGGTTCCTTTCAGGTATATGTTCCGAGTGACATGTCGCAACGAAATAGGCAGCAGTCCACCACTTTCAAGTGATGAGCCAATAACAGTCCATGCCCAGATACGTAAGTACCAATCCTTCATGGCTGCTTCATCATACCATTTTTAAATACTCACTGGCAATCTGCGTAGCATAACTGGCATGGCCTACTTTATGAGTGATGGCACCCTGCAAGGTGGTCATGTTGACCAGCAGAATACTCATTGTTCATCACTATTTTTGCATAAAACACAACACGCTAGTCATAATATCTACCACAGTGTGAGTGCCAGTTGTAATAAATATATTGAAGAATCCTGATTCTGTTGACTACTTTGGCCAGCCTATATACTTGAACCGTTTCATGCTGAGCTGGTAACCGTTATTATTTTTGGCTTCTGTTCATGTTCATGCACAATCAAAGAATGGTTTGAGTCCAAGGCTCAGGCTCAGGCTGAAATTCTTATTTGGGAACAGTTTCTCGTTCAGGTTCCAGTTCACTTAGACACCATAGCTATTGAAGTCACCTCACATGTTTAGCACATCCTTTATTGGTGCTCGCTGTGCAACTTTTTGCAGCTTGCTACAGAATTCATTTCTTCTTCATTAGCTTCTAAAGTTGCACAGTTGCACACTTGTATTAGGGTACAATTGGTTAGATGAAATTTTATCCTGAGTGAGTGGTGTATTTTCTTATCGGGTCATAGCCTAAAATTTAATTCCTTACAGCCTTACTTGTTTACTGTAAATGCTATGCCATTTCTTATCATTATGCCACTGCCTGAACAAAAATACTGTAAAGTCATCAGAATTAAAGTGTTTTATACCTTTCCATTTCACCTCACTAATCCCTAGAACAAAATAATCATTCTAACTCACTCTGGCTTCACTACCCAAAACTTTCCTTAAAACATAAGTACTAACATTTGAAATACTTATTCTGAAGCTCCGGGACTTTCTTTCGCAAAAAGGCCAAGTCAGCCCCTGCACTTTCTGAAGGTTCTAATACTAAGTACAGCTTCAAGTATTTCCTTGATAGCAAACAAGTGGTCTTCATACCTGAAAGGGGGCCAGCCTTTCAGCTACACAGCTTTCTTCATCATGTTCCTCCTCATGGTGTTCTCTTGCCAGTGAACAAAATAGTAGTGTGCCGTTGCTTCTTTCCTTGTGGTGTCACAGTCACTAAAGTGATGTATATGAGTATCCGTACACAAGTTCAACCAATCTTGATCCGATGCCAGTGCTGACTGCATTGCTGCCTGCAATCAGAATATCCCATTTAGTCTGGCCCTATTCTTAGGGTTTGCTCAGCAAAGGTAACCGTGCCAGGAGATGCTTACTAATGTTAGCATAGCCCCTTGGGATGGCATGCTAGCCCTTCCAATATGTCAAAAAAGAGATATTGGCTGAAGGGTGAAATCTTATACATTTTGTAAGTTTCAGCATAATTTGTTTAGGCAAAATAAATGTTATTAATATTCTCACAAAAGGATTAATGGTTGGCAACATTGGCATCCTCAAGTCATATATGGCATTTCCCATTTCCACCACAATTCTTATTCACATTCTTGCATACTTTGAGAGTATTTTTCAAAGAATGGTTCTGCAGTATATGCTAGTTTTTACTGGTAGCTGTCTACGAGTGTATGCATGTCATCCATGATATCATGATTCTTCAATGAAGTCAAGTCATACTATCACTAAGCAATGACATGGCTTGATGTTGTGTTTGCAATCACCTGTGTCCTTTTTGCATAAAGATTACTAAAGTGCCAAAACTAACCAAAATTATCAGTGTAGTAGTTGCTCGAGGACAAACTTACGAAACCACTGCAAAGCACCTAAAGGGCTCCGAGATTCTAACTCACTTAAAGCACATGTTGTAAATGCCACTTTGGAGTCAATAAATACATGTTCACTTAGCATGAATCCTGGGACTATCACCAGTGTCAAGATGTTAGACCTTAAAATTTGGCATCACATTTGCAATTCTGCTTGTTTCTTTGCCATTAAGGGTTTATGAAAGACATTTTCATAAAATGGTTTGAAAGACAACATGATTTGTAGCTATTTAGGGATATCTTTAAAAAATAGAAGTTTAAGAGTCAGCACATTTACTGAATGAACATGACTTCAACACTGCACGGCTTCATTTTTAAAAATTTTATTTTAATGTGTATCATCACTTAATTTTAAAAATAGTTAGTTAAATTGCATTATTGGCCTACATGCACTTTCTGATTTACTGTGCAAGCCATACCTACTCCTTCAAATAATTCAACTGATGTGGCAAAACTATCCTCTCTGCCACTGTTATTTTACGTTACTTTTAATCTGTTAAGGTACTAAGCTATATTTCTGAAATGCAAAGTGTAAAAAAAATTTACCAACAATGCTAGGGAGTGAACAAATGATAGAAAGGAAAACGATAGGTGTAACATTAATATCTGGCATCACATTATTGTGGGCTGTTTAAAAATTGGACAAATGCAGTATTTAAATAATATAAGGAAGAACCAATGGCCCAAGGATAGTTACACAATGGGTGCAAAGAAGCAGAGGGCCATCAAGAGTAGCAAAAAGTAAAAAAGGATATAAGAAAGAAAATTAGCATAATTGTTGACCTGGTGTGGCTAACAAAAAAAAAGAGCCTATTGAGGGGTCTCTAAGAAAACCTTTTGTCCCAGAGCACACTTTATTGGGAACTGGGAAAACTTGAGGTTTTTTGTACATTTTCAAGCTAGAAAACAGCACGTCTTGTTTGGTCTTTCTCGTCTTTATTTTATTGTGCTGTTTTTTACCATGAGCACTTTGTGGGGCTGGTTGTGATGACAGCAAATAGCAAGTTGCATCGAAAAGGCTGCATTACTGCTATCTTTACTGAAACTTTGCTCTGAACAAATCTTGCAAGAAACAGCAGTTTTCGCTATTTTCATAACCTGCACTGCTTTGGAGATAATCAAAGAATAAGCTATTCTACACCATCTTTCTTTTTTTTTTTTACAGAGCCTCCAGATGCACCCTCCGCTCCCCTTCACATCTATGATGTAACAAACAAAACTGCAACACTCACATGGAGCCCGCCTGCATTTGATGGGGGCTCTCCCATCATCGCCTACATTGTAGAACATCTCAGCGAGGACGAGGCAATTGGTGACGCACCAAAGTGGGTGACTGTTGCCAATGTAGATGGAGGAACGACGACGCATCGTGTTGCGAGCTTGAGTGACAAAACCAGGCATCGATTCCGAGTTCGTGCCGAAAATGTTGCTGGTACCGGGCCACCTCTTGAAGACAGTGGTGAATGGCAGGCACTACCAGCAGCAGCCGGTAGGACTTACATTCTCAAAAGCACTTTTTGCCCTGAAAAAAAAAAATGAGTCATTTGCGAAACAGGCAATACTGCACGTGCGGCTTAAAGTCGGATTTCACAAAAACATTTAACATCAGGTTTTGCAAAAGCACTTCAAAAGTTGCCATTAGATCAGCAGGATAAAATTCAAGGTATACTGCTCACCAGTAAAAATTGTGGCGTACACATGCTGGAACATGTTTTTCTACTCATGACAGAGTAAGTGTAGCCTTTGCAAGTGGTGGTGGAAACGTAGCCGCATTTTAGCTGTTTCGTTACCATGCATATTCAAATCAATCAGCAGTGACCGACACTTTGAATCATTAATTTTGGCATGTTTAACTTGTTTCTGGTGCATTTAGCACTTTCTAGTAGTTAGTTCAGCCACTTGACTTTCAGAATCAATTTGCATTTGCCTGTTTTGGCAACATACTAATTTTTTATAGACCTTTGCGCAAACCAATGAGCATGCATTGTTGAGAAAATGCACATGGCTGGTGAACTTCACAGAAGTGTGTGCCCTTCATGCTTATGTTACAGCAACATCAAAGTTCTGTAATCAAAATAACCTTTGCAAGTCAAATATCAAATTAAGGTTTCAGCTTTGCAATCTGACAGTGTTCAGCAGTAATAATTGCCAAAAATTTATGCCATCCATTCAATAGAGAGCTGTTGCTGGGAGTGAGAGAAAATATATTCTACAAAAAATATTTCTGAAGGTCTGCTGCATGTATGAAGTGTGTAGGTGGCCTTCTCAGCAAGTTTTCAATAGCTTTTGTTTCGCTTGTATTGTTATATCAGACACAGGGCCGCATCTAGTTTCACTAGTCACTCTTATGGTGTCATCATCATGCGTGCACGGGAGCGCACCTGCCCTGCAAAGAAACATGGCTGCTCGAAACTGTCTTGCAACCACATCTGAAGTGAATGAGGATCAGATTAGAGTTCGAGGATGTCAGCACCTCAGCTTCAAATTTTATGGCGACGATGTTTTGCGTCAGCCTGAGACATCCGCAGCCGTTCATGGGTTTGCTTTGTTTACATCCTCAAATTGCCCCTCCACCGCAAGTGTGTAAGGTTCTAACCTTTGTGCACAATTTATAGCTACTCTGGTTACAATGCGAGCTCCCCACGTCGCAGGGGCGCTGTGTGCTGGCGCCGGCTCCAGAGCTTCTCCTCGCGACAAGAAGGTCAGCGGAACAGATCTTGGCTCTGACTGCAGAGCAGCGCCAAACGTTTTAGGACTACACGCGATATTGTTTTTTCTCTTTCTTTAACATGATGTGCAAAAATGCAAAGAATTATGCTAGGATGCATATATTGGAATGCCAACCTATGCAGAGTGAAGTGGCTCATGGAAAGAGGCGACACTAGACGAATATTGCACATCTGATTTATAGACTGATTATTCACATCACGGGCATCCATTTATAGTAGACCACCTGCAGGCTGTTATAACACACACCAAAAAAAACAATACTTAGAAAAGTGTACGAGTTTACTTGTGTCCCACGAAAAACCAAGCCATGCTTTGCCATATGGCACTAGCAACAAAGCAGGACCTCGGTTCTGATTTTGTTTGTTTATGTAAATAGAAATATTTTGTACTAAATTTATTATTTCTATACTGTTCCTTGGTCACTTACCCTCAAAATGTATACCTGAAATCTCCTTTGTTCTGAATATCTTTTATATATATAGTGTTGTTTATTGTACTCTTCACCAGCAGGAAACCAAAAATTTCACACTTTTCACATTTTTATTCATTCCAAAATATTTTTGTTTCCCGAAAACATGTTTGCTGGAAAGAGAATTTCGTTGTGGAAAATTTGGTATGCTGCAATATTTGCTGGAGTTCTTTTCAAACTGGCAAAAAGCTATTTTCCCAAGACATATGAAAAATTGCCGTTTTCTCGTGGTAACGAAAGACTTGACAAGCCGATTCCCTGTGCAGACCGCCCAACTCCACCCACAGCACCTCTTGAGATACTGGTGACTGGTCCAAACTCAATGGATGTTTCATGGGGACGCCCTGAATGGGATGGTGGGTCTCCACTCCTTGGCTACACTGCAGCCCTCAGAGATACATCACGGACAATGTGGATGGAGGTAAGGTCACATGACATACGAATACATTCTACTTCAAACCAAATGTTCAATAGTTCCCATGCATTTTATAAGGATCAGTCATTAATTAAGCTAGTAGGTCCTGCCTTGTGGCAGAGGTACATTATTGTAACATTAAGATGAACATTTTATTTAATATTAAAACAAACACTGCATTCTTATGCATAAATTCACACTACACTGATGTTATCCTTATGTAGAACTCCTAAATTGCAATTGAGCAAACTTTAAAGTACCTCAAAATGCTATCGAAAGAGCATGGTTGATATCTATATCTTAAGAATTGGCATAACACAAAAAGGAAAACATGTCTTTAGAAAGGTAGTTCAGTTTTCATGGTACATTATAAATTAAAGCTTGAACAATGTATGCTGGTGTTTGGCGCCTACAGAACCATTTCATGTGGACACACCTACATTGATGCCTGGTTGAACATTTCCATCTTGACGACTGACATCAATTATCAAGCTTAAAGTTTTTTGGAAACTGAACATAAACCCTCAGTATGCGCTCATAGAAAGCATCGTCATTTGAGGAGAAAAACGGCAAGGTGTGCGCTCTCCAGTAACTGAATAACCTACGCTTCTGATGCATGCATTACCACACTGTGCTTCTCACAAGCGGCAGCGCTCATAGCTTGAGCTGTGAACGCGCGAAGGCATCGCGCTCCCTGCTCACGTCTCTCACTGCAACAAAGCACTCACTCAAACTGTATTGAAATGAAATCCAGAGAGCGAAAATCGAGGAACCAGCCTTCATTGCTCTGAGAATACCAAAGTGCATCCTGTTGGCTTTCGTTAATGTCATGGTGGAGTAGTTTCACTTCACTGATTCAAGACAGCGACACCGCTCCATGACAACAAAATCATTGTCAAAGAGAGATGTGAAAAATATAAGGCACATTTGCAAAAGCTCATGCTTGAGCGTCAGTGATGGAGTGGGTTAAAAGCCCAACTTCGTGGTGGTGGACCAAAAGGTCGTGGGTTCGACTTGCAGGTCATCTCAACCAACGAAACTTCTTCTGTGTGTTCATTTTAATGACATATTTCCATGGAAGAAATACATCAGGCGGACACCAGCATAAAACACTTTTGTTCTAAAAAGCATCCAGAATTGTCCGAATAGCACAAAGCAACAAAGAGGAGGATCGAGGGTCTCGTTCTGGCAGATTTGTATTTTCGAGGTGGTATGCAAGGAATTATGGTCGGCTGCCATCTCGCAATACGATCACGTATGTGACACCAAACAAACAAAAAGGGGTGTTCCACACTCGACGTAGTGGCAGCAAGTGGCGCTGACTGACATCTCTTGTTTAAAATGCATATGTACACTCTGTAAATTGGACGAGAAGATTACCGTCACCGTAGCTAGTTGTTAGAGCATCAGACCTATTACTCGAAGGTCTCAGGTTTGGATCCTGCTGGTGGCAAGTTATATTTTCGTCAACTTTTTTTTTCTTCACATTTACATTACAAATACTTGTAATAACATCCCCCATACTTTTCCTGGCATTATTGTCTATTAGCCCTCATTAACATTAGCACTATAAGTGTTCTCTGTACCTCCTCTGTGTCACTGTTCAAACTGCATCAGCTTAAACGGTGTTGTGATTATAACAAGCCCCAAGACCACCTCAAAATGCTGTTCGTTCAAAGGAAACACAAATGCATCAACTGAATATTATCACAGAGATTTCTTATTTCTTTGTTACCTTTGGTTGTTCAGTAAATTGATAGTTCACCATAACTTATAGAAGTTAGCAGATCTTCCACTGCCTTTCTGCACATTTTCTTATTTGTAGAACTGTTCAGTACTACCATAAGTCGCTAGGTGACTCTGGTCTGTAGTAATAAGTTCATGGTTATGGTCATCTTACTCATAATACTGGTGTGATTTTTATATATCCTTATAAAACAAGCAATGCTACATGAAGTGTTAAAAAATATATGTCCATTCTCATTGGACATTTGTGTGGGGATTTTTTTTACAAAATGCTGGCTGTTGCATTATCATGAATTTAACTTGCATTACTGTCAGGTCGGTAAGCTAAAGTGCATAAAGAAGTGTTCAAATTTCTTTTGTAGCATTACCCTGCAGCCTTTCATTGAAACTAACAATGTGGATATATGTATAACACTAGCGTGTCTAAAATGCTCCAATTGGCTTCATCTTCAATCACACTTGACATGATCTGTTGAAATGATATGAAATAATGCAGCACACTTCATATTATCTCACTACCATTGCCCTGACAATGCCACATTGATGAAACACACCATTTTCTTCCAGGCACTTGAATCATGGTGCAAGGCATCGCGTCGCATACTTTTTCACTAGCTGGTATATCACCATGTAGTTTTGAAAGCTCAGTTTGTTCAATCCTGTTTTATCGTTATGCCCATTCAGATCATCCTTATGATGTACGCATCACTTCTTGATACACAAACACTTTCCCTCATTCTTTCTTCCTATGCATTTAAAGGCTGGAACCACTTTTTTCTGATATTGTTTCCATTTCACACCATAACTTGTTTTCTTCATCGATACAGTTATTGCAATGATTAAACATGAAGTCCGAATTGTTTGTTTTATTTTTCCTTACTTTTATAAGCTGTGCTTTGCATCATACCAGTGCTTTAATTTTCAGTTGTCCTATTCTACATTTAATGCTGTTTTTTTTTGTTCTGTAATTATTTAGTATCCCACTTATGTCTGTAAAGTTCTAAGAAAAAGTAAGTGAATTAATAAGCAGATTGAAAAGCAGTGTGCATAGCCAGGCAATTTTAAGTCATTCACATGTTCCACAAAGAAAAGAATCTACACAAGCTACTCTTGCCACAACCTTACACCAAGTTTATTCTTCCTTGGAAAGAATTTTTCATTGGTAATGCTGGCTGTTTTGCATTTTTCATTTTTAGGTTGGCCAAGTAGATTCTGAAACTCTACGTCTTCACATCAAGGACCTCGAGGAAGGGGCGCAGTACCATGTGCGCATCCTGGCTCGAAATGATGTGGGCTTCTCGGACCCACTTGAATCAGAGGAGCCCATAACTATTTTACGACCGCCAGGTAAGTGTGCTCCTGGTGTGAACAACTTGAGTCACCAAACATATAGTTGTAACTATGCGATAGTTCCAATGCACCACACCTAATTATCTGACCTTGTTGTCAGCCATGTCCTTCATTTTTTACTATTCTTTTTGCTCATGTTACGAACTCATTATACAAAGCATGATAGCAGGCACAAAAATAAAAATGAGGAGGCAGACAAGAAACACACAACATAAGTACTTGTGAATAGTACAAGTAATTAAAGCTCATGCTATTTAATGCATCCATGTCAATAAATTCATGCTACATGTCCATTCATTTGACAATTCAAAATTAAATATGACAGGGAAGATCCCAAACATTTTATACATTTTGAATTACATTGATAACCAATTTACTTTAAGGCTATATGATATATAGTGCCTTGAAAGGGGCACTACATAATTTATTTGCCTGAAACATACCTACTCAAAACAAATGTGAAAGTACTATGAAAGTCAATTGATCAGAATTTCAGCCCGTCTTAAGTTTCATTGCTTCTGCTAGAGAAGCATAATAAAATAAAGACTTGAGGTCTTTTCGTTTTTCTAGAGCTCTTCATATTACCTGAGTCTTGCCAGAGTTCTTAATTCTACCTTGTGTACAGAAATGTGCACATGTCAAAACATTTTTGTTTTAATATGTTATTTCAGGATGTGTTGGGTTCAACAAATACTGTGATACATAAAATTGTGGCCTCATAAAATCGATGCCTCAAATTAGGCAGAAATAATTGGTGTACACTCCAGCAGCACTGCTTTCACATTTTGAGCCACTTCTTCCCATTCTTCAAAGAATAGATGGGTGATGCCGCATGGGCGAGTGATTTAATTGGCTTATCACACTGTATCATCAGGAATCCTTGCAGTATGCTGCTCTATTAAGCTCGTGTTAAAAATATATATGTACATAGTAATTTTTGTGGTTTCAAAACAAATATTTCAGTATATACAATAAACGTACAATTCAGTACTACACTATCTCCGCTAGCAGCTCAACTAGTTAGCTTGCCAATCATGCAGACAGTGCGATAAATAGGTGGGCTGATCCAGGTGACAGTGTAATATATAGCCACCAAAATTGGGGCACCCAAGAAGCAGTCAGATGCTTAACATGTTTTGATTTTGCTGCACACACATAGGCCCCGGCAGCACAACATGTGTCGGTGTCTCATGCTGCAATGAGTGAGGCGGGGCTTTGCAGTATGTAAAATGTCAACTGCAGTTGCCAACTCTCTTTGTTTTATTTTTCTTTATAGTATTCATATATATTTCTAGATTCATATGACATACTATGAAAGGCAAAGCAAACAATTATCACTGCTCTCACCCGCTTAAGATTAGCGTACCTTTATGTCATTAATCTTCTGAAGGCTTTTAAAATTTTTACTTTTTCAACTTTTACATGAAGAAAGTGAAGTTATTGTTTCAGAGGCATTGTGTCTGCTACACTCAAACCTCATTATATCAAAGTTGCATCTTACACAAAAATAAGTTTACAGCTGAAAATTTGTTGTAAAGGTTTATTGTTAACACTATCTATTGCAAGACTATTTTTCATTTACTTCACTATATCCGAGTTTGTTATATGGAGGTTTGAGTGTTGTTTGTAATTCCTGTCTTTGTTGGTTCTCGTTGTTAAAAACACTTTGACAATATTGTGCTTTTCACTTCTATAAGGTTTCTGAAACAGGGTCAGGCTAAGTGTTGAGCTTCTACTCATTGCTCTGTTCAGGGTTCCAAGATCAAGCTGCGGCCTCACCTGAGAAGAAGCCAAAGGCAAAGCCCGATGAAACGTCTGAGGACAGCTGCACAACTCAGACAACCTCATCGTGGATAAGGGAGGCCAATGTTGAGCCCCTGCTTCACAGTTACACCAAACATGTGTTGGTCAGCCGCAATGAGTACTTCTTTAGGTTGTGGCACTATGCTGACACACTTTTTAAGTAAGATAAAAACATTACTTGTTCCGTCAGTCCATACACCCTGCACCTTTTCATTCACATATGTGTGTTCCAAAACACAGAACTAAATTTGGTAAAAAAAGGAAAAGTTACGTAAAAGCTAATTTAAAAATACAATACAGCAAAATATGACATAAAACTAACATTTACTTGAACACTGCGGGACATCATGCTGTGATGTAACTAAGGTGCACCACATATCATACATTCTCCTTGTAAGCTTGTATATTTCTTTGATTAAGTTGAGACATTTTTGTACTATATGAAGGGAAAAAATAACATAATGAGTCATTTTGTGATACAAAGACTGCAGGCAGCTCATGACAGCAGTTTGCAGTATGACGTAAATAAGCAGTGAATCCTTGCCTGTGTTTCAATGAATTCAAGATGCAAGGAACACTGATTTATTTGTTGTGGTGACATTCATTGAAGCTGAAACTGGTACAAAGCTACGGTAATCCTCACGGGTTGAATATTAGCCCGACTGTAATTTTGTGTCAATTTCACATTTGCTTTCATTTATTGTGACAGTGTAAGACTGTTTGTTAGTTGAATTTTGTTGTTTGTGAATAAAAGTTGTGTTGTTACCAAAACCAAAAGAAGAATGTCGTTCATGATCGAGTACAAACGTGAATTTTACATACAGATATTATTTTACTCTTCTTGAATTACACCAATAAATGTGCAGAAGCTAAAGGTATAGCAATACCTTACAAAAGGCCTCTGTATCGGCTTTAAAAAGCGTGAAGCAAAAATAATAGTAACTAGTTGGCAGCTTACGAAAATTGTTTAAATATGGGATCAAAAGTTAAACAAAAAGCTCGATAAGTTTACTGTTCACTGACAATTTAAAACACTACCTAGTGATGGAATGTTCCTTTGTACAGAAGTAATTAAGCAAACAATATCTAGTCCAAGAGAATACATGGTAAGTACACATCGTTTTCTGTCTCATCCTTGCTCCCTCTTATGTACCAAAAATTTATCATCATCATAGACGTCAGACTCTGTCCAGGCCCCTTCTAGCCACCATACCTTCCTTGCCGCGCTGGCCACAAGTGGATAGTGCTAAAGAGCCGTCCGCAAGCGAACGTGCATAGGCCCTTCTCTTTCGTTGCTGTTGAGGCACGGTTTCCTGAAAACCAAGGACCTGGCAAGCTTCCGTCCATCCAACCTCGCTTCAAAAAAGTAGAAAGCTCATCAAAGCGAACTGCGGGTACAATGCAAAAGATGTTCAGCTATTTCGGCGATCTCCAACTCGCAATTTAAGTGCAAGCGAACACTGCATGACATCGAGTTCGAGGCAAGCACTTCTACGCGCGTTCTGTAACGCCTAAATGCGTGAATTTGGACATGCAGATGTTGCCAAAGAAATGAAGTGCATACACGAGCAAGATAACTTGCGATCAGTGGTAGGAAGCTCGCTTTATCCCGTACTAATGGTCTCGGCGATTTTCGCCTTCGCAGATTACATTCTCCATCATTTTATTACGCATCCTAGAATGTCCTGTTGACGCTTGTCTTCCGTTTATATGTAAAATTCAAATAGCAACACACGCGTGTCCACTTTCTCGGTGGAAAGGGAAACCGATGCCTCCGAGAGATAGCTCCGGCAATCGCGGAGAGACCAACGGCAAGAAAAACGTGATTGTGTCACGACCAACATTTTGCGATTTACCTGTATAACGTGCGTGTTCACGTTTGTTAATTAAAGCCGGAACTTCGAGCCTTCAAAGCCTACGTTCGCGATGCTGTGTGGTGATTATGTGTGCGATGTTTATCGCGCGCGTTACCAGTCTACCGTTGCAAGGCGTGGACCGTGGTTAGAGGCTGTGTTGAGCTCCTCAATCAAAGTTATCACGAGTATCCGTCAAGGTTACTCGAAACAATAACAGGAGGCCCACATTATCACACTTTCTCAAGCGACCGGCTGTGGAGAACGCCGAGTAATTCGCTTACCCAACACGTTCGCAACGGCTGCAGCGCTTTCGCTGTTCCGCTTCGCGACAGCTACGGAAATCGGCAAAACTGAAGTCCTTTACGTATGCGGCGATTCGCAGCGTCGCTGAGGATCGTGGAGCTGTTGCGTATGCTCTCGTTTTTGCCGTCGTTCTGGCGAGTGAACTAGCAAGCACATCATGGCGGTTCGGTGACGCGTCCGACAAGCGGAGAAAAAGTCGTAGCTCTTTTTGTGGACTGGGTGTTCAACGTGCAAACACAGCTCATATTTATATCAATCGTCGTTTCGTCCACGCTAGTTGCACCTCAATTTGCAACAAATTGTGCATGGGATATATCTGTGCGCCGGTACGTACTGTACCGGTACCAAAATTGCCGGCGGCGGAGCTAGCGGAGCGTCAACGGCGCGGGGTCCATGATCCATCGGATCGGCGCGAGGAAGGGAAGGGGGGGGGGGGGGGAGGGGTTATTGCACTGTGGAGGGAGGGGGGGGGCGGTAGGATCAAAGTTCAAGAGTTGGTGCCGAGAGAAACTCGTCCCTTGAATTATCACATAAAAATCTGTTTCCCGGAAAGGGCGAAGCAGTTAACATGATAGCAGCATGCCATAGCGCTATTTATTTACAAATACTGCTGTCTCAGTTTACGAGACATAGCAGATGTATATACAAATGTTCAGCACCTTAAAAATATATAATTTAAGAAGATAGAAGTTTACGCATTTTTTTTCACAATTGTTCCACCAAGTCTGTGCAGAAACCAAACAACATAACTAAAAAAATGCACATTCTGCCGAAAAGCACAAAAGGAAACAAAAAAAAAAACGAAAACAATTCTGAATTGGTCAAAGAGGCACAATATTTAGCCAAGATCTCCTAGGAGACAAGACAGTATTTAGAGGATCAAGTCTGGCACAGTATCCCCTATGCCTCCACTGCAACGAGACTGAATCCCTTCACCATTTCCTCTTAACATGCAGGTTATACACAAACCAAAGGAAGAGACTGTTAGAAGAACCTCTCCGTAGGTTGGCTCTAAATTTATCCCTTCCAGTGGTCCTCTCCTTTGGAGCAACTGAAAAGGGATTTAGCCACAGGCATGTTTGCGAGGCCGTATGCGATTTTCTAAAGGCAACAAAACGATTAGAATGTTAAGCTGAGGCATAAATTCACTTTATTTCAAACTATATTAGCCTGTTCGTTCTGTGTATTACCTCCCTTTTATTTCTGTATCGTTTACCAATTGGTTCTTTGTTTAAACATCGTTATCTGAATAATCAGGGTGGTAAAACAACTCCACCTCACAATTGAGGCACCGTCCGTTTCATGGCCGATCCCCCATAGTGGGTTGCGCCAGGACTCTGAGGAGCAACCAGCCAATCAAATCACTAGCTATGGTGCGCAGAAGATGCGTCAAAGTATATGGATGTTGAACGCTCGAACCTGTGTGAATCATATATCTTATTTATGCAAAGGGATCATACGACCTCAAGCGCGCCGATGATCGAGAGGGGCTTCCGCGTTAAAACATGCATATGCGAAGTAAGCGAGAAAAACTGCAGGTCATAGCGACGCAGTATAAGCAGTTGTGCTGTTTTTTTTTTTGTTTTTTTTTTCTGCGAAAGCTGCACAACTCGGGTCTCCCGCAGCACCGTGGTTGGTCGCCGCCGGTGTCCGTAACCACATCACGCGAAATCAGCAAAAAAAAAAAAAAAAAAACCTCGTGCCAACGAAACAGTGGTGCTAGAACACGGGTCCACTGGGCTCTAGCACCAGTGTTGACAAGCAGTCATCGCACGATGCGAATAGCGTAACGAGCGGGCCGTCCAATGCTCCAACCCATTACAAAAGCTTGTTTTTGTTCAGCTATTAACTGTGGCACATACCCACTTCAGGCATAATTCCTCATCGTCGTCAGCCACTGCATGAACAATTGGCAGGAAGTTGCTCGAAATAGTTTAGCGGGATACCACGCTTCTCGGAAGAATGATGAAAAAATAGCATAGCGAATGCCGGCCTACTACCCAAACATTTTATTAGTAATGCCGTAGTGGGTATCAAGTAAGTGAGCTTGCAGCAGTTACCAAATGACTGTTTAGAAAAGAGGCTCTGAAAAGCCCATCTTCTAGCTTTCGCTGTGGCTGCGCATTCCGCGCGGGCCTGGAGTTTTTCTGTTGAGGTCATGTCTCTGGTACATTCAATAATAATAATAATAATAATAATAATAATAATAATAATAATAATAATAATAATTGCTGGGGCTCAAAGTCCCAAAAATTATATGATTATGAGAGACGCCGTTGTGGAGAGCTCGGGAATTTTCGAACTCCTGTTAACACCTGAATCTAAGCACACGGGCCGCAAGCACTTGCGCCTTCATATAAAATGCCGCCACTGCTGCCGGGATCGGATCCCGCGAACTGCGGGTCAGCAGCCGAGTGCCAGCCACCAACTGTCTCTGATACATTCAATGACATTAATTAGATGTCCGTTAACTTCACCGATCGTAATGAACGATTAAGTATCTTTATTGATTTGTTAAAAGTTGGCAGAGCATTACAAAAGTTATAAAAAATTTTATAGTTACCTTCCACCTAAAAGTAGGGAGTTATTTTCCACCCACTTTGTTGACAGTATTGCATGGCGCAGTCTGCTGATCTTGCTTGAGTAAAAGTTATTGACAGGACGCAAAAGTCAAGATTGACAAAACTATTTCATTGTTTTATCTCGAGAAATAGCGCTGTAGAGTAGTGTTTTATTCATTAGAGTTAAGAAGGGCGCCAGAACACCCGAAAAAATGCTCTTATTCTCCCCTGGTAAAATTGTGTCGTAATAAGGAACTGTATAAACGGTGACTTCAGTAGCTTATGGATTTGCAGGCTGTAGACGTTAGAGGTCGCGGATCCGATGCTGGCCACGCTTGACGAAATCGGAATGCAGAAAACATTCGGGTAGATTGTGTTACACTTCGGGTAGATTGTGTTACACCTGGGAGTCCACACCGAACGTCAGTGCCTCTGCAAAGGCAATCCGTGTCAAGGCCAGCGATCGAGCCCGCCTGACGCGATCAACTCGACGACGTCATCAAGCGGCGGCGCCGGTCAGTCGTAATTACGCAACGCGCATCGAGCTCCCTCAGCCCACGAGCCCGATGAAGCAATCGGTGCCTTCCAGTCTGGCGAGTCTCACGCAATGCGTGGCAACACCACTCGTCCTTCGGTGCAACCAAGCGCAGCTGCTCCGGATTTGATGATCATGACGCAGTGACGGGTCCCCATTGGAGGATTCTGACATCACGGCCAGTGGCGCTTCTGGTTGGACGTTAATGACGAAAAAGATCCTCCCGGTGTCTATAAAAAAGGCAAACGGTACGTCGCCAGCAGTTGACCTATGTGTCAGAGAGAAACTGACCTATGCGTGCGAGAGAAGACCTCTCGGCTCTTCGAGTCCCTAAGCTGTCGGCCCCAGTGCCGAATATGTAACGCTTCTATTTCTATGCTGTACATAAACCTTGCCTTAACTCACCGTCGTCTCGTCCACTCGTCTATCAGCTCTGCGCAGAAGCAGTCGCGAGCTGAGTAACACACGCTACCAAACGGCTGGTGACCTTGGCTGCGGAGTTCAGAGCAGTGGCGCCTTCGG